ATTTACTCGGTTTGGAATACAACAGACCCCAGACTGTTAGAGAACTCAAAGTTCGAGCGAGAAACAGTGGGCTGAGAGGTTATTCTCGAATGAGAAGAGCTGAATTGATCGCTTTACTAGATAATAATCAACCTATTGATAATGATGATATTCAACCTAATAATGTTGATAATCGACATAATAATGATAATGATAATCAACATCAAGAATTAATATTTGTACCCACATCCGCCGGCGTTGGTAAATATCTAAGAGGTTGGAAGATGGATATTAATTCCAACATGGATGTTAACGATATTAAGCCCATCATATCGAGTAAAATTAACGAGGAATTAGATGATTTACATAGTATAAAATACCAGCTGACGATTAAAATGACATTGAGTAAAAGTAACACAGACGATAGCGACGAATATACCGAACCATATTTCCGTAGCAATCAAGAAGTTATAACCGAATCCGATACTATAAACTCATCATTAGATACATCAATTCAGAGAATACAGGAAACTTTAGAACGCTGGACTAATAGAGGTTCGGGTTGGGGTGTTGATAAAATCGATAGTTTATATTTAGATATAGCAAATTATATGCCTTTCAAAGGTGGATCTTATATAGATTTACCTCCGTATTATAAGAAGAAAAAAGCCATAATTAACGTAAAAAATAAATCCGATGACTGTTTAAGAATGATGATAAGATCTGCATTGTTCCCCGTAGACATAAATCCGGATAGACCTTCTAGCTATCCCCAAAACGATGGACTCAACTTCGATGGTATAGACGAACCTACACCAATATCACAAATTGATAAGGTGGAAAAGCAAAATAATTTAGCTATAAATGTTTTCGGACATTCTAAAGGAATTGTTGTACACAGGATAAGCTCCGCTCCGGAAAATATCCCCAGAATCAATTCATTTCTGATCGAAAAAGATGGTAAATATCATTATACGTGGATAAAGAGTTTAAACAAGCTATTATACGATCAAACTAAATATAAGGGAAAGAAATATTTCTGTGAAAGATGCCTACATGGGTACAGCAGACAAGATCTATTAGAAGCGCATAAAGAAGACTGTAGAGGTGTTGGACAGAATGCTATCAGGATCGATATGCCTAAAGAGGGAAAAAATATATTAAAATTTGAACATTATTGTAATCAAATGCCAGTACCGTACATAATTTACGCCGACTTCGAAGCGCTTATCAAACCCATAGAAAATACCAACCATAGCAATACTGATAATAGTTTTACGTACAAAACTCAAGAACATATTCCTTGTGGGTTTGGATATATAGTTGTAAGGTATGATGGGAAAACAAACCCGCCCGTGATTTACAGAGGTCCCGATGCAGCGGGAAAGTTCCTAGAATATCTACAAAATGAAGAGAGAATAATCAGGGAAAAATTATTGTGTAAGATACCCATGCGTATGACGAGGGATGATTGGAGTGCCCATAAGAAGTCAATGAGTTGTCACGTTTGTAATAAACCCCTGGATGGGGATTCCGTAAGAGATCATTGTCACGTCACGGGTAATTATCGGGGAGCAGCTCATAACGAGTGTAACTTGAAACTAAAAATGAACTCTCAAACAATACCCATCCCCGTTGTGTTTCATAACCTTAGGGGATACGATTCACATCTCATTATGCAAGCTATCTCGAAGACCGACGGTGGTTTAACGTGCATTCCTAACAATATGGAAAAATACATATCGTTCTCGTTGACTAAACCTATACATTATAGGGACAAGGATGGGAAATCTAGAACAAAGCAAAGTAATGGGCTTAGATTCATAGACTCCGTACAGTTTCTGTTATCTTCCCTGGACAATTTAGCTAATGCGAACAATCCCGATGACTTCGCGATAACAAATAAATATACCGATAAGATAACACGTCATTTGTTGCTGAGAAAAGGTGTATATCCTTATGAATATATGCATGATTGGTCTAGATTCGAAGAAACTGAATTACCACCCCTCGAATCATTCTATAGTAACTTAACAGAATCTAGAATAACAGATGCCGATTATGAACACGCTCTGACGGTCTGGGATAAATTAGGTTGTAAGAATTTAGGCGATTATCACGATCTGTACTTAAAAACCGATGTACTGTTACTCGCCGATATATTCGAGATATTTAGAAAGACATGTTTAAAACAATACGGCTTGGACCCGGCATGGTACTATTCAAGTCCCGGACTATCGTGGGATGCATTGTTGAAGAAGACCGGCGTAGAACTAAAATTACTCACAGATTACGATATGCACTTGTTTATTGAGAAAGGATTAAGAGGTGGTATATCGATGGCAGCTAAAAGGTATTCTAAGGCTAATAATAAATTAGTGGAAGGATACGATCCCAGTAAACCCGACACCCACATATTATATCTCGACGCTAACAATTTGTACGGATGGGCTATGAGTCAACCTTTACCCACGGGTGGTTTTGAATGGGTCGATGATATCGAAGTGAATGATATCCATAATATCGAAGTGAATAAAGGGTACATACTAGAAGTTGACTTGGAATATCCAAGTTCGTTACATAAAGATCATAACAGTTATCCCCTCGCTCCCGAAAGATTAATGGTTAATAAAGATTGGATGTCGGAATATCAACACTCCTTGATGGGTAATAGTAGGTTAGCTAACGTAGAAAAACTCGTACCAAATTTGATGGATAAGACAAAATATATAGTTCACTACAGAAATCTCCAGTTGTATCTATCGTTAGGTATGAAACTTAAGAAAATACATAGAGTTCTAAAGTTCGATCAAAGCCCTTGGATGGAGCCCTATATAAGGTTGAACACAGATTTAAGAAAGATAGCTACCAGCGATTTTTCGAAAAGAATCTGTATAAGCTCATGAATAACTCAGTATTTGGTAAAACTATGGAGAATCTAAGGAAGCGTGTTGATGTTAAATTAGTCAGATCTAATGAGGAAGAAAGACTTAGGAAACTTATAGCCAGTCCGGCTTTTAACAGAAGCAAGATATTCGATAACGACTTAGCCGCGTTGCATATGCAGAAGAGTAATATAAAATTCAACAGACCGGTGTACGTCGGTATGAGTATTCTCGACTTGTCAAAACACTTAATGTATGACTTTTATTACAACGAACTTAAGAAGCAATACGGCGATAGATGCGAGGTGTTATATACCGACACAGATTCTTTGTTGATGGAAATACAAACCGAGGATGTGTATAAAGATATGGCAGAAAAAATAGATATGTACGACACGAGCGATTATCCTAAAGATAATCCACTGCACAGCGTTGTAAATAAAAAGGTGTTAGGTAAGATGAAGGATGAATGTGCTGGGACCCCTATAGCGGAGTATGTCGGATTAAGACCTAAGATGTATTCTATAAAAAAAGTCCGATAATGGAGAGATAAGAAAAGCCAAGGGTGTTAAGAAGTATGTTGTTAAAAAGCATATCAAACACGAACAGTATAAAGAATCATTATTCAACGGTAGAACGTTCAAACACGAGATGAACTCTTTAAGAAGTTACAATCATAGGATATATGGATTAAGAATGAACAAGACATCATTATCCCCCTTAGATACAAAGAGATGGATTGATAATGATGGTGTAAATACCTATGCTTATGGTTATGGTGGTAATACCGTACCGTCGGGAACTATGAACAACTCTTCTCGTACAAATGCCCTACCCGGTCCATCTTGAAGATAATAAAGAATAGGCTCTCCTTCTTTCGTAACCAATCGACTAATGTTATACGTCTTAAGGGACCATATGGGATCGGTTGCGCGACGTAGGCCTCCTTCGAGTTCACCTGCCTGGTATAAATATCTTACCCTTACTCTATCCGGAAGTTTTCGTTCTTTGCCTCTCCTCGGTGCTGAAGATTCGGAAGTCACGGATATCATTTTAATAGCATCGGATGGTTTCTTCCCTATTAATCTCGTTACTTCATTATTCAGCGCTGATACAACGGCTGATAATCGTGTCACCCATTCGGTTGATCTCAATCGCTCGGATTTCATTTTGATCCCATACTGATAGCCAAACAAACGTTCCGCTAATGTCCTGTTAAATCTTTCGACGATAGCTTGACTGCGGTGGGCCTCTCTTTCACCACGGACGATTTTGACATCGTTCTTTGTTAACAGTTTAGTTACCGATCCCATAAACTTGCGACCGGGATCTACTTGAAATAGCTTAGGCCATTTTAGCAGTCCGCGTTTATATATGCGACTCAGTGCATTAGCTACCTCTGTTGATTCTTTTGAGGTTAATGGCTCAGCCTCTTTGTATCGACTAGCCACATCCACTACTGTTAAAGCGTATTTATACGTTTTGCGTTTTACCTTATCGTGGGGAAGAAACAAGAGGTCAGCCTGATGAACTTCATTCGTTGTAAAAATATCAAACTTCTTCCTCGGTATATAACGCGGTGCCGGTAAGTATATCTGCCACATCGCTTGTTTCTTCAACCAATCCTTGGCCACATCTTTAGATACCTTAGCCGCGGTGGCTAATTTTTTTATTGCTCCTATACCTTTCCAATATCCTCGTGGGCTATAGTAAATTTTATTCATTATTAATTAATATTGATATTTCGTTTAATACAAATCTGGCTCCAGTGGAAGTGAGCCAGAACCATCATTACCTATAAAAATTTATATCATAGACTCCAGGTGGTGGTGAGCTGGAGTCAATTTAGCTGAATCTCATGACTATCGTTGAATCGCATAATCATTTTGGCATAAAAAATTCCATCTGTAGTAGCAGTATAGGTATATAAATCCAGCTCCAGTGGAAGTGAGCCAGAACCCCTATTACCTATACTACTACAAGTGCCTATCTATGGTACTGTCAACACACAAAACACACAAGTGCCTATCTTGCCTTAGATCCGTAACCTACATTACATTTAGAGCCAAATAGCCATTCAGTACACATGTAAGATATAACTCCTGAATCGCTAGCTATGTACTTCTGTGCTTGCAGTGGGTACGCGTGTGGTGATCACTTCCACGAGAGTGACACGTTCCTGCACTCGTGGGAGATCCTGGCAGAGCTGCTGCAGTCACCCATCACTCAAGACATCATCTGTGACATCGGCATGTGCGTAACACTGTCAGAACAAGGCCATCAGTATCCCACAACGTGGATCAACATTGTATACCCTATTTCCTCTAATAAGCACCACGCCTTTAATAGGCAATGGCCTCCAATAAATGCTGTGTATGAAGCACCATACAACATAAAAAGCACCAGGTCTCTAATAAGCACTGGATATGTTAACAGTTGGATTTGAAATACTTTACTTTTAATTACTACTTTAAGAACATACAGCTCTTTTCTATGTCAATATATTAGTGACTGTAGTTATTGCAATTAGTTGAAATATTAAGTGTCATGTCTCTGGCCTCCATTACACGCCAGGCTTGGAAGCTTGTTCAAAGACTAAGTGCCAGGGTGCTTATTAGAGGAAATACGGTATTTGGTTCTGTGGCTTCTTGCTGATGTCAAGCAATACATACCCATATTGCATATTGAGTGTTCGTAATGAAAGATCGAAGTCAAAGACTCCTTGTCGTAACCCTAGTGTTCAAACAACGATTTAGAGGGGTTCCTAGATTCAAATAGTATTGCAGCAAACCACTTGGACCCTTGTCTACGTTCGCTGAGAACATTTTTGTTGATTTCTAGGAAATGAATATTATGTGTTAAGTTTGTTATCACGGTATGGCCTGTTTGTTCTCAAGATGAAGCTAGGAAAAAGGCAGTAAGGTTTTTTACGAAATTCAAAAATGTTTGCTGAGATGTGATAGTGAGACCTTTTCATCATGTTTTACAGGCCAGTGATGCACAAGAATGTGTCGTACAACTGTCGAGTTATTTTCTGTAACAAGTAAGTATATATATGCTCATCCTGCTCATCAGAATCCCAACTGATTTATTATTTCAAGATTGGTTCCTAAAGTTTGTTTGTTTTGTTTGTTTGTTGTTTAACGCTCCACTCAGCAATATTCCAGCTATATGACGGCGGTCTGTAAATAATCGAGTCTGGACCAGACAGCGCGTGATTGACATCATGAGCATCTTTCCACGCAATTGGGATACGATGACATGCATCAACCAAGTCAGCGAGCCTGACCACCCGATCCCATTAGTGGCCTCTTACGACAAGCATAGTTGCCTTTTGCGGAAAGCATGGGTTACTGAAGACCTATTCTTCCCCTGGATCTTCACGGGTCTGTTACTGAAGTAGTCACGTCATCATGTTCATATGGACTGACAATAGATCACCAGCTTATTGCAAGTACCGACCCCATCTGTCCTAAAGTTAATTTCATTCTTACATTATATTCACACCTTCCAGTTCTGGTTGTCAGTTAATTGCAGTCTCCCCTAGCTTGTTGCTATGACTACAAGCATGACAAGAGCAGTATGGTGTCATCTTCCCGAAGGAAAGGGAGGTAACTGACTATAAAAGTCCAGTTTCCACCCTTGCCGAACTAGGCTGGATTATGGAGTTATATTTTGGCTGGACTAATAAGTGTATGCATATAACCAATCAAAATCACATAACGAAATTGACATCCGGATCGTAAACTGCCGTGTAGATTTTGGCTGATTGCAGGATTTGCAAAGCATCTGTACCGCCAACTTGGCGTCAACATATATTTACCAAATCACGTGAGTTGATGCACTTCACGACGTAAGACCCCTTTCTTCACATTATAGATTTTAATTATCGATGAGATCATCTTGACTGGGCGGCGTGGGAATTGGGGGGAGGGGGAGAGGATGTGGGTAACCTAGCCATCTGCGGCTCCAGAATTCACCATGTAGAAATGCCAGAATCCTATGGTCATGGGTTCGAATCCCAGATATGGTGGGAACATGATTCTAGGTTTGTCAGCACCATACCCATGATTGTGGATTTTATCATTGTCAAAGATCTGTGTGACTCAAGGCTTTCATCCAACTTAAAGATAAAATACTGTAAATCAGGCATCAAACATAACTCACTCAAGCCTTAGAAATTTGTCTTTTTTTTTACTTGTGTAAACCTTATTACACCAGAGTTTGTACCTGGTCCTGCTTGTGACAAAAATGTTCACATTTTCTGTCAGTTTATTCGGTTCCATTTTGTAGCAAAATTGAAGCGTTGTGACCCGGCAAAGACCATAGCCCTCAAATGCATCTAGTCAGCGAGGACTACCATTACTGGATTTTTACTTGTCCTCAACACATTTAGTAGTCTTGTGATAGTGGACAAGTGTCTCTCACTGACTTCCATTGTTTGTCTGTGTGTAGGAAAGTGCTGCTGATTCGCCCCAAGAAGCACCTGTGTAATGATGGCAACTATCGTGAGACCCGGTGGTTTACTGCGTGGCGGAAACAGCGAGTTGTGGAGGACCACTTCCTGCCCCGCCTCATCCAGGACATCACAGGCCAGGTGAGGCACGCAGCAGATGCTGATGTCCTAACAACTTTCATTGACATCAATCATTGGAATGTTGTCATTGTAATTAAGTAAAGGACACAGCAGGAATATATCGAGTGCCCTTGGCAAGCAAATTGGGACAAAATTGTGATATTTCCAAATTTAATTATTTTAATGTTCTTATTTTCATAAATCCTGAAGATTTGCAAATTTTTTAATCTAAATTCATAATTTTTACTATCATTTGCTACAGACTTGTCGGCCTCTGTGAAGGTCTAGATAAATCCCTGCATGGTCCAAGTTATTTCTATCATAGATGCAGTGTGTTTGAAGAATTCTTTCTACTGGGTTGACATCATATATTCTGCACATTTCACAGTGGAAATGTTATGACATGTGTCACAGAAGAAATTTTTTTAAACTTATCCTATCTCACACTATGCATTTCGTTCTACTTCTTTAGATCCTTTGTGGAAACATGATTGAAACAAATCACCCAAACACATCCCAGCATCACCATGGCCACAACCAAGCAAATGGTTCACACACTGTAATCCCGTGCACAGCGACCTTCATGACCTGATCTTGTGAATACCCCTCCGGAAGTCACCTTGCTTGCTCTATCTGTGGCTGATGATGGCATTTCTGATAGTTTTCTTGCAAGCCATGTCCCTACTGTGCTGGTTAAACAGTCCACTCTTGATGCGTCATAGTCCCCATCTATGTCCATTTATCTAGCTACATTGAACATTCACAAGGCTCTCTTCTGTTGATTCGTCCAAGCCTGCTTCAACTTTGCCCCAGGTTGACCCTCTCAGCGCTCTTCGTTCGTTTTTTTCTCCCACTTCTTCGCGTGATGCGCCTGTTTGTGATGATCGCTCCTCTTCATCCAAAGATGCTGGCGCTGGAAAATCAGACTTCGACGGAGCAAGGATTGATCTCGCACTTCTACCGAAGGTCACTGTTCCAAGAATAGTCGTTCAAGGACTGCTCACCTTAGGATCGCTCACGCAATGATTGACAGTCGTGGGATCATCATTCAAGATTACTGGGTTGCACTCAGGATCAAATATCTCGTGATCGATGGTTGGAGGATCGACACTCTCAGGATCGATGATTGGAGGGTTGACCCTTTCAGGATCAATGATTGGAGGATTGACCCTCTCAGGATCGATGATTGGAGGATTGACCCTTTCAGGACTGGGGAGTGGGAAATCGAGTTCTTTTCTTGGCTGAGGACAAGGCCATCAAGGAGAGCGAGGATCCAAGTTTTCCTCCGGGTGCACCATGTCGCTCTCCGCCTCCAAGGATGTTGGCGAGTCTGCCAAGGCAGGCGACACGGCCTCCGAGTGACTTGCATCAGTTCGGGGCAACTGGGAACTTCCGCCTCCACTTGTTCCCATCGTAGGTGTAAGTCTGGGTTTCATTGCAGTGAAATGCATCCTGGGCAGTCCTTACGTTACCCTCCTCCTGCAGAACAGTTCAGGTTGACCCAGATTGGAACTCAACCAATGACGTCCATGCCACTTCAACGCATGTATCAGGCCAGCCAGCTCAGGTGCTCGAGGAAACCATAGATATGTTGTTTGCAAATCACACTATAGAGTGTCTAGGCCGTGACCCCGGGACTCTGCATGTACCCGTCCATCGGGAGCACCGACTTTTCCTTTGGTTCATTTCGGCTCTTTATGCGTATTACCAATCCCATCACGAAGTTCCTGCATGTTCGAGGGATCGTGTTCGAGTCTTTGTCTTCAGGCCACGCAGATCCAGATGTCCTTGTGCACCATCTCAAGTTTATGCAACGGTTTCTCCACCAGCTAGGGTTGTTCATCAACGTAGCCAAGTCCGAGACGACTTCCACTCAGTGGCTCCAGTTTATCGTGGCTCTCTTCAACACCCAACTGGGCAGAATGTAGGTCCCTCTGGACTGGTGGTTGAAGATATAGCATATCATGCCGTTGGTACTCCTTCTTTTCCAATGGCAACAGCTACACAGTATTCTGACTTCAGTGTGAGCCATTACTCAGAGGGTCAAATCAAGGACGATCCAGTGCTTCCTACAGCCTGACGATTGCCAGGTCCCGATCTCCCTGCTGATATCACTACAGTCTGAAGAGAAGCAACCTCATATCAACAATCTCAAGTTCAAGGCAGTCATCCTGCCTCACCGTGCATCACACTCATAATCCAGTAACAATTTATTGGTCATTTGGTACATAAACAAGGTGGGCTCCACCAAGTCCTGTCGCTGTCGATCGACTTCTTCCGACTGATCGACACCCTGAACATTACTTTTGGTACATCTATAGAGGTCCCTTGTCTCCAAAGGGTATTCAAGGAGGGTAGCCAGAGATATCACAGAGACTCACTGTTCTTCTACCAAGACCCTCTACAACCACACATTGAAAGCGTTTGACTCCTGCTGCTGACCTCGTAACATCACCAAGCCCACCACTGCCTCTCTGCAGCAGATCGCCGACTACCTCCATCATTCACAATCTACAGGGAAGTTAAAGAGTCCACTTTGGCTACCAATCCTGCGCTGTCATTGCTGCAACCGGATCAAAGATATCTACAGAAGGTCCATAGTTAGGATCACAACACAGGACTCTGACATTTTATGGCAGCTAGACATGTTATACCAGCTCTTACATCCGACTATTGTATTAGGAGGGCGGTCGGGTAGCCTAGTGGTTAAAGCGTTCGCTCATCACGCCAAAGACCCAGGTTTGATTGCCGACATGGGTACAGTGTGTGAAGCCCATTTCTGGTGTCCCCCGCCTTGATATTGCTGGAATATTGCTAAAAGTGGCGTAAACCCACACTCACTCACTATTGTATTAGGATCATGTCACCTGTTATGGTGTGTTTTCCCGCTCATGAGTTATTCTCTTCATGACACTAGGCATTTTGATAGATTCTTTATTTATGACACTGTTTAGCACCAGATTCCTTGTGTATTCAGGCTATTGTATCTGCGCCCCACCAGCCAACCGTGGGATAAATGCATAGTGTGAAGGATATTTTTAAAAATTTGTACATTTTACATTAAATTGTATATTTATATACTTATCCTGTGTCACACGCTATATGCCAACCCCGCATCACAGCTCCTCTAGCCTGTCAGCTCTAAGAGAAAATGATGTGGCAGGGGTATTCACGTGATCAGGTCATGCAGGTCGCTGTGCATGGGATGCACAGATAAACAGCGTGACCCATTTGTTTGGGTGGTGACCATGTGGTGCTGGGATGTGTTCAGGTGGTTTGTTTTTAGAAGCTTGGAAACTTTGTTCAAGCGAGTTTCCACATAGGATTGAAAGATTTGTTTGTTTGTTATTTAACACCGCACTCAGCAATATTCCAGCTATATGACGGCAGTCTGTAAATAATCAGTCTGGACCAGACAATCCAGTGATTGATGTCATGAGCATCGATCCATGCAATACTATACGATGTATCAACCAAGTCAGCGAGCCTGACCAACCCAATCCTGTTAATCGCCTCTTACGACAAACATAGTCGCCTTTTACGACAAGCATGGGTTGCTGAAGACCTATTCTTCCCTGGAACTTCACGGATTGAAAGAAGAAGGAAGAAATACTTAATGTGAGATAGGAAAAGTATATAAATATACAATTTGATGTAAAATTTATGAATTTTTGTTTTCATTAGAGCACAGTCTCCTTTGGTGATGCTGTTTTGTCAACTCTGGACACCTGTGTTGGTAGCGAGATTTGTGAAGAACTGTGGACCCCAGCCAGGTGAGACAGTAAACAGCTCTGGAAGGGAGGTGAATGTACTTTGTATGGATTCAGAGATAGTGAGGTCACATCCTGGCGTCTTGTGTCATGTACCACATGGTGTGTTTCAGTTCACATATTGACATGTCGCTCGATGGTGTCGAGATAATCTGCAACGGCAGTGGCAGCCATCATGAACTAAGGAAAGGACACACACGATATGATCTAGTCAGACAGGCCACGGCCAAGGTAGGAGACTAGAGTTCAAGATCACACACAATATCATCTAGTCAGACAAGCCACACATAATATCATCTAGTCAGACAGGCCACACACAATATCATCTAGTCAGACAACTTGAGACAAGCCACACACAATATCATCTAGTCAGACAAGCCACACACAATATCATATTATAATATGATCTGGTCAGTCAAGTCACACACAGTATGATTTTATTGGCTAAGTCATTTTTCAGTTTTGCAGTTTTCAATATGTGCAAATATAGGTTTGTGTAGTGATAGAGAAAAACACATTTGTGTTCATGGATCTATGCTTCTTACTTTCATTGTAACAAATGTTATATTTGGGATAAGACTTTCTAAGTAAAGTACAGATTCTCATACTTTTTTGGGTTGAGTCCCATCCGGGATTCGAACCCACACTTACTTTCATTGTTTACTTTTTGATTTCATGATTGAACCTCATAGCTACCGTGATGTCCTCCAATCACAGCTCTCGTATGTTTTACAGTGTGGTGGAGCCTATCTGTTCTGTAATATGATTGGCTGTGACGGGGAGAGAGTGTACTACGACGGTGGATCGATGATCTCAGTCAACGGGGAGTTGGTGGCACAGGGGCCACAGTTCTCGCTGCAGGAAGTGGTGAGTGTGTGCTCGTGTTGGACTGTGGTCCTAAGGAGGAAACATGCTAGGTACTGAATTTGAGACTAGGGCGCAGCATTTGAGATTAAATGACATCCTTATTGACTGACTGAGTGAGTTGGGTTAACGGCCTTTAAACAGTATTCCAGCTATATCACAGCACGTCAGCTTGATGTGGGAGGAAAGACAAAGTGATGCAGATCTAAGACGTTTACCACTTTGGTGAAACACACGAGCCCTGGTATGGTTTTGACAAACTTCGTAACATAATTGGAGCAAACCGAGATTTAAACCCACGATCATAGGTTTCTGTCATGTTCAAGGGATGCAACTCTGCACAGCTTATTGGGGCACCAGTGACTCCCAAAACATTATTATAGTGAATCTTGAGTGTAATTTTATCTATATGTGTCAAAGTAAAATGTATAAAAACTATCTACTCAAGTCACTCTGATATTTTACAGATCGTTACCACAGCAACCATTGACCTTGAGGATATTCGAATGTTCAAAAACTCAGTTCGCAGTCGATCAGAGTCGGTAAGTCCATCTAGATACTCTCACCTGGCATTGTGAACTATATTCCTGCTTCTTGTTAATGATGTTTGGACAGTTCATACAAAGTCTAGCTAATACATTGATTATTGCTAAACATATTTCAAAGATATTAATTGCTTCAAAACAAAGTCCCACAAGAGGTACTGGGATCAATTTAGGATTCCAAACTGAGTGCCCTTGTTGGGCAAATTGGGAAAAATCATTATATTCATACTATGTTCCTATCTTCTTAAATACAGATGTATTTAATGATGTTTAACATATTGTAACACCCATTCTTGCCTAAAGGCGAATATGCTTGTCATAACAGGCAACTAATTGGATCGAGTGGTCAGACTCACTGACTTGGCTGATGCATGTCATCTTTTGTTTGTTTCTTTGTTGTTAAACGCCACACTCAGCAATATTCAAGCTATATGACGGCGGTCTGAAAATAATCAAGTCTGGACCAGACAATCCATTGACTGACATCATAAGCTTCAATCCACGCAATTTTCTTTTTTGTCCTGTTATCAGTGAAATACATGTGATATGTACAAGGCCATAACATTTAATGATAACATGAATTGGGAAAAATTTACTGATATTTGCTGCGGACTTTGTGTTGAATATCGGCCTCTGAGTGTGTCTTGCTAAGATCCTGAGGTATAACCCACTGTGTACTTGTACCCCCAGGCCAGTCAGTCACCCATCTACACCAGGGTCACTGTGGACTTCTCGCTGTCGGAGGGGGAGGAATACAACCTGAAACCTGTCTCGGACCCCGTGGAACCCCTTCGCCACACCCCAGAGGAGGAGATCAGGTAACTGAGGGCAACTATGAATGACTTGGGGTATAAATGGCCCAATGGGGCTAATTGAATCAAGGACATTATCACACGTTTGTTTGTTTTTTTGTTTGTTTAAACACCGCACTCAGCAATATTTCAGCTATGTGACTGTGGTCTGTAAATAATGAAGTCTGGACTTAGAAACCTATGACTGACATCATAAGCATCGACATGCATCAACCATGTCAGCACGCCTGACACCCAATCCCATTAGTCACCTCTTATGACAAGCATAGTCGCCTGTAATGGCAAGAATGGCTTGCTGAAGACCTATTCTACTTCACGGGTCCATTATCACATGTATTTGGTTCCAGCAATATTAAATAGACTGCATAGTTTGTACAAGTGTGGGGAAATGAACCAAGCGTCTACACTGTCTCACAGCCCCGGGTTATTATCCCCCGCCGCGCGAAAGCGCGAAGCGGGGGATATAGTATTCACGACCGTCCGTACGTACGTCCGTACGTCCCACCTGTTTGTTGCCGCGATATCTCAAGAACTAAACACTGGATTGTCTTCATATTTGGAACTATGGTGTATATACAGACTCCGCAGACACCAGTCGGTTTTGGTGACCTTGATCCCATTTTCCAGGTCACAGCAGACAAATCTGCTTTTAGAGTTGGAAAACGGTGTTGCCGCGATATCTCAAGAACTAAACACTGGATTGTCTTCATATTTGGAACTATGGTGTATATACAGACTCCGCAGACACCAGTCGGTTTTGGTGACCTTGATCCCATTTTCAAGGTCACAGCAGACAAATCTGCTTTTGGAGTTGGAAAACGGTGTTGCCGCGATATCTCAAGAACTAAACACTGGATTGTCTTCATATTTGGAACTATGGTGTATATACAGACACCGCAGACACCAGTCGGTTTTGGTGACCTTGACCCCATTGTCAAGGTCACAGCAGGCAAATCTGCTTTTGGAGTTAGAAAACGGTGTTGCCGCGATATCTCAAGAACTAATCGCTGGATTGTCTTCATATTTGGAACTATAGTGTATATACAGACACCGCATACACCTGTCAGATTTGGTGACCTTGACCCCATTTTCAAAGTCACAGCAGGCAAATCTGTTTTTGGAGTTGGAAAACGGTGTTGCCACAATATCTCAAGAACTAATCGCTGGATTGTCTTCATATTTGGTACTATGGTGTACAGGCGGGGGATATTTCGTCACTCTGTGACAAATACTTGTTTTGTATGTTATCTGCCTGACAAGATGACATTAGCAATGTTCAAGCAGCATATAGTGAGAAACGCCAGAAGTAGGTGTAACAATTTGTGCAGTTGTGGGGAATTGAAATTAAGTCTCGATGTGACAAGAGAATGGTTTTACCACTGGGCTACTCTGACGTCCTCTTCAGTGGTAACATGTAATGTGGCATGTAGTGTGCTGTCTGATACAGACGCTGCCTGAGACCCATGCAAGAATATTTTCTAGGGATAAACAAGACATATTGTTGATGTTGCTGCTGTAACCGATGCAACTCTGCCTCCAGCCTCGGTCCAGCGTGTTGGTTGTGGGACTACCTACGTCGCAGTCGGCAGGGGGGCTTCTTCCTGCCGCTCAGTGGGGGCGTCGACAGTTCCAGCACAGCCTGCATCGTCAGCTCCATGTGTCATCTAGTGTGTCGGGCTGTCCAGGCAGGAGGTATGTAGGGTCCAGCAAGTAGACTTTCAGAAAAGGACGTTTGGAAACATGTGGCCTTTTTACCTCACCTGGACTGCTAGAATTAGCACACAACACACATGTCCTTTTTTTCCGCAATATTTTCTATTTTGACCTTGTTTTGACCATGCTCTTAAATTCTCTCAATATGCACTTTTTGCTCTGTAAACATGATCTTGAATTCTTTCAAAATTCATTTTTTGCTCTGTAAACATGATCTTAAATTCTCTCAAAATGCACATTTTGCTCGATAAACATGCTCTCTGATTGGCAGACGGAGGAAACTGGACTTTGTCATGTATGCTTCACCTTATGATGACATCATATTTTGTTCCAATCATAATAATCAATATTATCCCATAGGGTTAGAAATAACCAACTTCACACAAAATCTAATTGCGCTGGTGCAGATGTCACTTCACGCACAGCGGTTTAGTGTTTCCGTCATCCCGACAGCATTGTTGACCTCATTCTAATCCTATTGTGACGTAAGGTTGGAATGACGTCACACTAGAGACAACGTTGTAGCTGAAGATTATTGACATCCTTCAACAACTGTGGTTTTCTAAGACGGCAGTCATGAGCAGTGCATTTTTCTGGAGGGGAGCTAAAAAAAATTAGGAAATAATGGATAATAAAGAAATTATTATACAAACATATGTGTTACACTGATCAGATGAAATTGTCGCTCTCAGTCGGGGATTTCAAAACTTCTGACACTCGTTTCGTAAAATCAGTATGACACACATGCTCGTTGAATGATATCTATGTATGTTGTGTTTTCAGCACTTACGTGACAATGGATCATGGATCAATGGTACCTCCTGTTATCTGCTTTAGGTCCCGAGTTTGGTAAACAATGTCCGATTGAGGATTGTTTTATCAGAGCCCTGGCAAAAACTATTCAGATACACGTATTAAACATTCTGATCTTGGTTACACTGAAGTTGACTGAAACTTTCTTTACTTAAACATATATGCATGCATAGCCAAACATATATGCAAACATTAGCAACTTGTTGTGCAACCATGCAGTTATATTGTTATTGTCATTAAACAATATATCATGTGACTAGCCATGGGTCAGAGTACTCCCGTGGGTACCCAGGTCCTACTCAGTACCCACCTGACCCGAGTTACCCGTCCCAGCCCTAATCTGTATTATGCTACGTGTCATTGGTCAGAGTACTCCTGTGGGTACCTGGGTCCTACTCAGTACCCACCCGACCCGAGTTACCCGTCCCAGCCCTAATCTGTATTATGCTACGTGTCATTGGTCAGAGTACTCCCGTGGGTACCCAGGTCCTACTCAGTACCCAACCGACCCGAGTTACCCGTCCCAGCCCTAATCTGTATTATGCTACGTGTCATTGGTCAGAGTACTCCCGTGGGTACCCAGGTCCTACTCAGTACCCACCTGACCCGAGTTACCCGTCCCAGCCCTAATCTGTATTATGCTACATGTCATTGCCAGACAAAACAGTCCTGGAAGATGCTCAGCGGTTGGTTGGGGAGGAAAACTATGTCCCCAGTGACCCCCGGGATTTTGCCAGTCGGATTTTCACCACCTGCTACATGGCCTCGGAGAACAGCTCGGAGGAGACGCGCACCAGGGCCGTGGGTCTGGCCCAGCAGATTGGCAGGTGAGTCAGACCTTGGGTGTGTCGGTCAGTGAATGAATGTGATGCTTACCATCGCTCCCTGTCTCAGCAACATCCCGGCAGGCCGGTAACAGGACCTGGTGCAAGCAAACCCATGGGAGATAGCGTGAGCATCGACCCATGGTTGTTGGGTCCAGTGACACTGGATCAGTCAGCTGAGACATGGTATTATGACCTGGAGCTAACAAACTCATGAACAATAGTGAGAGCATTGACCCATGGTTGTTGTGTCAAGTGACACACTATTTCAGATCATTCACCATTAGAATACTATGCACAGTCAGGAGCCATGATCACCACCAAACTCCCATTAAGTTTCCTTTTACAAACTTTTATGGCAAAACCATGTAATTTGGTAAATTAGGAGTAAAGATTTGATTGTATCTTGCCAACGTTATCCATCTAATGAATTATTTAGTGTCAACTATGTTTCTTCTTCAAACATCAACTCCTTGTACACCAAGCCAGCGGTGTGCCCATGTTAGCCCCTGTAGCATGTAGGACGTTCACAGGAAGTCTTCATGACAATACACAGCATCTGTTACTTTCAGCTACCACCTCAACATCAACATCGACGTCGCAGTGAAAGCCATCCTCGCCATCTTCACCACTGCTTGTATGGTTGTTCCAAAGTTTAAAGTTCACGGGGGTGGTCTGAGAGAAAACCTAGCTCTACAGAATGTTCAGGTATGCATCTCATCACCTACAGAATGTTCAAGCATCAAGGACGCACCCTGGAATTTCAAAGGAAATTCTCTGAACATTCAGTGCAATACTTGTATGGGGGCATGGGTGGCCCAGTCGTTTAAAGAGCCGCAATTTGCTGCGCTCAGTTGTGTCCTTTGGGCACACCTGAAATGTATGATTGTGGGTTTGAATCGCGGTTCGCCCCGTTTATGTTTCTAGGTTTGTCAGCACCATACCTTGCTCGTGGGTTTCACTGAAGTGTTTAACGTCTGTGACTTGCATCACTTCGGGCTTTCCTCCCACATTATGCTGACACACCGTGATATAACTGGAATACTGTTAAAAGTGGCGTCACTCACTCACTCCGTTAACGTTAACTATCCTTGGGGCATCAAACAATGGGGATTCAAACAGTTGGTGCCTCGCAACCTATGCTGATTTTAGGAGATGACTAAATGAATCGGGTGGTCAGGCTCTATGACTTTGTTGATGGCATGTCAACGTACCCTGACAGCATGTATTTTTGCTCATAATATCAGTTGCTGAATTGTCTGGTCCTGACTTGATTATGTAGAGGCTGGCGTTATATAGCTGGAATGTTGTTCAGTGCGGCATTAAATAATACAATAAACTACGGTTATAACGAACTTAAAGGGACTGCTAATTTTAGTTCATATAACCGTAGTTCGTTATAAGCATATATACAGCATAACTACAGCAAATAGTCAGGACCAAAAAAGTAAGTTCGTTATATCCGTCAGTTCGTTATAAGCGTGTTCGTTATAACCGTAGTTTACTGTATACACACACAATCCTATAGGCATCAATGTCACTCTCAAACTGAATCTTTTTCCTCGTCACTTCAGGCCCGTGTGAGGATGGTCCTTGCCTACCTGTTTGCTCAGCTGTGTCTTTGGGCCAGGGGGCGGTCAGGCGGACTGCTCGTCCTGGGCTCGGCCAACGTGGATGAGAGGTGAGACTCAAGTTTATAATTAGAAATAACAAAAGTTGCGATTTTGCGTCTTAAAATAAAGCAGCATTTCTGGTTGTAACTGAAATACTGTCTACTGGCGGCGTTAAGCCCAACTCCCTCACTGTTGATGAGAGATGCCCCTGACACTGTCCATGTACTCCCCAGTCTCCGTGGCTACATGACGAAGTACGACTGCTCCAGTGCAGACATCAACCCCATCGGGGGCATCAGTAAAACAGACCTTCGTCGCTTCATCCAGTATAGCATCAATAGGTACAAGCTGACTGCACTTGCCAGGTAACTCGTCTATGTCTCCTTCAACTGACTTATGGCTACATCTGATTTATAAAACAGACTGCAAAAGGGGTCATTTGTTCAATACTTGCATTGTTCGATCTGTCAGAAGAGAGAAAGAATTCATTTAAAATTTAAATGACAAATTTTATCAGTGACATTATATCTTTCTTCTGAAAAATCACTAGCTCCCTGATGGTCACACCACAGCATTCAGGTTGAAAATACCATCTTCCCCAACTGTCAGCTTGTGTGTCTGGATCAGATGCTGCTGTAGTAGGGCTGCTGACAATGCTTAGACCCTACTTAAAGGTTCAAGTAGTGCATGGTGTTCTCTCATGCAGTGTCTGTCTGTTGCAGCATCTTGAACGCCCCACCCACTGCAGAGCTGGAGCCCCTCACTAATGGCCAGATTGCACAGACAGATGAGGTGAGGCAGCTAGTTGCGTAATGATTCCCATTCCCTGCTGATGATGGATGGATGGATGGATGGATGGATGGAAAAGGGTTGATGGATGGATGAGTTGATGGATGGAATGAGTTGATGGATGGAAAGGGTTGATGGACGGATGGGTTGATGGATGGAAAGGGTTGATGGATGGATGGGTTGATGGATGGAAAGGGTTGATGGATGGAAAGGGTTGATGGATGGATGAGTTGATGGATAAAAAGGGTTGATGGATGGAAAGGGTTGATGGATGGATGAGTTGATTGATGGATGGGTTGAATATGGATGGGCTGATTGATGGATGAGTTGATGGATGGATGGGTTGATGGATGGATGGGTTGATGGATAGGTGATGGATGGATTGGTTGATGGATGGATGAGTTGATGGGATGGATGGGTTGATGGATAGGTGATGGATGGATGGGTTGATGGATGGATGAGTTGATGGATTGATGGGCTGATGGATGGATGGGATGATGGATGGATGGGTTGAATATGGATGGGCTGATTGATGGATGAGTTGATGGATGGATGGGTTGATGGATAGGTGATGGATGGATGGGTTGATGGATGGATGAGTTGATGGGATGGATGAGTTGATGGATTGATGGGCTGATGGATGGATGGGATGATGGATGGATGGGTTGAATATGGATGGGCTGATTGATGGATGAGTTGATGGATGGATGGGTTGATGGATGGGTTGATGGATAGGTGATGGATGGATGGGTTGATGGATGGATGAGTTGATTGATGGATGGGTTGATGGATAGGTGATGGATGGATTGATCAGTTGATGGATGGATGAGTTGATGGATGGATGGGTTGATGGATGGATGGGTTGATTGATGGATGGGTTGATGGATGGATGAGTTGATGGATGGATGGATGGGTTGATGGATTGATCGGTTGATGGATGGATTGGTTGATGGATGGAAAGGGTTGATGGATGGATGGGTTGATGGATGGATGAGTTGATGGGATGGATGGGTTGATGGATAGGTGATGGATGGATTGATCGGTTGATGGATGGATGAGTTGATGGATGGATGGGTTGATGGATTGATCGGTTGATGGATGGATGAGTTGATGGATGGATGAGTTGATGGATGGATGAGTTGATGGATGGATGGCTTGATGGATGAATGGGTTGATTGATGGATGGTTGGGTTGATGGATTGTGATAGATGAATGGGTTGATTGATGGATGGGTTGATGGATGAATGGGTTGATTGATGGATGGCTTGATTGCTTGATGGAGGATTGGGTAGATGGATGTGTTGATGAATAAAAGGATGGATGATGGGTTGATGGTTGGATGTGTTGATGGGTTCATTGATGGATATATTCATGGATGGATGTGTTAGTGTGTTATGATTTGACAAAATATAGATTGGTTGAATGGGTTGATGGATGGGTTGATGGATGGAAAGGGTTGATGGATGGATGGGTTGATGGATGGATGAGTTGATGGGATGGATAGGTGATGGATGGATTGATCGGTTGATGGATGGATGAGTTGATGGATGGATGGGTTGATGGATGGATGGGTTGATGGATTGATCGGTTGATGGATGGATGAGTTGATGGATGGAAAGGGTTGATGGATGGATGACTTGATGGATGAATGGGTTGATTGATGGATGGTTGGGTTGATGGATTGGTGATAGATGAATGGGTTGATTGATGGATGGCTTGATTGCTTGATGGAGGATTGGGTAGATGGATGTGTTGATGAATAAAAGGATGGATAATGGGTTGATGGTTGGATGTGTTGATGGGTTCATTGATGGATATATTCATGGATGGATGTGTTAGTGTGTTATGATTTGACAAAATATAGATTGGTTGAATTGGTTGATGGATGGGTTGATGGGTTATTGGATGAATTGCTTCCTGTTGTTTCACAAGCTGTGTGTGGTGTCCCTGCAGGAGGACATGGGCATGTCGTATGATGAATTGTCCGTGTACGGGAAGCTGAGGAAACAGAAGTATTGTGGGCCATACAGCATGTTCTGTAAGCTGATTCACCTCTGGCGCGACAAGCACACCCCCATCCAGGTGAGTGTCACTTTGTATGCAGTGCTGCTAGATTAGTCACCAAGGTCTAGTACAGGAGTAGCACAGACCTGTGGTTTTGTCTCTCTCGTATTGGTCATGGTTGTAGGGACAGTATTGAGTCACTAGTTGAGTGAGGACTTATCGGCTCACATGCCAAATATGATTTGGTCAGTACTTGATATCACTGCAAATAGCTTGGACTCACAACAATTTGAATCAAATTGTCCAATCAATTGTTGTGCATGATGTATTGTGAAGTATACACGTTTATGTATGGGACATGATTAATATTTTCTTATCTTGACACAACATATTGCTTTCTTCTTCACATCAAACATATAACATAGAGGGCATGTCTCCTCTACATCCAGGGCGCTCGTTGCCCTTGGTTACCAATCAGAGTTATCTGTCCTTGATCCCTCATTTTCCTTCTTGTTGCACAAGAGGATACATCAGAGCTTGCTTTTGGGTAATCATACACTTAAACATTCTTTTTACAAGTTCTTGATGAACGGAACTTCATAGTAACCTTCCTAGGTGGTTGCTACATTATACTGTTAGGCGAAAGTTATATTCGCACTGCAAATTTTGTACTTTTTTTCAGTATGTTGTCGATAGAAAATATTTCCTGCCAAATCAGGACGTGTTGTTCTGTCTATGCCATAGTCTGTCTTACAGACCCTGATACAAATATATATCAAATACAGCCCATGCAAGTCTATAATGTTTGGCAAGTCTAGATTACTGCAGTATCAGGAAATCTGAAAATGAAGAGAGTCACTGGGCTCCCATTTATTATATTTTTATTAAGATAACTGAACAACTGTTTTTATCTGTACGATATGTTCATTTCAGAGACTAGATGTTAGTCTTTCTATGCCAGTCAGGTCAAGAAGTGATCCCAACATCGACTGTCGTGGTTACAGGAAATCATGGTTGCTGTTTGGATTCATGATGTGTGGAGTGTCATATATTTTATCATCAGAGCAGGTTGTGGCCTGTCTATAGCACATCAAGAAGTGGAGGACTCACAGTCACAAAGGGAGAGTTCGATCCATGAGAGAGGCGGCAGCTTTGATTACGATCACCATGGTCTTCACATCTTCTACCCTGACTGCTTCAGCTAGGGGAGTGGCTGCCATGGCGACAACAACGTTGCTGACTGGCAATGTCCCGTCCTGTACAGACATCTTTCTGTACTCTGGATGTTCTCAAGACTCTTACAGGGCGGTCGGGTAGCCTAGTGGTTAAAGCGTTCGCTCGTCACGCCGAAGACACGGGTTCGATTCCCGACTTGGGTACAATGTGTGAAGCCCATTTCTGGTGTCCCCCGCCGTGATATTGCTGGAATATTGCTAAAAGCGGCGTAAAACCAAAATCACTCACTCACTCAAGACTCTTACACCAGCATCTGTCCCTGTCATGCATCGTCTTCCATCGGATCCCCCCTTTTCAAAACCAAATTATCTGAGAGAGAATTTTAGTATTTTTGACCCAACTAAGGCTGGGACGGGTAACTCGGGTACAGAGGTTGGAAGGGTCCTGAGTAGGACCTGGGTACCCACAGGACTACCCGGACCCGTGGTTAGTCACGTGATATGTTGTTTTATGACAAAAATTATCTAAAACTCTATGGTTACACTATAAGTCACTAATGTTCCCATTTCTTTCTGACTATGCAACCATTCCTTCTGACTTTTAGATGTTTGAATAAAGATAAAACTTCATGCAGTAAACATGACCAGATCGTTTTACACATGTATCTAAATACATTTTGCCACGGCTATGGTCATACTTTTCCAAATCGGACAGTTTGTACCTATCTCTAAATATCTACAGCGGGTACCCGGGTAGGGTCAGGTAATAGGGTGGTGGGTACCCGGGTAGTAAATTTGGACTCGTCCCGGCCCTAGACCCCACCCTTATAAACAAATGCTGTATCCTCCCTTGTGATGACCTCCATGGTCACAATGTCTTTTCCCCTGACCATGCTGGCCATGGGGACATCCACGACAACGACATTGTTGACCGTTGTTGTTTCCTGCCTGGACTGGCGCCTTCACCCTCCATCGCTACAATGAGCGTTTTGGCATCCTGGATGTCATGGTCACCAGGGCTGTCTGTCCTCCACCTGCCCATCTCTCTGTCCTGGTTGTCATGGTCACCAGGACTGTCCTCCACCTGCCCATCTCTCTATCCTGGATGTCATGGTCACCAGGACTGTCCTCCACCTGCCCATCTCTCTGTCCTGGATGTCATGGTCACCAGGACTGTCCTCCACCTGCCCATCTCTCTGTCCTGGTTGTCATGGTCACCAGGGCTGTCCTCCACCTGCCCATCTCTCTGTCCTGGTTGTCATGGTCACCAGGGCTGTCCTCCACCTGCCCATCTCTCTGTCCTGGTTGTCATGGTCACCAGGACTGTCCTCCACCTGCCCATCTCTCTGTCCTGGTTGTCATGGTCACCAGGACTGTCCTCCACCTGCCCATCTCTCTGTCCTGGTTGTCATGGTCACCAGGGCTGTCCTCCACCTGCCCATCTCTCTGTCCTGGTTGTCATGGTCACCAGGGCTGTCCTCCACCTGCCCATCTCTCTGTCCTGGTTGTCATGGTCACCAGGACTGTCCTCCACCTGCCAATCTCTCTGTCCTGGTTGCCCTTCATGGCTTGTCCACTCGGCACAGGCGTCTCCTCCACTCCACCTAGGACCTAAGTGTTCACAGGGTATCGGAATAAAGAGATTTTGAGGGATGGACAGCACCTTTGCTAACTACTGTCCAAGGGACAACTTTGGGAAGGATGTTTGGGTGTGTAAGGATGTCACAACATTTTCTGTCAAATTGTCAAGCTCTTGCTGATATACAATACAACTTGAGGCTCCGTCCACAACACTGGGATTTCAGATCGCCATAACAAGCTGCCGATGAGAGTTTGTCAAATATTATTTTTCCTATTATTCTCACCGTCAGTGTCCAGACTATTTACACACCACATTTCTGCCCCCAGATTGCAGACAAAGTCAAGTTTTTCTTCCGGTCCTACTCCATCAACCGCCACAAAATGACAGTGTTGACCCCGTCGTATCACGCAGAGGGCTACAGCCCAGATGACAACCGCTTCGATCACCGCCAGTTTCTGTACAACGCTCAGTGGCCGTGGCAGTTTGCAGCCATCGACAGAGAGGTAGAACAGTCTCCCATGAGTTATTGTTGAGTTCAGACCATCACTTGTGAGTAGTTGTTGGGTGAGGGGGGGGCAGTGGATGAATGACCAGTGACTGTCCAGCAGTGCTAATCTGCAGCATAGATCACTGTGTTGCCAATGCCAGGACGGTCAACACTATGATGAAATGTGTTTAAGTGCACAATTTAGAATTCTAAATTTTAATATTCTGCTGCTCTGTTTGTATAGTTGTTGTTTAACGCCACACTCAGCAATATTCCAGCTGTATGACGGCGGTCTGTAAATAATCGAGTCTGGACCAGACGATCCAGTGACTGACATCACGAGCATCGATCCACGCAATTGGGATATGATGACATGCATCTACCAAGTCAGCAAGCCTTATCACCCGATCCCGTTGTTCGCCTTTTACGGCAAGCATGGGTTGCTGAAGACCTATTCTAACCCGGATCTTCACGGGTCATGAGTATTCTCATGTTGATTTCACTAAAGTGCAAAATAACCTATATTAACCCGACTTGCTGCACTGTAAGAGATGATACACAAGATAATTCATACAGAGGCTATTGTATCCTCTCCTATATTTACTGTGTTAGTCTTGCCGTTGTTACCATTTTGTTATGATATGTTTAGGTTTTGGTCGTTGTAACAATCTCATTAAAATTAGATCTTAGTTCTCGCTACCGCTTAACAAAAATCTCTACCGCTAAGCAAAGATCTGAGGACATCCCATTACGGGTCACGTCAGACCGACCTTGTGCGAACTTTGACTGACCAATGGAATGACCAGTCAGAAGGCAGCCTTCTTGTGCTTTCCGGCACTAATTTCGAATTGGTGACTATGTTTTGAAACATATTTTGACAAATTCTCGATTATACAAATTTGAAACCTGAACAAAAGAACATTCTGTTTAATACTGACTTATAATGGCTAATAGATGGTCTAGATTGTATGGATTCAGTCGTTAAACACGTAACTATCGTTCAGAAATCACATTCCGACTGTCGCTTTCCTAATCTGGTAAGCGTTGTTCTGATTGGTCGGATGAAAGGTCGTTCTGACGTGACCCCTAATGGGATGTCCTCAGATCTTTGTTAAGCGGTAGCGAGAACTGAGGTCTGATTTTATTGAGATGTAGATCGTTGTAACTGGAGGCCAAGGACTACGTTGTACTGCATTAGGCCATGTAGACAGCATTAGGGATTATAGATGGCTATAATATACTGAACACAAACATTTAGTGATCATGAATATTTTGGGGATATTTGTGAAGACTGAGAACACAATTTATCATCCAAAACTGGCTCCCACAGGAGATATTGCTTGGGTGAGATCAAGTGATATCTACATTGTAGATATCGCTGCAATGAAATTGCATCGCAATGCTTTGCAGACCATTATGACGTTACAATCAACTGACATCACTAATGGCTCTGCTACTGAAGCTGTCAGCAGTACTTTTTACTCTTAGACACTGCTTATTACTGTCTTCAAAATGAAAAAGTTGGAAGAATGATGATGGATGATAAATAAAATCTCAGCCGAGTGTCTTTTGATATAAAATGTATCAACACTCGTTGAAAAAAGTGGAGTTTTACCACTTTTATCAACTCGTGTTGATATATTTGATATCAAAAGACACTCGGGTAAAATTCTCTATTTCATAAAAATATTTCCCCAAATAGTCATGATCTCCATTTTTTGTTCGGTATAGATTGATGTTCCCGGGTTTGAAATGAAATTGGTTCATGACACGTTTCTGGTTGAAAAGTTTTAGGAATCAGAAAAAGGTGGAGATGGGCTGCTTCTGTTTTGCATGTCATACAAACTCCTTCCTAGTGTGTTATTTGTTTCCAAAAGGCAAAACGGATCTCTGACTGTTGGAAGAGGAACCCTGGACTGATCCAAGCACGGAACTCTGGAAAAAGTGATGGCAGTTCCCGATCCCCTGTCAGCTCTACCCGTGGAGGAACCAAGGACTCAAACAGCACGACCAGGACAGGACAAGCCGGCAGTTCCATCATGGGAGTCACTGTGTCCACAGATGCTCCTGCTGTCCCGGTCCAACCCGAGAACACAATCACCGCCCTTCCGGATCCAGCCGTGTCCACAGATGCTCCTGCTATCCCGGTCCATCCCCAGAACACAACCACCGCCCTTCCGGAGCCTGCAGTGTCCACAGATGCTCCTGCTGTCCCAGTCCAACCCGAGAACACAGCCACCGCCCTCCCGGAGCCACTCATCAGTGTCCGGGTCTCGGCCCTCAACACAACACAGGGTGATGGGTTTACCCATGATCCACTCAGTCTTCCGGGCAGCAGGAAGAGATGTGGTCTCCAGGTGGGTGTTGCGGAAATATTTGGTTGGGGAAGTTTTAAAGTGGTAAGTCACTCCTGGAATTAATTTTGTTTGTTGTTTAATACATTACTCAGCAGTAGTCCAACTATATGAGGGGTGGTCGGGTAGCTCAGCGGTTAAAGCATTCACTCGTCACGCCGAAGACCGGGTTCGATTCCCAACATGGGTACAATGTGTGAAGCCCATTTCTGGTGTCCCCCGCCGTGATATTGCTGGAATATTGCTAAAAGCGGCGTAAAACCATACTCACTCACTCCAACTATATGAAACAGTTTGTAATAATCAAGTCTGGACCAGGCAGACAAGTGATTGATATCATAAACAACATCCCATGCCGTTGAGGTATGACCCCACACAATCAACCCAGTTATCGAGTGTGACCACTCAATCCATAGGGCCACCTTTCGCAATAAGCATAGGTTGCTGGGAACCAACTCTAACCTGGAACTAACAGACAATACGATCAAACAATCAAACATATGCAAGAATAATGCAAGTGAGTACTGTTTTTAACATACCAGTATTTATTTTGTTAGTCGATGATGTTTGCTGACACAGCCAGTGTGAAGAAAGGCAGGTGTAATCACCGTCAGGAGTCGGATCCTTCCATCCCCGGCAACCATGGACTGGTCTCGGACAAGTGGCGATGGCAGACTGATGATGGAAGAGCTAAACAGGATGTGGATAGAGTCACACTGCATTGTGGGAGGGAGATGCACTTTGACACAGTTAAGCTCCACACAGTGTTGTGTTCCTGATCAAGAGGGGTCACATAACTTGTGGCCTCGTGAGGAGCTGAATCAGAGCATATGGGTTTGTGTGTGTGTGCAGGATATATATACAGAGGTTTTCTACTTTCCCAAACAGGGTCCAACTGTCCGGCCTAGTCATCCAACTTGAGGGTACACGGGTAGCCCAGTTCTCTGTGCCGCAATTCGCTGTGCAGAGTTGTGTCCTTTGGGCACATCAGACACCTATGATTGTGGGTTTGAATCCCAGTCACCTCGATTATGTTTCAAGGTTTGTCAGCATTATACCCATGCTCATGGGTTTCACCAAAGTGGCAAATGTCTGAGACATGCATCACTTCGGTCTTTCTTCCCACATCAAGCTGACACGCTGTGATATAACTGGAATTCTGGTCAAATCTTCTTTGAACCCCCTCACCAACTCACTCACTCTCATCGCACTTAATTTGTTGTAAAACTGCACACATACCAACCAATATCTGACTTTTGCCAAGAACTCTCCGAATCTTTATGTTAAATTATTTCTATAGAAACAAGATGAAATAACGTGAACATGATTCTCTATCAGCCATGGCTAAAGTGAAGCAGTTTGCTCTTTTGAATTTTTTGTAGATGCTTAATTAATGGTTAATCTTCACACGTGCAAACATATTACCTCGGTACAAACTATCAAGAAACATGAATAATTGCTATGACGATATTGATGATTTAGTCTTCATGTTTAAAGCAGTCTTAGTCATGACTACCCACAGAGGCCCAGGCTGGGATGTGGTGCTATCAGTGGGGAATAAGAGAGAATAACAGGCTAGGAATATTACAGATTCAGGTCTCGAGAGAATTACTTTCTGGAGAATACCCGCAAATGAAGTATTTACATAGAATGATACTAAGTCTCGTTTGTTGTTTAACGCCGCACTCAGCAGTCTTCCAGCTGTTTGACGGCGGTCTGTATAAATAATCGCCTCTTACGGCAAGCACAGTCACCTTATGTATTTATCATGAATATCACAGACTGTCTTTAAGGACATACAAAATTATTGATGGTTGCTTCAACATGGTCAAGTGCAGATTATAGTCAGGAAATTTGAGTGAGAGAGTATGGTTTTACGCATCTTGTAGCAATATTCCAGCAATATCATGGCAGGGGACACCAGAAATGGGCTTCACACATTGTACCCATGTCGGGATTCAAACCCAGGCCTTCAGTGTGACAAGTGAACGCTTTAGTCACAAGGCTACCCCACCGCCCTCAGGGAGTTGGACAAAGATGCAAGATCTCATAGGAATATGTACTCAGTGTGATGTATATAGCCAGTTTCAGCAGCTAGTCCGATAACTGATTCTTTCATCTGGACCGTGTGAAATGAGAACTAAAATGCAAATATTCATAAATGACAGTAGCGGGTAACCTCGCCTAGGTGAACACTACCCAGCTGACTGTCGTTTTACATCATGACTTTTTTGTATTATCTATTATCTATCATAAACAAAATGTTTTTATGAAAAGATGTTTCATGTTTTGTCTGAAAAAAATAATTATATACTACTCAAAAATAGTTAAGGACCACTCAATTCTTTCATATTACTATAGTTAATCTGTCATATCATGACAGATTAACTACAATTTTGTTTATTTGTTGTTAAAGGCCACACTCAGCAATATTCCAGCTATATGATGGTAGTCTATAAATAATCGAGTCTGGACCAGACAATTGATAATCATAGCAATATGAAAGAATCAAGTGGTCCTCAACTTTTTATGTTGGTTTATCGGTGTCTGTTTATGCATGGTGATTTGCGGATGTGCCTGAGAATATTTTGTTATGCCTACTTGTTTGTTTTGTCTGCAAACTGTGCAGATATTCCAATACACAGACACCTTGTTAACTGGAAACTTTGTTAACGGACAGTCACCGGGACCATGTAAAACATGTTGATTTCTCCGTTGTTCTGTGTTCGACCATAGGACCATATAGTCACACGCTCTAGAATAATATATTGAGATGAAGGAATCGGAGTAAACAAGATCGTGATGAATGTATACATCTGTGCCAATAAAAGTGTGATTTCAGTTAAAACCTATGTTCTTTGTATATAGCATTAAATCTACTCATATTGACAGGACCAGTTTGTCTTGTGTAACTAAAGAGAATACTTCAAATGTTGAAGTGAATTATAGTCTGTGTGTGTGCGAGTGAGTGTGTGTGTGAGAATCGGCACTATTCAAGCTGTATCACAGTGGACTGTAAGGGACCGGTCATTTATTACACAGTGGAGGGTGTTTGCACTAATGAACTGAAAATAATTACCCTTCCCTTATACTTGTCATATTTTGGGATGACCCTCCCCATGTCGTTGTACATGTTTTTCATGACCCTTCCTGATAAGACAAAATGCAAAAAGCACTTTATTTTTTATTATTAAATGTCCATTTGTTTCATGACCCTCCCCAAATATATGTAATATTTTGTATAACCCGCCCCTCCCCCAATTCTCTCTGACTCATCCATTCCTATAATAAATGACTGGTCCCTATATTAACCAGTGGTTGATATTATGAGCAGTGGGCCAGCTCCAAGCTGAGGTCGTTGTTTGACACGCCATAGGTCAAGCCATTTTGCATGGAGGCAGTTGAACACAAAGGATTGTGATGTCTGAGGTGAGGTGAGGTGAGGTGAGGTGAGGTGAGGTGAAATGGGGTTTAACGTCGCGTCCAAGATTATTGCACTTATATAGCGACGTGCATGCACGTGTGTGTTTGTGTGGCTGTTTGTACTAGTCCGGACTGATGCCGACTTATAGTGCTAGCACACTGAGATACCATGCTGCAGTTTAACATGAATACCACACTCAGACACAGAATACTGACTCCGAGCCGACCAGTCTCTGTTTTAGCCCCTTAATTCCGAGAGCCAGGCAGGTTAACCTACCATCTTTTAACGTCTTTTTAAAATAGTTTGAGTGGGTGGCGGCCATGTCCCTATTCATCTATGAATTCAGAAAATACTCTATCCAAATCACAATAATCACCTATTGAAACTGAGGATTTGACGTCACCTACACAGAAGCTAGTATGTATAGGAAGGTATGCTATCTCCTGATGTAGACTTTATACTAATATATATTTATCTGCAAAGGATGAGGCCAAACACGACAACACAGCTACAGAACAGTCAGTTTATTTCTGATCAACTCCAGCTGACTGCGGGACCAGGAGAAGGGCATGGGGATGTTGTCCTCGGCAGTGTCCATGGAGATGTTGCGGTCAACAGCAGTGTCCATGGTGTCTATCTGTCCAGTCACATCACTGTAACATATATCAGTAGAGAGTCATGAGTGATTATTTATTTACGCCACATTTAGCAACATTCCAGCAATATCACAGCAGGGGACACCAGAAATGGACTTCCCACATTGTACCAAAATGGGGAATCGAACTCGGTTCTTCAGCATGACGAATTGTTGAGTTGTGATTTACACCACATTAAGCAATATTCCAGCAATATTCCAGCAATATCACAGCAGGGATCACCAGAAATGGGCTTCACACATTGTACTCACGTGGGGACACATATTGCACCCATGTGAGGAATTGAACCCTGGCCTTAGGGATGACGAGAGAACACTTGACCCACTAGGCTACCCCACAGTCCCAAACTGTCCTGTGTTATGTTCTGTCGAGACGAACCAACAATAGGTAATTAATGCAAAATTATAGAAAAAAATTATATCCACCATTAAATGGTTAAAGCCGGAGAAATCACTCGAAAAAGTTGATTTCAGAAGCAGAATCAACAGATTCTCATGATTTCTCCATTAAAGACCGAAAGTGGCTGTACAGGCAGGCAAATCCTTAAGGTGTGACATGGCCAAGCCTGCCATGTTTGTGAAATGTTCCAATTCCCAACTTACTCCGCATCTCCTTGATCTGCTGAAGCACTCTGCTCTACATCCTCAGCTCCACTGTTCCTTGCATCAAGGTCAAGGTCAAGGTCAAGGTCCAGATATAATGTGTTTACGTCCTGACATGGAAGAATCCCCACAGGAATGTGTTGCCAAGCAACAGAGGCTGAAACCATCAATGGGACAATGGTTTAGAAAATTAATAGCATACTAGACTTTTCATGCCACTACTTCTTGTTATCGGACATAATTAACCGTAATTTGCATTTGGAGAAATGAGAAAATGTCCAACATGAATGTTTCTTACCGGAACATTTTTTCCACTGGGACTTGGGGGACCTTTTGCACACAATCTGGTGTGTAGCTGGACTATCCTGCAGTAAGTCTGAAAGTATCATACAAAATTACCAGCAAGCATCCAAAGTGACAGAGTTCTACACAGAGCTAATAATCCCATAATAACTTGCAGCTCAGCTATATGATCAATCGCTCCCCACGACAAGAAACAACCCCCCTACCCCTCCACGCCCACGCCCACGCCCACGCCCACGCCCACAACCACATCCACCAACTCAGACACTCACCTGCCACAGAGAACAACTGTACTTGAGGCCTGGCTTCCATTGACCTTGACCTTTTGTTTCCCCGGCTTGCCGACTTCCTGTTTCGGAGAAGTATCTGGACCAGTTCGTTCAGCCTCTCTGCCGCCTCCACTGTCAACAGTGAGTTCTCACGACTTGCAAACCTGCGGAATAATAGCACCTATACTATACTCCACCCATTTGACAATGCACAATCAGCATGATGTGTTTACAGCCATGTTTACATGTGTTATAAGTGTGACCTACTTACGCTGTCAGCAGGTCATGTGTGTAGATGTTCGGATGCTTGAGACACTTCTGTAGTAGCGGGAGCTCACACAGCGCCACCTGGTGGCTGAACAGTGACTCTGACCTGCCCGATGGGACTGAAGAAAATGTCAACATATGATTCATGTCAGTCATACACACAAGTGTGTGAAATAATTTATCAACAGTACGAGCCAGTCATGCTGGATAGAAAATATTTACCTAACCAACTGTAGATCTAAGTAGCCAGTTCTTTCACGACCAAATACAAAGAGAAATCTGTTAGCAGAGACAGTGTTGTTTCAAGTTTCAACAATTTCTTAGTTAATATCAAACAGGTTTCTGTCACCTGTGACTAGACAAGGGACCATCACAAGCATGACTAATCAATCAATCGAGTTTATTTCGTAATTCAGGCCACAAGGCCCATAGAACAGTTGTAAGATAAATAACATTTTAGGTCACATGTCCATAGTATCACATCTCTGTTGATCTCACTTGAAATAATTTACATAATTATAAAGCTATCAAGCGTAGTACATTAATATCACACGACTTAAACAATGATACAGTACATCCTCAATCTCATTAAAATCAGATCTTAGTTCTCGCTACCGCTAAACTTTGATCTGATTTTAATTGAGATTGGTACATCCTTGAAATATGAGGAGGTGAAATGGGGTTCAACGTCGCGTCCAAGATTATATATTACACTTATATAGCGACGTACATACACGTGTGTGGCTGCTTGTACTAGTCGGGACTGATGCCGATTTATAGTGCTAGCTCACTGAGATACTATGTCTCAGTTTAACATGAATACCCCACTCAGACTTCCGAGTCGACCAGTCCTTGTTTTAGCCCATTAAAGCCAAGCACCAGACAGGGTAACAACAAGTACCATATCTTAACACTATGACGCGGCCAGGGATCAAACCGTGGACTTTCCTCTCTCCGGTCCTATACCACTAGACCACAGATGCGGTCCTTGAAATCAGAAATCAGCCCTTTAAAATCCTGTTACGAACACTTTTTGCAGGAATTTTGAATAAACATATTATAGTTCAACTGGATAGAAAATTAAATACCGGTAAGCTACTCTAGCTATCTTGATTAAAGAAAATAAAGAAGTTGTGGGCTACTGGGCAGGCGCTTATTCTGCATGCTGCATAAAGACATAACAGACATTGTGAACAAACAATCACTGTTTTCTTTCAGGACCACCAAGGACTGAAGGACCACAGTCGTTTAGAACAAAACTAAGACTGTGAGACTTACATGATATAGTATAGGGACAGACTAGGGTCTGCAGCCATACATGCACCAGTCTGTTCCAATGAGATGCCTCACTTGAGACGGCAGATGCGAGATGTTCAATTAAACATGGTGTGAGGCGGAGATTGTTGACTTCCTGCAGGAGAGGTCGCCAGAACACTGCCAGAACCCATGCTAGTTTATTACTGGTGGGGCCTGAAGAGAAGGGAGATACTATGTCAGTCGAGTGGGGTGGCACGTAGTCCTGTGTACTGTGCACAGGTCACAAACCAAGTGAAGTTAAACAACATCGGTCATGGAGAATAGTTGGATAGGTGTTCGGCAGCTTGACTCCTTAGAGTTTTTAGGGCTTCTGATCTGCCTACACTGAAGCACATGTAACATAAATATTTGCCTCTGTTGGCCCAGCCGTAAATGGGTACCCGGTAGGGTTAGATGGTAATGTAACAGTAAACCTTGTAGTGCCTCACAAACAGGTATGGTGTATGATAATTGTTTTGACTGTGACAGACAAAAGAATAGATTTTCTTATTTCTTATATATGTGAGATAGTGTTTCCCCAGGGACAACCTACAGTCTGCAGTGATGCCCATGTGAGCAAGTTGTTCCTCCGTGGGCAGCAGACATCCAGGTTCCAGCAGCAGGACCAGAGTACTCTCCCTTGGAGGACGAAGCACAGCATCACAAGAAATGCACAAACACATAACATACTCGATTAACTATAATGGTCAGCAATAAGATCACCCTTCTAAAAACATCCCAATCGCCTCCCTTTTAAATCACCCGACTCTCCTTTTTAGATTTCGTTTTGAGGAAATGTGTCTCAAAATGACTAATATTGTTGTGTACTTTCTTTGATATCTACAAAATGCCTCCCTCCTCACTTTGAGGAAACATGATGCTCCCTGAATACTGCTGAATAACTCAAACTGGTCTAAACAAGTAACTAGCAATACAACATTTCATCATGTTGAATTTAGAACAGTTTTAAATAGACTTTGAAAGGCATTTGGAAGTGATACACATGAGGAAGAGAATTAATAGATGTCAACGTCTTTATTATGAAGAATGTTTCGGAGAATATACGTACTCCTTCATCAGGTGAATAAAAAGCATTGCAAACAATGTGTTAACTACATCTAGCACATAAGTCATTGTACCATTGCATCAATGTTATCAACACAACACAATTAAAACCAAGAACAGTTTTGGAACATGGCTACTGAAAAGACTACTTACATGCAACTTATAATACTACTTGCACATCCACTGATAATACTACTTGCATAGATACTGATAATACTACTTGCACGCCTACAGAGAATTCTACTTGCACGCCTACAGAGAATTCTACTTATATGGCTACTGATATACTACTTACATAGCTACCGGCAATACTACCTACACTGCTACTTATAATATTACTTGCACATCCACTGATAATACTACTTATCTAGCTACTGATAATACTACTTACATGGCTACTGATACTACTACATGCAGGGCTACTGATAATACTAATTACAGGCCTACTGAAGAGACTACTTACACACCTACTTATAATACTACTTGCATGGCTACTGATAATACTACTTGCATGGCTACTGATAATACTACTTACATGCAACTTATAATACTACTTGCATGGCTACTGATAATACTACTTACATGCAACTTATAATACTTCTTGCATGGCTACTGATAATACTACTTGCACTTGTACTTATAATTCTACCTGCATGTCTACAGAAAATTCTACTTACACAGCTACTGATAATACTTTCTTCATCTCTTGCAACACCTTCTGACCTTCTTCACCTGTCTGAATGTCGCTCACATCAAATGTCTTCCCAGCTAGCTCCTGAAGATATAGTTCATATGGTAGCAGGTTACAGTACGATCATGATGACAAGAAATGATAGGACTCCAATAAGACACAGGCAGCTATCTCACCTGGAAGCGTATCTGTTGATACGCAATGATGAGCCGGGCAGCCTGTTCCTCACAGCCTTTCTCTCTCATCACATCCGCCATTACTGGGTACTCCAACTAGAAAAAGACAATGTGCAAATAACTCACAATGTGAACACATATGGAACTATCACTCTTTGAAAACAATCACTGAAAATAGAGACATATTATGCATTTTTTTATGTCATATCAGGCAAAATTTTAATTTTTAATATTTAATATTTTTTAATTTATTTTATTTTTTAAAGTATTATGGTTATTTATTCTACCCCCATTGTGGGATCATTAGTGTAAATATTACCTATGAAGGTAGAAGAATGAATGTAAGGACATTTCCATATGACATCACATTACTCTGTTGTGGAGAACAATATCATGTGATGTCATCAACTGTTCATGACATCACAAAGTGATAACATTATGTCATCTGAACTCTAGACTTTGGTCGTCTAAGGACCAGTGATTCGCTGTGCAGAGTTGCGTCCCTTGGGCACGCCAGAAACCTATGATTGTGGGTCAATCTCATTAAAATCAGATCTCAGTTCTCACTACCGCTAAACAAAGATCTGAAGACATCCCATTAGGGGTCACGTCAGAATGACCTTTCATCCGACCAATCAGTGCGTCGCTTACTAGATTATGAAAGTGACAGTTGGAATGTGATTTCTAATCATGCAATCTCAAAAACTTTAACATGTATTCTGAACGATAGTTACGTGTTTAACGGCTGAATCCTTACAATCTAGGCCATCTATCAGCCATTCCAGAATGTTTTTTTGTTCAGGTTTCAAATTTGTAATCGAGAATTTGTCAAAATATGTTTCGAAGCGTAGTCGCCAATTTGAAATTTGTGCTGTAAAGCACGAGAAAGCTGCCTTCTGATTGGTCATTTTTTCAATTCAAGAAGGCCTCTATTTTCACTGGTTAGTTATCCTCTTTTACACTCTTGCCATTTGGCTTGTGCAACATTGTTAAAATAAACATCTATGTATAGATGCCTTAGTTAAAAGAAAGGCATGCAACAATTTTTTTAAGTGCATAATTTATCCATCATCAAACCTTCTGAATGTTCACTTACCATCTCTTTAGCCTGGAAGCGAATCTTCCTGTACGACTTCATCCTCTTTGACATAGATTTTACAGATGCTTTTGTCAGTTTACTTTTGGTATCCTGGATTCTGCTTGACGTGTTCCTGGGAACAAGTTGTCGCTCCCAGAAATTGTGCTGAAATCAATCATTACCATATTGGTACAGGATAGATCACTGGCGCTGGAAAGAGGGAATCGATGTTCTATCCTCAGGTGATGGGTTTCAGGACACTTAAGAAACATTCGTAGTTTTCTCGTTAATCACAAGAACAACCGTAAAACATCTCACTCACTCATAAAAGATAACTTTATCTTAAAAACAAGCCATAATCTGATTATTTACAATGTCTGTGTGATGCCACACCCCTCGAGTAATCGCGATAAACATGGCCGTGCAAAACTGTATGATAATTGAAAACACATAATCCAACAATATTACTAGGGGTAGAATGTATTTTGATAGATGTTAATAAATACAGGTTAACAAAATTTTCAAAAGCAACTGGGGTTTAGACCAACTGGATCTACCACAGGAACTACAAATGTTGAAGGAGCCAACGCTTTAACCTCTCAGGTACCTCACCACCCCTGTGAACATCTGAGGATATCTTAGTAAAAGAAAACTGCTGCAAAACACTCATACTATACCCGCCATCTGTTTTGATGCAGATACTGTGGTGCTCAGAAACAACAGCATGTATAAAATATCCACAAGAACATAATAGTGTTGCTTTATCTTTTTGCATTTGGAACTCCCTGTTGATATTCCTTTTCGACATCCAGAAATCAGATATGCTTATCTGAATGCTTTGCTCACTCATATCAAGAATTTAGAAATTAGAAGTCTCGGTGGTGAATGCCACAACATGCAGACATATCGTATCGGAGCAAACAATCTGATTTTAATGAGATAGTGTGTGGAGGTGTATTGTGGTTGAAGGTGTGATTTGTCACATCGTTACAACATACGGCTGGATTACTGCTTAAAGAAGAGAATAACCGCCCTGGGTGGGGTAGGAAACTGACAAGGGAAGGGTGCTATAAAAAACATACACAAGTTAAATTTGATTTCAAGGATCGTGCGGTAGTGAACGGACATTTCAATAAAAGTTTTCAATAAAGTTACAATGCACTTGTAAATTCCTTCTATGCTACTGGTTTCTGTAATATACATAAGAAAATTTGGAATGTCATACATTTCAGCCTTAGAAGGGGGCGCTTATAACAATTACTTAAAGATTGGTCAAGAATTTGGTCGTTCCGCTAACTGGAGCAGGGCACTTAATAGGCAAATACAGTAACCTACTCACTCACTGTCAAAGAGAATCAGTGTAGCTACTAACCTTGAGCCATTCAACAGCCCACTGCGTTCCCCGGGCCAGGACGTCGAGGGAGGGCATCGCACGGTGAGTTCCTTCATGACGCAGGGACACTATCCACTCCGGGATGCCGATCTATCAACACACAAAACACACTTTGAACCTCAGTAGTGGCATCTTTAAAATGGGAGCAATACTGGATTTTCTGCTCCAATCAGTTATCACATGACAAATGTGTCTGAGCTCCAGGTCTTTTAGGTAATGGAAGCAAAGTCAACTGTAGAACTAAATAATAACATGTTGTTTTGTTGTTTGCTCGTTGTTAAACGCCACACTCAGCAATATTCCAGCTACATGATGGCAGTCTGTAAATAATCGAGTATGGACCAGACAATCCAGTGATTGACATTATTAGCATCAATCTACTCCATCGGGATACGACGACATGCATCAACCAGGTCAGCGAGGCTAACCACCCGATCCCGTTAGTCGCCTCTTACAACAAGCATGGGTGAACTGATAACAACAAGACTGACCTCTTCCCCGATGCGATGGATGGGGAGAGCCACATTGTTCTTGTCCTGCTGGTAGCGGTCAGTGATGAAGTTCACACATCTGCAAATGAAGGGACGTATTCATACAATCCTCTTGAGTGAGTGATAACTGATTAATGTAACATCAATTACTGACAAATGTCATATCAATTACTGACAAATGTCATATCAGTTACTGACAAATGTCATATCAATTACCGCTTAATGTCACATCAATTACTGATAAATGTCATATCTATTATTGCTTAGTGTCGCACCCGTTATTAATGGCAACCATCTTCTTGAAAATATTTCTGTAAATCTTCTATATAGGAGGGGGGAATGTTTTTTCATGCTGCAGTCAACCCTATCACAAAATCAAATCGGCCTCTTAATATCATACAAGTCTGGGCCAGACAAAATGGTGGTTGGTAGTCTGAGCAACAATCCACTCTTCTCGGGTATGGCAACACAATGAATCGATATTGACACATACTATATACAGCAACATTTTAGTCAAGTATGACAAGCATGGGGCACTGAGGGCTTAGTCTTCCATAGAAGTCCCGTTGGGGAGCTGAACACATGAAATAGTTTCTGCTCTGTGGACTAACAGTGTTAGGCAAAAGACCTGGATCGCAGATATGGCAGTTAATTTGCAATATTCCTCTAGTGACCTTTTGCAATACTCCTCCTAGCAGTGACCTATTGTAATATTCCTCCAGTGACCTTTTGCAATACTCCTCCTAGGAGTGGCCTATTGTAATATTCTTCCAGTGACCTTTTGCAATACTCCTCCTAGCAGTGGGCTATTGTAATATTCCTCCAGTGACCTTTTGCAATACTCCTCCTAGCAGTGACCTGTTGTAATGTTTTTTAATGTTGATTGGAATGTGTGGAGTAATCCTGTTTGTATCAGACCACTATTTCAGTCATGATAGGGGGTGCTTGTAAACATTACTTACGGACTGGTCTAGAAGTTGGTCAGTGGGTGTTAATGAAGCAGGGCACTTAATACAGTGAATACGGTATATGTATTTACTTGTGAGATGGCTTTGTTCTCTCTTTGTTTGCAGTTGATAGAGACTGCATACAATGGATTTGATCAATTAGTAACCAAATCGTTAACACAGTAGTTACTTCATTTTTTTATAATATTCCCTTTTTTCTAATCCACAAAACACTGCAAAGTGTTTTGGCATATATACAAAATAAATTTAAACTATTTTTATATTTTTTCTGATTTCGATATTTAGCTCCTGTCTGTCAAATCCATAAACTACTAAAGAAATTTAGTGTTGCCCGACCTTCCCAACTTTATATAGGCCAAACTGGGTTGCCTAGTCTTAATGACAGACTTGCTGTTGTTACACACCTGATGAGTGCGAGGGCATATCCCTGGCGGACCTTGTACTCGGAGAGGTGTTCCGACTCCCCCTGGTGGAGACGATGGTCGATCTGTGCCGTGATCAGATCAGCTGTGCAGTTGACAGACACGGGCAGATGCGAGTCACACCTGTAAAAGTATTTTTTGGTTTTTGCTGATTGTTGTTTAATGCCACACTCAGCAATATTCCAGCAATATGATGGTGTTCTGTAAATAATCAAGTCTGGACCAGACAATCCAGTGATTGACATTATGCGCATCGATCCACACAATTGGGATACAATGACATGCATCAACCAAGTCAGCAAGTCTGACTACCTAATCCCGTTAGTCGCCTCTTACGACAAGCATAGTCACCTTTTACAGCAAGCATGGGTTGCTGAAGACCTATTAAAGGTACCGTCGGAAACTGGTTCAGTATATCACCTAACTGACATACCACTTTCCTGACACTGACTGGGTATGGACATGATGGAGAATTCTAGTTTTTTATGTTATCTCCTCAGTGGGTTACAAATCTGTAAAAGTCAACTTCATATTAATGTACCATGTGACACCTTTTGGCCACACCTGCTGTTGCTTGAGATGCACATAGTCAGAAACTTGATGTACAATTGTATTTCTATTCTATGAAGAAATATGGCATCACAGTGGGTCATCACAGAAAGAAGGTCCAGATGGGTTTTACAGACTTGGATAAAATGACCAAAAAACAACATCAAAAGATCAATCTAAAATGTTAACAGAAAACAACAATATAATACTGCTTAGCTTAAAATAAAAAAATGAATTAAATAAAAATAATATCACGACCCTCTGGGTTTTACTGCCTACTGACTAAAGGCCCTAACGTTACTTCCTATTGACCACCGAGAAGATCAGGGTTAGAATTGACCTTCAGCAACCAATGCTTATTGTAAGACGTGACAAACAGGATTGGGTGGTTGATGCATGTCATCGTATCACAACTGTGTAGATCGATGCTCATGATGTCAATCACTGGATTGCCTGGTCTTGACTTGAATAGTACCAGACTGCCATCATACAGCTGAAATATTGCTGAGTGCCGCATTAAACAACAAACAGACACACTGACAAATGACCATCACGAAAGCTCAAAGTGACATTTACCATAGTGGTTGGTTGGTTGGTTTGTTGTTTAACGCTGCACTCAGCAATATTCCAGCTATATGACGGCGGTCTGTAAATAATCAAGTCTGGACAAGACAATCCAGTGATTGATATCATGAGCATCGATCCATGCAATTGAGATCGATGACATGTATCAACCAAGTCAGCGAGCCTGACCACCCGATCCTGTTAGTCACCTCTTACGACAAGCATAGTCGCCTTTTACGGCAAGCATGGGTTGCTGAAGACCTATTCTACCCTGGAATCTTCACGGGTCATTTACCATAGTGATGAGTACTGGTTGGGTGCCGACCGACCAAGGATCAAGGTGTAAGTAGATATGTGAAGTTAGTGTTGGTTCAAACATAAGAGTGAAACTCACACAAAGTTATCTTCAATTTTTAGTCAGGGTTACTGAGGGCATCTGGTATGTTTCGTTTAAATTTCTTGTTCAGGCTATAAACATGATAAATATAAACAGACTAAATGTACAGTAATTGATATTTGATATACAAAATTGAATAAGTCATTGCTTGAGAGTGTCACTAACTGGCCCACAATAATATAAATAATGTCTCTTTGTACCATATTGCATGATGTATCCTTCCTTAAATATATGCAATCACCCATTGACATACATAAATACTGCACATAACATGCAGAAGTAAACAGTCACCTTGTTTTCCACACAGTGATCTGGTCGAGGGCTTGCTGCTGTGTGTCCGTTCTCTCACTGTAAAGTTTCTTGTAGACATCCACAAATTCATCTCTGCAAAGAAGATAATGTATTTTTTCACATGACACTAATTGTCTTATCATAGCACATGTCATGCATACACAATTCCCTCCCGATACTGTGGGTGCCAACCCTCTTGTCGTATGCCAGATGCTGTGTCGTATTCTGGATGCAACAGTGCAGTGCGCTGGGTGCCATGAAATGTTTATCTGGTCCACAGATGCCAATATTTCAAAAGTTGAAATATATTTTACATTCTGTTTGCTTGCATGAAAAGCAATCAAATATTTAGCCCTCAGCTTATGAGCATGCATTCTATGTGAAATTCCTTGTCTAATTTACTTGTACTAGCTGTGTACACTGAGTTCTTTAACTGGATGCCATGACGAATTAAGTGACATGCTAGATGTATAGAGAGGAGGGTTGGCCTCCTCTATACCATGTATACTAAGTACGAAGCACATTAAGACTTTACTAACAAATACAACGATTACAATCATCCATATGATAAAGCCTGTCTGGCCATATCAAATATAGAGGCTAGATTCCACATGCATGAGTATGCTGCTGACACATTTTCAAATCTTCATACCAATCTCTTCCATAATCACTATCTCCAAATGAGAACATTTTATTTCAACGAAAAAGAATAGTGAACGAGGATTCCAGGATTAATGAATGGTGGTGTTTTTGTGGGCTGTCATCTGGTTTTCCAAAACATGTGACAACATTTTGTATTCAATCACCGAGTCCGACCACCGGTATTCTCGGTATAAATAAGTTAGGTATTCAAACAACCATATCCAATTTCTGTTTCTCAAAAGTGAGATATTGTTCTCAGTCAAATTTTGCTTATGGCTCGCCTGTGGAGGTGTGGTCTAGGGGTGCAACGAATACACTATGAGCCGAATACGACTAGTATCATGAATATAGGGTAACGAATATGAATATTTATTCATGATTACAATAAAAAGTCAGCAGTTGGTGTATTATTTTTTATATTAGGTGAACGAATAACAACATAAATTATTTGACATAGTTTGTTTATTATTTATTCATTATACATTTATATACTGCACTTATCCAGGTACTAGTATCTGCTCAAATGTGACAATGACCGGTGACCACAATACTGTCAAATTAAATATATAAGAGTGTTGTCTATGAAGAAATCTATGCATGTAATATATTTTGAGGGATATTGTAAGGGACAAGGTATGTAAATGCTCATGGCTGCATATTCAAACATATTTGATTCTAGTCATCACGAATAATGAATTCAATTCATGAATGGATAAGGTTCGATTCACTAAATACGCGAGTCAATCATAACAGCCCTAGTGTGGTCAGATCTCCAGGCAGAGAGGTATCATATTGGAGCAAAAGAACTGGGCCGTTACACAAAGCTATCTCAGCACTAAGATGAACATAACTCCCATAGTTACATAACATATGATAGTCGTAGCGCTAAGATCGCTTTGTCGAACCACGGACCGGTTATACAATTAAGTCTGTGGTGGAACAGGGCCCTGGTTTAACGTTTAATTGTTTAACGCCACACTCAGCAATATCTCAGCTGTATGATGGCAGTCTGTAAATAATCATGTCTAGGCCATGCAATCCAGAAATTCAAATCATGAGCATCGTTCTACGCAATTGGTATACAATCAACCTGGATGCCGTTGTACAAAGGGATCTTAGCGCTAAGGTGAGCGTAACTCCCATACCTTAACATAGACTTACGACTGTCGTAGTGCTAAGGTTGTTTTGTACAACGACACCCTTGTCAGCAAGCCTGACCACCCAATTAAATCCAGTTAGTTGCCCCTTATGACAGGCATGGGTTGCTGAATACCAATTTTAACCCTCATCTTCACAGTTGTTCACAGTTGTGGTGTTTATACAGTTGCTCGTTAATGAAAACTAAAATTCAAACTGCCCGACATTAATGTGAATTTGTGAACGAGTCATCAAATTTTGCTGTGAAGGGGTCTGTCCAAATAAAGTTTGAACGATTTGACCAAATCACGTCTTTAGCGCTAAGGGAAGCAACTCTGGACAGAGCGATGTGCCGAAGAGGACTGGGAACATCACTTCAACTTGACCTATCTACATACGTTCACTCTGCAGAGTCATGAACAATTGTGTACGACCTAGCTCACATAAATTAGACCACAAGCGGTAAAATAGCCACATTTTCAAAGAGCTGTTGTATTTACCGGCAAATCCACGGAACAACGTGTTTATTCATGGAAGCTGACATGATGGATCTCGCAACTTCTCGAAATGTACAAAAAGATGAAGTTACCCAAACGGTTTTAGAGTTATGCTGGAAATGTTGTGTAGATCATTCTCACTAGGTTAAAGGTACTTATGCAACAACATAGATTACGCACATCTTTCTAATTTGTGACATATTTGTGTATTGATGACACGTGGATCTTAATAAAGGAATCATATTTCGTATAAATGTTCACAATAAGATTTTACTGTGACCCGTTACCAAAACAAATGAAATCAGGAAGTAAGCTGTCTGCTAGGAAAATAGAAATTGGGGACACTCTGTTGCAGACCTGTAACAAACCGGCAAGGCGGTCTCCTCATTGCCAAAAGCGTGCACAGTTGGGTTTGCTAGATGACAGTAGATGCTGATTCTGACACAGATCGAGAACTGTGTTAGTGTGTACATAGGTTCACTTGATTGTGGTATGAGGAAAATCAAAATGATTTTTTTTAATGGGGAAGTAGATTTTTTAAATTGCTAGTAAAGGGATGATACAATGTTGTTTTTGAATTGACAGAATGTGGTGTTTGGTGTGAAATATGTTTGTACATTTGTCACATGAGAGCTTACATTCTTTCACAGAGAAATATTCAAAGTAGGTGATCTAGCTCTCACTCACTCAATCACTTCATTTTTCTAATATAATATCAGTCGAGCAGTTGATTAATTTCGCAGAGAAAATGCCTCATTTTCACACATGGCACTTATTACAACATCCAGATCTAGACAGGAAATAAGATCCAAGCCATGAAGCTGTGATCTCCTTTAACGTGTTTAATGTCTCCCCTCTCTTCCAAGTGCAAACTAAAGTCTTCAGTTACACCAGTTAAAGTTAGCCCTGAATTCCTTTTTATATATTCAAGGCTAGCTTTAACTAATGCAACCTAAGACTTTAACTTGGCACTTGACTGAAATGCTTTCCAAAAGTATGTTAAACAAGTTTATTAGATCAGACAGCACCTTTTTCCTGTAAGGTTTGAGGATTATAACAAACATAGCTAGGCAGCATTGAATAAGAAAAATGATTAACATATTACATCCTGCACTTCAAACAAAATTAGAATTTAATTTTACCCACTAAACGGAACCAAGCCACTTTTTGCTGAAGAAAAAGAAATTAGAGCTGTAAATAATGTATTTTTAATTTAAGCTAATGATGCTAATTAGTTAAGTGAAAATCAGTAAACCATACTCACTCAATTCTTAATTCAGTGTACACATACATATATACAATTTGCCTATTGAAAATTTGGTTGTGCCCAGATTTTCCTCCAACTATCATGTTCTGACTAGAGGGGGTGACTGGCTTAGCCAGGTAGAACAAGAGATGACGAGTACAATATAAACACAGGTTTATGTACATGAACATCATATATATATATATAGCCACCAAATTAAAAACAAGCAATGTGCTTGCTTTTAATCTCCCCACAAAACCTATCAATCCAAACTCATTTATGCTGAATAAAATATAAATGTATTGAGCTACACAATTTCAGTTCTATTTCTATTTTGACTGACCTAAGCTAATCATGACTGAATATGAAACATCTGTAACCACTACTGGAAACAAAGGAGTCATGGAGTACCTTTGATCAAGATAAGTAACTAAGCTTCAAACTTTCTCACACCGCCTCGGTGGTCTAGTGGATATAGTGTCTTGTCTGTTCAACGTTGGTTGTTTGATCCCTGACAGTGTCATGCAAAAGACGTTAAAATAAGATACTTGTTGTTACCCTGCCTGGTGCTAAGCATTAATGAGATAGAGCAAGGGTTGGTCGGTTCGGGGCCAGTGTACTGACTGTCGTATCCATGGTTAACTGCGGCTTGGTATCTCAGTCGGCTATCACTACAAAACTGGCTTAGGTTTAGACTAGTACAAGCAGCCACACACACAAGCATGTGTGTGTGTGTGTGTGTGTGTGTGTGTGTGTGTGTGTGTGTGTGTCTATCTATATATATATATATATATATATATATATATATATATATATATATATATATATGTGTGTGTGTGTGTGTGTGCAATAATCTTTAACCAATCGATAAACCCCCAAACTTTCTTTGGTTTGTTGAACAGTTGATGTCTGCAGTGGATACAACCAGAGAGCGAGGCCAGTTGTCTGATGAGTAGGTTCTAAGATTGCGTTGGTGACTGTGGAGGTACTACTATCCTGACAATGTATCAGAAGTACAAGCATCAGATGGACTCACAGGAAAAAAGGTCACATGACCAGATGGTAATGATCCTCGATTATCCATCCTATCATATCTCCATTCAGTTACAATATATACTTTGGACACATTCACAACCATAGCTTCACTTCGGAAGCAGCATTCCAATGTCTCCTGTCACTAACCTGGCACAGGGTTACGCTCATCCATGTTCTGGAAACCAGAAAAATGTCTTTTCAAGGTTCACTTAGATCTACATTCAAAATCACTACTGAGACAGTATATTTACCTGAATCAGTAGACTGTTTAATACTGAAATGTTAGCTGAAAAAGATGTTATCCAGAGTATTATGAATTTCTTATGCCACAAGACATTCCAAGCTGTCTTTGAGACGACACAAAACATGACAAATCAAGTACTGCATATATGCCTTGCTTGTTTCAACCATGAAAGTGTAAGTGATTGGACATCTTCCCGAGGCAAGGACGTTAACTGACTATAAAAGTCCAGTTTTCACCCTTGCTGAACTAGGCTGGAACTTCCAGTCTCGATTGTAGCGCCACCAGGGGCTATTACAAGTTGTGTCCCTCTATGTCCCTCCTATTGACCAATCTGATTCCAGCTCTTGTGTCACTTGCATTTGCTTCAGACAAAATTGTGGCGCCCAGTCAAGACGATCTGTTCGCTAATTAAGATTTATATTGTAACCAAACAGGTCTTACCTCATCAAATGTCATCAAATCACTTGAGCACCTTGATTAAAAACATGAAGGCTCGCTAAATACAACGTTTATTCCTAATGCAGGATATTTACCATCCCCAAACACACTCGCGTCATAAACTCTATTGACATTCACAGTTGTCGGCGGCTGTTTTTAGCATTGTGTCATTCAAATTAGACTTAAAGCAAAGATATCTGTTGGCAAAATGGACCAGGGTATTTCATACTAGAATGGAAGTAAGATACACTGGATAATTAGGATTAATTTACTCAGCAATACTCTAAATGTATGATGGCGACCTGTATATTATCAAGTCTGGACCAGACAATCCAGTGATTGATATTGTGAGTTATGATCCATGCCATCAGAGTAAGATGACACAATCAACCAGGTCAACTAGTCTGACCACCCGATCCATTTAGTCACCCCTTACGACCAGCGTAGTTTTTCTGGGGACCTATTCTAACCCTGAACCCACACTGGGTGTTAGTGGATGTGATTCACAAGAAGCATGAATGTGTGGTAGGACTACATGTATGGTGTCCTTCAACAAGTAACGAAAGAACACACAAAAAATAGCATCTACAGGTCATTAAAATTATAATTATGAGAGTGTTTTGTAGTGAGACAGATGGCAATAGAAAATTCATTTATTCTGGCTTATGATGGAAGTTTTTGCCTCAATCTCATTAAATTCAGTTTAATTAGTTCTCGCTATCGCTAACAAAGATCTGAGGACATCCCATTACGGGTCACGTCAGAACGACCTTTCATCCGACCAATCAAAGCGTCGCTTACCAGATCAGGAAAGTGACAGTCGGAATGTGTTTTCTAATCATGTAACCTCGAAAACGTTAACACGGTGTATTCCGAACGACAGTTACTGCCCGTATTGTCTATCTCTCGCTTCCGTGGGATAAACATTTGAACGGAGGAGGCGTTGCACTGTACGTGGGATGCCCTGGCATACAATCTCAACCATATATTAGACATTCAGGAATGTTCGTTTGTTCAGTTTTCAAAATTTTAATCGAGAACTGTGTCAACATATTTTTCAAGTGTAGTCTGAAATGGAAGTCGCCATGTTGAAACGAGTGACGCAAAGCTCGAGAAAGCTGCTTTCTAATTGGCTGATGTCGACTTCTTGTTAGTCATTTCAGTGGTCGGTCAAAATTGGCGAAAGGTCGTTCTGACGTGACCCATAATGGGATGTCCTCAGATCTTTGTTTAGTGGCAGCGAGAACTTAGATCTGATTTTAATGACATTGTTTTTGTCTTTTCAAGAAGTCAGGTGGTTGTTATGTGCAAGTTAATTTACAGCTAATTTGTTCAACAAGCACTTCCCAACTGGCACTCCTAATAAGGATAGATACACATCTCTAGGCATTGCTCTGATTGCTTCCTTTTACTTTTCTCTGTCCTGTGGTGTCCAGGCACCCGAGATGTCTGACGCCGCGAGGAGAGTAGAGAGTTGCTGGGAGCAGATCGACACCGAGGACAAGAAGTACCAGGACTGGAAGCCACCTCCTCCTGATCTTCCTGGTTTTATGGGATGGAGGACTGTTCGCATATTTGTCTCCTCAACATTCACTGATTTTTTCAATGAAAGAGAGATCCTTGTCAAGAAGGTAAGTGAAGGGTCCAGTGACTATGACAAATTTAATTCAACCACTCTGCCATACTGACTAACCCAAGGTGTGACAGCTGAATAGCGCAACTAATACTGCCTGGCTAAGTCGACATAGCGTAGACATCTTATGGCATGCTACAAATCAGTTGACCAACACAAACTCGAGCATCACCTAGTTACTACAGGTGTATGGTTCAAGGGGTAGCCAAAGATAGCATGCTATTATTCCATGACTCAAGACTATATCATGTTATTATTCCATGACTCAAGACTATATCGTGTCATTATTCCATGACTCAAGACTATATCATGTTATTATTCCATGACTCAAGACTATATCATGTTATTATTCCATGACTCAAGACTATATCGTGTTATTATTCCATGACTCAAGACTACATCATGTTATTATTCCATGACTCAAGACTATATCGTGTTATTATTCCATGACTCAAGACTATATCGTGTTATTATTCCATGACTCAAGACTATATCATGTTATTATTCCATGACTCAAGGCTATATCATGTTATTATTCCATGACTCAAGACTATATCGTGTCATTATTCCATGACTCAAGACTATATCATGTTTATTATTCCATGCATCATGGTTATATAATGTTATTATTCCATGCATTATGGTTATATAATGTTATTATTCCATACATTGTGGTTAAATAATGTTCATATACAATGCATCATGGTTATTATAAGTTGTAGCAATATCATGAGGAGTATTAGGGACACATCAAACATGTACTCCTTGTGAAACAGCTGTTCAGTTGAGCTGAGGTTAATTTGTGCTATGTCATTTGACTTATATTGACTCAGAAAAAGCGTTCAGCTTATTACTTCAAAGCAGGGTGTAAGGGATTTATTCTCCTGTTCAGGAATCCACATGCAGCCTGTTTCCTTCGTTGAGGGATATAAGGGATTTAATTTATTTTATGGCTCAGAAATAATTCCCCCCCTGGCGGGATACATAATATTTTATCAAGGTCATGTGAACCAATCAGATCTCATCATTCTGACGTGGAGGCATGATAAATACTGTTATTATTCCATGCATCATGGTTGTATAATGTTATTATTCCATGCATCATGGTTGTATAATGTTATTATTCCAGGCATCATGGTTGTATAATGTTATTATTCCATGCATCATGGTTATATAATGTTATTATTACATGCATCATGGTTGTATAATGTTATTATTCCAGGCATCATGGTTGTATAATGTTATTATTCCATGCATCATGGTTGTATAATGTTATTATTCCATGCATCATGGTTATATAATGTTATTATTCCATGCATCATGGTTGTATAATGTTATTATTCCATGCATCATGGTTGTATAATGTTATTATTCCATGCATCATGGTTATATAATGTTATTATTCCATGCATCATGGTTATATAATGTTATTATTCCATGCATCATGGTTATATAATGTTATTATTCCATGCATCATGGTTATATAATGTTATTATTCCATGCATCATGGTTGTATAATGTTATTATTCCATGCATCATGGTTGTATAATGTTATTATTCCATGCATCATGGTTGTATAATGTTATTATTCCATGCATCATGGTTGTATAATGTTATTATTCCAGGCATCATGGTTGTATAATGTTATTATTCCAGGCATCATGGTTGTATAATGTTATTATTCCAGGCATCATGGCTGTATAATGTTATTATATGTTATTGTTCCATACATTATGGTTACAGCATGGTATTGTTTGATGCATGTCCTGCAGGTGTTCCCTGAGTTACGGGAATGGGGCAGTGAGAGGAAGATTCGCATCATTGACTGTGACCTGCGTTGGGGTGTGCCCCAGGATTCCACGACAGCGGAGACAATCGCTATCTGCATGGAAGAGCTGGACACCTGTCACCAAGTCAATGAAGGAGAACCGTTCTTTCTGAATCTGGTGGGAGAAAGGTGAAATGCATGTTATAGGTTTTTGATTAGTTTGAAAGTTAAGTTAGATTATCAAGAGGCATGTTGCGCCTGGTGCGTTTTTGATCAGAATCTTTCGAACCCCAAAGACCTTTATTGCCAAAGTTTCTGTGATAATGGATTCTAGGGCTGGTATGAAAGCAAATTTACTACCTGGGTACCCGACCCCCTATTACCCGACCCTACCCGGATACCCGCTGTAGGTCTCAAGAGTTGGGTACAAAATACCCGCTTGAAAATTGTTTTACCAGCGCCCTGGCAAAAAAATATGTAGGTACACATATAAAACGATTTGGTCATGTAAACACTGAAGCTGACTGAAGCTTTATCTTTATTCAAACATATAAGTGTCAGAAGGAATGGGTGCATAGTCAGAAATAAAGTAAACCTTAGTGACTTGTAGTGTTACCATGGAGTTATAGTGAATTTTTCTCATTAAACAATATATAGCTTAAAAAAATAAAAGAAATGGTTCTCAGGCAATGGCTTTTGTAAATATAGTGCGGGCGGGCAGCCTGTTCAAACTGGTATGTAACCAAATAAACAGTTGTGTACAGTCAACCTGGAACAGGCTTCCCTCCATAAATATATTCCTTGATGAGTAAAATTCTCGAATACAGTATTTGACTAACGGTGGACTACCAGTGTGTGCATAATACACCCATACAATGAGCTTCGATTTGTTTTAACTGCACATGGGTGGAAGCAGTGACATAGATAACAAAGAATGTGGTCAGTTCTCACAGGTTGATCAATTTTCACATTTTCTGTCGGTAGATTGAAAATGATTTATTAAGATCCTCAACATTTGTTTTGCCACATACCGTTTGTAGTACAGTCTGTTTATGTTGCGTGTCCATGTGAGGCTTTCTTGTTTTTGTACAGGCCTTCGTAGTTATCATTTGTTTATAAAGTTTACGGTCTGCTAGGCCTTTTCCAGGTCATGTTTCTACCCATAATGCCTGTTTCTATGTTCTTGTCTCGGGCTGACGAGACCTAATATTCTCTTCCCGTCATCCCTAGCGGCATGGTTTAAATTCCCACCTTTCAGTGTCATTGGCTAGCTAAACGCTACCCGAACACGTTTGTTTTTGTTCCCCGGCCACCCACCGCCTTTCCTGTTCAGTATATTCTAGTTGTCTGCCCCAGTGGGTTGTAGGCTAGGTACAAGTTACACTCTACTAGCAACTTAATATTTTCTCTTTAAGTCTAAATTTTATAACTGAGCTCATTTGTATTTAAGTCGTTCAATTATACACTTTCTTGTTGTGTTACTTTTGTGCTGTACATTGTACCTGGTCTGCATCTTTTACCTACTTCAACTCAAATATACACTGAGACATTATAAAGTACATGCAGCTTTCATAAAAAAAATTCAGGTGTGAAAAACCTGTCATGGCCTTCTTGTCTGTTATTACCAATTGTCAGGATAAATCCTCACAGACAGGGATGGCTATGGCTATCAATTAATGGCTGTCAAGACGTAATTTCAGATTTGCTTGATGGATTTGAATACAAAGTATAGATGATACTGGTTATGATGGGTATAAGCTTATAGGCTTCAGCATTCAAATTTCATATGAGCTGGCCAAATTGAATTCTCTCTGTTTCCTAATTTTTCAATGAAAAGGCCTTTGGTCACCATTATCACATGGCATTCTGAGTGAAGATATTCAGCCACCCACCCTTCACTTGGTAACTGAGTGCTTGCTGAGATTAACTCACACCCTGCCGTTTCAGGTATGGGTGGATCCCCGGGGGTGGCGACATCACCGAGGAGGTGATGCAGAAATATGACTGGGTGGAAGGAACCTCCATCACTTTTATGGAGGTCCTGCATGGAGCATACAGGTGGGTTAATTACCTTCATGGAACATACAGGTGGGTTAATTACCTTCATGGAACATACAGGTGGGTTAATTACCTTCATAGAACATACAGGTGTGTTAATTACCTTCATGGAACATACAGGTGGGTTAATTACCTTCATGGAACATACAGGTGTGTTAATTATCTTCATGGAACATACAGGTGGGTTAATTACCTTCATGGAACATACAGGTGTGTTAATTACCTTCATGGAACATACAGGTGGGTTAATTATCTTCATGGAACATACAGGTGGGTTAATTACCTTCATGGAACATACAGGTGTGTTAATTACCTTCATAGAACATACAGGTGTGTTAATTATCTTCATGGAACATACAGGTGGGTTAATTACCTTCATGGAACATACAGGTGGGTTAATTACCTTCATGGAACATACAGGTGTGTTAATTATCTTCATGGAACATACAGGTGGGTTAATTACCTTTTTGGACCATACGGGTGGGTTATTTACCTTCATGCAACATACAGGTGTGTTGATTACCTTCATGGAACAAACAGGTGTGTTAATTATCTTCATGGAACATACAGGTGGGTTAATAACATTTATGGAACATACAGGTGGGTTAATTATATTTATGAAACATACAGGTGTGTTAATTACCTTTATGGAACATACATGTGTGTTAATTACCTTTATGGAACATACAGGTGTGTTAATTACCTTTATGGAACATACAGGTGTGTTAATTACCTTTATGGAACATACAGGTATGTTAATTACCTTTATGGAACATACAGGTATGTTAATTACCTTTATGGAACATACAGGTGTGTTAATAACCTTCATGTGACTGATAAGTTGACTATGTATGTAGTGGGATTGACCTGGCTATGCCATGTACAGCATCATTATTTGTTTGATGGTTTGATGTCAGAGTAAGAAGTCCTCAATATGCAGAGTAAATGCTTTCATGTTTATGTTTAGTGTGTTTCCATTAAATATTTTGTGAAAAAAAAATGTTGTAAATTCTTTCTATGACTCTTTTTACATGATGGTTGATATTCCTTTTCTTGTAGAAAAAAGAACCCGAATGCAGCTTTCTTCCTCCGTGACCCAGCGTTTCTGTCTGAAGTGTCTGAGACTCATGTCAGTAGGTTCATAGAAGCAGTGGACTTGGGTAGAGAGCATCTCAAGGTCAGTTGATTGGGGACTCCTGCTTCATATTGCAGACACAACCTGACACACTGACTCAACCTGACACATTGACTCAACCTGACACACCGACTCAACCTGACACACCGACTCAACCTGACGCACCGACTCAACCTGACGCACCGACTCAACCTGACGCACCGACTCAACCTGACGCACCGACTCAACCTGACACACTGACTCAACCTGACACACCGACTCAACCTGACACACCGACTCAACCTGACACACCGACTCAACCTGACACACTGACTCAACCTGACACACCGACTCAACCTGACACACCAACTCAACCTGACACACTGACTCAACCTGACAACCTGACACACCAACTCAACCTGACACACTGACTCAACCTGACACACCGACTCAACCTGACACACCGACTCAACCTGACACACTGACTCAACCTGACACACCGACTCAACCTGACACACCAACTCAACCTGACACACTGACTCAACCTGACACACCGACTCAACCTGACACACCATCTCAACCTGACACACCAACTCTACAAACACACTCTAGAGAAAGTGTCACCAGACATAACACCAGCACATATTCTAAATCAGAAGAAATGCTAAGATGTCAGTGTAGTTGAACCATGGGTAGAACAGTTTACACTAATAATTTGGTGCTGCCCACAGTATTTGTTTCTTAGAACCAGGGAACGTCTGTGGGCATCCTGGAAAATGGGGAATATTGTGGAATTGAGTACATTATATTTTGCTTTTGTGGAGATTCAAATGTCAAACCGAACGTTGTGCCCACTGTACAAATCTACACAAAGTGTAACACTCCGGTTTCTACATTTATACTTCCATAAACGCAAAAATATATTGAAGGTCCATTCTTACAAATAAGTCAACAATAATAACTTATTTAATCATTAACACAAGAAAAAACAACTGTGGCAAATGATCCAAAATCAGTAAGATAGTTCAGGGCAGTTGAATTACACAGTGACAGTTTCACACAGAGACACATAATACAACATCTAGACCTACACTTGGTGTGGCCATAAATCACACTTTGAAAGCCCAATACCAAAAACACACATCTCAAAAGCCAATAATGCATATTCATACACTAAATGTTTGCTTGTAAGATGAACGTTATTGATCAACAGATGTTCAAGACACGGTTAAAGCAACAATTCCCGGATCAGATATTCAACTACAGTGTTCAGGCAGCTGGCATGTCTTCATCCACAGGACGAGAGAAGGTAAGACGATTGCATATTTCAACAGAATATACATGACTCTTCTCCATGTAGCAATCTTTTTACATCATCTTGCCACGCACCATGTATATGTCTTAAGTAGTATTCAGGAATACCATATGCAGCTCAGTACCTGAAGTAATCAGGTCCTCCACTAGATACTGACCTCTTGCTGGTGTCTGCTGCCTTCCTCCTAGATACTGACCTCTTGCTGGTGTCTGCTGCCTTCCTCCTAGATACTGACCTCTTGCTGGTGTCTGCTGCCTTCCTCCTAGATACTGACATCTTGCTTGTGTCTGCTGCCTTCCTCCTAGACACTGACATCTTGCTGGTGTCTGCTGCCTTCCTCCTAGATACTGACATCTTGCTGGTGTCTGCTGCCTTCCTCCCAGATACTGACATCTTGCTGGTGTCTGCTGCCTTCCTCCTAGATACTGACCTCTTGCTGGTGTCTGCTGCCTTGTTCCACTAGATACTGACATCTTGCTGGTGTCTGCTGCCTTCCTCCTAGATACTGACATCTTGCTGGTGTCTGCTGCCTTCCTCCTAGATACTGACATCTTGCTGGTGTCTGCTGCCTTCCTCCCAGATACTGACATCTTGCTGGTGTCTGCTGCCTTCCTCCTAGATACTGACCTCTTGCTGGTGTCTGCTGCCTTGTTCCACTAGATACTGACATCTTGCTGGTGTCTGCTGCCTTCCTCCTAGATACTGACATCTTGCTGGTGTCTGCTGCCTTCCTCCTAGACACTGACATCTTGCTGGTGTCTGCTGCCTTCCTCCTAGATACTGACATCTTGCTGGTGTCTGCTGCCTTCCTCCTAGATACTGACATTTTGCTGGTGTCTGCTGCCTTCCTACTAGATACTGACATCTTGCTGGTGTCTGCTGCCTTCCTCCTAGATACTGACCTCTTGCTGGTGTCTGCTGCCTTCCTCCTAGATACTGACATCTTGCTGGTGTCTGCTGCCTTCCTCCTAGACACTGACATCTTGCTGGTGTCTGCTGCCTTCCTCCTAGATACTGACATCTTGCTGGTGTCTGCTGCCTTCCTCCTAGATACTGACCTCTTGCTGGTGTCTGCTGCCTTCCTCCTAGATACTGACATCTTGCTGGTGTCTGCTGCCTTCCTCCTAGATACTGACCTCTTGCTGGTGTCTGCTGCCTTCCTCCTAGATACTGACCTCTTGCTGGTGTCTGCTGCCTTCCTACTAGATACTGACATCTTGCTGGTGTCTGCTGCCTTCCTCCTAGATACTGACATCTTGCTGGTGTCTGATCCCTTTTTACTGTATGTAGTGATGTCCAACCATGGGTATGTTTCACATCTCTAGATATACCAATGTAGGTGCAGTTGACTGGCCTGGATGACTTTGCTGACCAATGTCTTGAGTTTTTCAAGTCGGCCATCACTAGGAAATATCCGGAGCAGCTGACACTAGCAACACTTTCCTTAGAGGAGCAAGGTCAGACAACTCAAGTTTAGCCTTAAAGCTCTTATATCAATTATGCATAGGAAAATCATCGCACAAACTGTTTCTGCCAAAATGGAACTACTAATTTATCTTTGGTACTTTTGGTCAGTCTGATACCTCAATGAGCCAATTTCAATCTGGGAATGTCTGGATACCAAGATGGATACTCGGTTACCTTATTGTACAAGGGTACCAATTTAACATTCTAGACAGATGTGACAATGGCACTCAACAATTGAGAACAATTTGAGTTGAATGGTATAGGCCCTGTTGACTATCACCAGCTGGATTTTTCCTGCAGAAAAAGAACTTCAACGTATCTTCATCATTGAGAAGGCAGAGCTTGTGATTGGACGTGAACAGGAAGTGCAGACACTGATGGGATACATGACTGATCCAGGGTCATGTGACCTGAGCAAAATCGGTATGTTTGGATATTTTTGTATTGATCAGAAATTCCTTATCTTGACAGAAGGTTAAAATAAGATAAAACTTCATTATCCCAAGGGAAGTTAATATTGTACAGTTGATTGGCACTAAAATATGAAAAAAAGAAAATATATGATATTAAAAAATTTAAAACAGAAAATATAGATATTAAAAAATGAAAAAAAGAAAATATATGATATTAAAATGTGTACTTAAGAAAATAAGACACTGATACAACCACAGGTAAAACATGTAGAAAATTGAATATCATCACAGTGATGACAAGAAATAGTATTTAAAAGTATAGATGACTGCAATAAACTTGAATAAAAGGGAAATCACTACATATTCATTGCCTTCAACCACCTCAATCCATTTGAGGGGCGGTCGGGTAGCCTAGTGGTTAAAGCGTTCGCTCGTCATGCCGAAGACCCGGGTTCGATTCCTGACATGGGTACAATGTGTAAAGCCCATTTCTGGTGTCCCCCGCCGTGATATTGCTGGAATATTGCTAAAAGTGGCGTAAAACCATACTCACTCACTCACTCACTCAATCCATTTGATGATTTAGGGTTCCCAATTAGTCTGGAAATACTCAGGTGTCTTCTTGGAATACCAACACTGTACAGATTCACCGGCATGGTGTTGTAGAGTCTTCATGTCACATCTATGCACAAGCAATGTCTGTGGGGTGATCAGCAGGTGTGCTCAACACATAGCGGGATAAGTTAGTGGTTGTAGCTCAGGGGCAGTATTCATAAACATTCTTGAGACCTCTGTAGCACTCTAAGAATGTTTATGAATACCGCCCCAGTACTGGAATATGTGATGAGGTAGAGGAATTTTACATCAGAATATTAAACATAGAGTTTCCTTTATGTGGCATTTTAGTATAGACTTTAACGTTTAAGTTTTTCTACATTTCAGATGGCGGGGAGGCAGGAATAAGTAAGTTCTTTCATTTATTTCAGTGTTGTTCATTCCTATCCAATAAGAACTTGAAGGTTCTGGTTCAGGGGAACCAGGCTCAGTAAAATAGAAGTCATTTAAATCTAATTATCATATCATGTCAGAATGATGAGATCTGATTGGTCCATGTGATCTTGATAAAATACTATGTATCCCATCTTGGAGGGAAATAAATTCTCAGCAGGAGAATAAATCTCTTATACCCTGCCACAAGCAAGACAGGCTGCACATGCATTTCTGAGAGGGAAAATAGATCTCTTATACCCCGCCACAAACAAAACAGGCTGCACATGGATTTCTGAGAGGGAGAATAAATCCCTTATACTCTACCACAAACAAGACAGGCTGCACATGGATTTCTGAGAGAAAGAATACATCCTCTACACCACGCTTCAAAGCGAAAAGCTGCACGCTTTTTCCGAGTCAATGAAAGTCACTCGAACAGCTGCCTTCTATCAATTTTGAATTTGTTTTAATTCTTTTACAATGGCAGATTAAGACATGTCTGTAAGATAAATTTGTTGTAGCAGGATCACGAGGGGTACATGGAGTTTATGAGTACCTCGTTAGGTTTTATAACGCTCACCTCTGGGAACCAAAGCATAGATTGATGCTCATATTACCAAATCATGGCCTTGATGACTTTAAGATCACAGATAAAACTCTTGTTCAATGAAATAAGAATGGGTACTACTCTTTGAATACTGTTTAAAGCTGCGTAAAGCCCAACTCACTCACTCACTCTTGTTCGATATGTTCAGTGTTGTGTCTGTTGTGCAGGGAAGCCGGACTTATGGACGCTGACCCCCGAGGACAACCTGCTGTGTGTGGTGCAGGCCAAGAGTGGGTGGGGGAAGACCTCGTTGTTAGCTCACCTGGTCCTCACAGCAATAGAGGTCAGATTTACAATGAAAGCTATGTTTTTTAAAACCTTCCCTCTTCTGGGTGCCGGATTCCTCATTATCCCTTATGAATTTTAAAAACTTTATTTCTTGTTATTAAATTCATTCCTTGTAATATAGACACCATTATGAATCATTGTTTCTTGGGGAAACTCTCAAGAATTCTCTGGCGAAAATGCATATTATTATAATTATACTAGCGGTGATCCCAATGCAACATATTCTAATACAAGGGAGAAACCGATGGACTTCCAACTGAGGAAAGGGGATTCTTGAAATTTCATGAGACAATTGATGAGAAGATCGTTGATTTGTTTTCAGAAAGGTCACAAGATATTCTATCACTTCAGCGGCAGCACTAGTCGTAGCCGGGACACCTCAGACATGTTGTTCCGACTGATGGAGGCACTGACAGAAAAGGAGGGTGGGTACAGGAATCCTGGGTTCCACCATGCAATCTTGGCGCTAAAATTGATGAAGTATATGCTAAAGTGCAGCACATTATAATAGCGCCACATTCATTGTAAGTATATATATATATATATATAGTACAGCACATCCACATCTTAGCACTACGATCGCCATAAGTACATCACTTTATCATCTTAGCACTAAAGTCATCATAAGTATATATCAAACTTTAGCATTTTATAATCTTAGTGCTTAATTAAACATAAGTATATACCAAACTATAGCACTTTATCATCTTAGTGCTTTATTCGTTGTAAGTACATACCAAAGTATATTACTTTTCATCTTAGCACTAAATTTGTTGTAAGTATAAACTAAAGTATAGCGTATCACCATCTTAGTGCAAAGGTCGCATTGTGGAATGGACCATGGTACTGAAATCTGGTGTAACTGAGTTTTATTAGCCTAGCAGAATTACAGAATTATTATTATTTCTGTTTAATAACTTGGCAGTGTCAACTTAATGTAGATGGGATTGTTTACAGCATACACAGTTATTGATGTTACAGACACCATTGTTGACGCAACACAGACAATGTTGATGATGTGATGCTGTGAAAAAGCTACGACTATCACACACCTCCAACACACGTGCACACACACACACACACACACACACACACACACACACACACACACCTCCAACACACGTGCACACACACACACACACACACACACACACACACACACACACACACCTCCAACACACGTGCACACACACACACCTCCAACACACGTGCACACACACACACACACACATACACACACACACACACACACACCTCCAACACACGTGCGCACACACACACACACACACACCTCCAACACACACACACACACCTCCAACACACACACACACACACACACACACACACACACACCTCCAACACACGTGCACGCACGCACACACACACACACACACACACACACACACACACACACACCTCCAACACACGTGCGCACACACACACACACACACCTCCAACACACACACACACACCTCCAACACACACACACACACACACACACACCTCCAACACACGTGCACGCACGCACACATACACACACACACACACACACACACACACACACACACACACACACACACACACACACACACACACCTCCAACACACGTGCACACACACACACACACACACACACACACACACACACACACACACACACACACACACATATACGCACATACAATAAAACAACCCAACCCGAACAGCTCCACCCATCTCTCCCCCATCAAATATTATATGGACAGTCCCTTATGATATAGTGCTTGGACGTAAACAGTATATTAGCATGAGTTGCCCAGTTGTCCTTCCTTCAGAGCAGTAAATATCATTTCAGTGTTGCAAGAAGAAAGGGAGAACTTTTCTACTTCAGTGAGCAAACAGCAGGAGCTCCTCAACAAAGCCCTTGTGAAGTTCCAGGAGACTGGGAGGAAACTCACCATCGTCATTGATGCAGTGAATGAGGTAAACGTGGGAAGAAGGACTCTTAGCTCAATGCATGGTGTGTTCACTCATCAAACACTAGGTCCTGGTTTGATTCTCTGTCCGATATGTGAATCCATACTTGGATACTCCTGCTGAAATAAATTACTTACTTGTTTAATGACCAGTGGCATTTTTGACAGTCAGATGTAGCAAAATGTGTTGTAATTACCGTTTCAACTTCACCGCTAAAAATAGCCCTTACGAACATGTGTCTGCAGCTAACTTTTCCTTTTGAACCTGCTCTGAAATATTAATTGTCATGAAGTTTTCATTCGATTTGATGTAAATATTTGTATCAAGATACATATCATATCGTGACCTATGTATCATGATACTTATCATTTAAAAAAATACGCTATTACTGTATGAAAATTGACAAATTGACAGGATGTACCATTCCTTTTGGATGAGGCTGTATCTGTGCTTGGATCCAATTATTGATACATCCTGCCTTGTGAAGCCATCCAAATTTATCTGAATGTAGTGTCAGGGGGAGGTAACTTGTGTTACCATATATGTATGGGCAGTGTAAGGGGGATAACTCTAAAAGGATGTAGAACTAATATTGCAGACGAAGGGGATACGTTGCTAGGGAAGCGGGTGGACGGTAAGAACAGAAGGGAGGAGAGGGCAGTTAGACAGTTGGATTTGTACAGTAATGGAATAAAGACGTGTGTTGATTGCAGCAGGGACCTGCGTGTGTCTGAGAGCGTTTGATGATTACAATACTATACTTCCTCACTAGCAACTTGAACTTTTCAGCCATTAATTTCAGATAGAAGTTGTGAAACTGGTTGAACAGTAAACTGTGAACCTGGGGAAGATATGCCTGTGTGGGTCCTAACAATGACTTAGAGATGTTGTGAAAGGTGACCATGGTCATGATATATTATATTTTTATGTATACCCACTCACTCACTCACTCACTCACTCACTCACTCACTCACTCACTCACTCACTCACTCACTCACTCACTCACTCACTCACTCACTCACTCACTCACTCACTCAATCACTCACCCACGCACCCACCCACCCACCCACCCACTCACTCACTCACTCACTCTCACACATGTTTTCCTTGCCAGCTGAATCAGAGCAACCTGGTCGACCATTTGAGCTGGTTACCGCCATCTGTGCCATCCAACATTGCCCTGATCGTGAGCTGTAACGAACACCCACCGACACTGGCGAGACTGAAGGAACATCCCTGCTACTGGATGACAGTGGGAGAACTGGGGGAGAGCCACATGCGTAGTATCGCTGTATCCTACTTGGGGCGATACAACAAGGTACAGTACTAGTGGCAGTATCGCTGTCTACAACACCATACTAATTCTTCGCTTTTATCACCCAGCATATAATGCAGGGGGGATATAGTCATCGCCTCGTCTGTCCGTCCGTCCATCCGTCAATTTTTCAATTTTGATTTCCGGTCCAGAACTATTCAACATTTTTCATCCAATCTTTGTACATGTATTAATCAGGGATTGAAGTGGTGCCTTTTGCTATTTAAGAAGTTTTAAAAGAATATGCTTCCATGACAACAAGTTTGACTTTGACTCTGTTCATAGAGGTGTGTTTGTTACACACACACACACACACACACACACACACACACACACACACACACACACACACACACATACGTCACTATATAAGTGCAATATTCTTGAATGCAACGTCAAACCCCATTTTAGCTCACCTGACCAATCTCCCCCCAATCCCACCCCTTCCCATCTGGTGATATTATCCTGTCCTTCCTGCTTGCAGCACCTGCACAAGGACCAACTGACCGCACTGACACAGGACACTAAGGTGGACAGCCCCCTGTGGATGACCCTCGTCTGTGAGGAGCTGCGTGTGTTCGGGGACTTCCAGATGGTCACGCAGAAGATCCACAGTTTGCCCGACACGCTCGACGGACTGTTCGGTGTCATCTTCAACCGACTACTGGCGGAGGACGACACCGGCTGCATTAAGAAGGTAGCTGACGTCATGTATAAAGGATGAAACAGGCATAGGCGCCTGACCTTTAACCTTTATACACACAAACTGTAGTCACTAGGCCAGTACTTTCTTATTTAGTATTTTTAAGATTTTTAATATATCGGGAATAGGGGAAGAAAAGATTATTTGTTTGTTGTTCAAACAAACAAAAACATATTGATAAATGTTTAAAACAAAAGTATTTAGGCTGAAAAAACTTTAAAGACTATAACTGGACAAGTATTTTAACAAATAATAGGATCACAGAACATTTGGTTATTACCTGTGTAAGTTGCCAGGTGCGCAACATTAATTCAGCTATTTTGTCCTCTTTAATTAGTGTCAGTACTGTAATGTAACTTAAATGTCTTGCAGTTTTACGTAATGTTTGCAAACATTTTTTTGTACTCACAGGGGAATAAGACAGTACAGCTTGTCAGATTAATTCTTTGTTTGCTTGTGTAGGGTTTGCACAATTCATAAACCTATAAAAAGAGGTCTTGCCCTATGATAAGTCAAGAATACCGGTTATATATTTTAAATTTCGACTCTTATTATGCCTGTGATAAAATCATTTTCTGGTTGGTGTTAAACGTAAAATTAAGTTAATAATCCTTAACAACGTATGAAGAGTGGGTCGTATATGAGGCTTTTGTCCTACTTGTAATTTAGAACCTGTGAGGTGGGGTGAGGTGAGGTGAGGTGAGGTGAGGTGAAATGGGGTTTAACGTCGTGTCCAAGATTATTGCGCATGCGACATGTATGTGTTTGTGTGGCTGCTTGTACTAGTCCGGACTGATGCCGATTAATAGTGCTAGTTCACTGAGATACCATGCCGCAGTTTAACATGAATACCCCACTCATACACAGTATACTGACTCCGAGCCGACCAGTCCTTGTTTTAGCCCCTTAATGCCGAGCGCCAGACAGGGTAACAACAAGTACCATCTTTTAACGTCTTTTGGTATGACGCGGTCAGGGATCGAACCCCGGACCTTCCACTCTCCGGGCGGACGCTCTACCACTAGACCACGGAGGCGGTCTGAACCTGTGAAGATCCAGGGTAGAATAGGTCTTCAGCAACCCATGTTTGCCGTGAAAGGTGACTTTGCTTCTCGTAAAAGGCGACTGAAGGGATTGGGTGGTCAGGCTGTGTGACTTGGTTGATGCATGTCATCATATTCCAGTTGCATAGACCATGATGTCAATCACTGGATTGTCTGGTCCAGACTCAATGATTAACAGACCGCCATCATATAGCTGGAATATTGCTGAGTGCAGCTTCAAACAACAAACAAACAAACAAACAAACTTGAAATTTGTTTGATTTCTTTGTGGATTCAACCTAAGTGTTTTTGTCCCTGGACCAGGCTGTGTGTCTGATTGCCACCTCTCCATCTGGGATGGCGACTGAGGACGTCCTCAAGCTGCTGGGGGACGTGGGGACACGGGAGGAGGCGCCGCCCTTACATTGGGCGCTGGCCCGGAGACACCTCAAACCCTACCTGCGCGTGGCCGGATTCCCCGCGGAGTTTGTCACATTCTCCCACGAGAAAATATTTAAGGTATACGTTTTTTTCAGTATAGCTACACAAAGACAAGTTAACTGTAATCACAACTTTTTTCCTTATCATAAAAAATCCTTGCAAACTACTCAAAAGAAGTTAAAGAACACTCTTTCATATAACTGTAGGTCATGCATGCCATGAATTAAGCATGTGATATATGACAGATTAACTATAGTAATATAAAACAGTCGGGTGTTCCTTAACTTATTTTGAGTTGTATAGATGCTGAAATGATCATGAATGTACCTGTTTCAAAGGCAAATCTTTTTTCAATCGATTTACAGATTTTATCAGTGCTAAAAACTGAAAAATGATAGAACAAAATCAGATTACAGTAAACTATGTTTATACCGAACACATTTATAGTGAAGTGATGGATATAACAAACTGTTTTTTTGTCCCGGCCATTTGCTGTGTATATGCTGTATATATGCTTATAACGAACCATGGTTATAACGAACTATAATTAGTGGTCCCTTTAAGTTTGTTATACCATAGTTTACTGTATTTAAGATCCACCGAATACAAACGTATGTGTTCGCCACAAACAGTAGTTCACTCCACAGGACTGATGAGACAAGCCTAACTTGCACACACTGCATACACTGCATACACTGCACACACTGCATACACTGCACACACTGCACACACTGCACACACTGTACACACTGTACACACCACACACACTGTACACACTGCATACACTGTACACACTGTACATACCGCACACACTGTACACACTGCATACACTGCACACAGCAACTCATTCATGTAATCTTTTGGACAATTAAATTCGGACAAGTGGGGAGCAGGCCTTTGTTCAAGGTTTTGCATTGTCGTGTAACGTGTAAACACATCGTTTTTATTACCTAGTTGGTGTAAGGTTGCTTAGCGCTGATTTTACAGGTGTCAATGTATGATATTATTCTGATGTTACAGGGTGTCAAAGTATGACAGTATTGTGATGTTACAGGGTGTCAAAAAAAAATGACAGTATTGTCCCTTTAAGTTTGTTATACCATAGTTTACTGTATTTAAGATCCACCGAATACAAACGTATGTGTTCGCCACAAACAGTAGTTCACTCCACAGGACTGATGAGACAAGCCTAACTTGCACACACTGCACACACTGCACTCACTGCATACACTGCATACACTGCATACACTGCATACACTGCACACACTGCATACACTGCATACACTGCACACACTGCACACACTGTACACACTGCACACACTGCATACACTGTACACACTGCACACACTCATTCATGTAATCTTTTGAAGAAAGAAATGTCTACTGAGCAGGATATTTCACAAAAGGAAGCAAAAAACTTCTTGTTTAATTTCAGTTTAGGAGGCAGTTGTGTTTTTTGTTTTGAAGGCAGTTGAAGGTCATGTGATCACATCCCGCGATGAGCGGAACAAGTGGCAGCTACACCTGGCTGACTTCTACCAGTACTGGAGTGACAACTCCCGACTGAGGACCCTCCTGCTGCCGGACCTACTCAGGAACGTCGGCCTGAAGGACAGGTAGGCATCGAGGGCAGACCAAACCCCACCATCTTCCCGCTGTTCTAATACACTTGTGTCCATGCCCATGTCCATGTCTTGTGTCCAAATTACTGTGTTCCTTGCAGAGTGGGACCTTAGCACTAATGCTTGTCATAAGAGCCGACCAAAATGAGGATCAGGGCCCACTTGCACAAAGCCATCTTAGCATTACCAGAGCTACAGATAAGCTGCGTATTTGCGTAAAATACCCCCCAAAATATTCAAAACTCAATTACTTTCAATCAAGTTGCGTACAGAAACGGATGCGTACGAAGGAGCTAATTTCCAAAACACAATTACGAGCTAATTTACTTTCCAAGTCAAGCTTATATATTAAGACTCGTATATACATCTAAAACATTATTTCATTTTTTCAAAATCTTAAAATGTTCTCTAATTTTGGGAAAAATCCAATATAGTGATGAATAGGTCAGTGAGATAATATTGGTTACCCAATGAAAAATGTAATAACCCAATTAAGATAGAAACCCCTAGAGAAAAAATCAATTGTTCAAAAAGTTATCTGGAGCTCTGCACTACAATGATTGTAACTCCCACTCTTTAACATAGACTTAAGATAATCATAGTGCTAAGATGGCTTCATGCACATGGGCCTAGGTCCCTGTTCAACAAGATGATCTTAGTGCTACGACTGTCATACATCAGTATTGAAGTATGGGAGTTACGATCACTTTAATACTAAGATCATTTTGTGGAATGACGTCCAGATGGAATGATGGGACAGATCTATAAATCGGTGCTATTTGCTGTTTGATTGGATTAAGGTAATATGTATCATTCCACTGGGGATTGTTTGGGGAGAGTCAGATTGATTTTGAGTTGCATTTTTGGCTAGGGGTCAGTAGTTGAATTAATTTGGAGACGCATTAATTTCAAGATATACAGTACACCATGAACAACCCTTAGAACTGCCTGTTGTTTCAGGATGGTCAAGTTTATGACAACCGACAAAGACTCTTGGGCTGTGAGCCCCTACCAGAGGAGCAGCTATCTCCGCGTACGTTTCCTTCTTATACCACTAGGGAGGGAGTCAGGTAGCCTAGTGGTTAAAGCGTTTGCTCGTCACGCCCAAGACCCGGGTTTGATTCCCGACATGTGTACAATGCGTGAAGCCCATTTCTGGTGTCCCCCGCCGTGATATTGCTGGAATATTGCTAAAAGCGGCGTAAAACTAAACTCACTTACTCACTCACTCAGTCACTATATGAATAGGGTGCAGTATGAAAGTTGTTTCAGTTGGTATTAACTCTTCGTAACAACCTCACATGTGCAACGTGCCAAGGTTGGACGATTAAATTCGGACTAGTGGGGAGCAGGCCTTTGTTCAAGGTTTGGTCGTGTAACGTGTAAACACATCGTTTTTATTACCTTGTTGGTGTAAGGTTGCTTAGCGCTGATTTTACAGGTGTCAATGTATGATATTATTCTGATTTTACAGGGTGTCAGTGTATGATATTATTCTGATGTTACAGGGTGTCAAAGTATGACAGTATTGTGATGTTACAGGGTGTCAAAGTATGTCAGTATTGTGATGTTACGGGGTGTCAAAGTATGGCAGTATTGTGATGTTACATGGTGTCAAAGTATGACAGTATTGTGATGTTACAGGGTGTCAAAAAATGACAGTATAGTGAAGTTACAGGGTAACAAAGTATGGCAGTATTGTGATGTTACGGGGTGTCAAAGTATGACAGTATTGTGATGTTACAGGGTGTCAAAGTATGACAGTATTGTGATGTTACGGGGTGTCAAAGTATGGCAGTATTGTGATGTTACATGGTGTCAAAGTATGACAGTATTGTGATGTTACATGGTGTCAAAGTATGACAGTATTGTGATGTTACGGGGTGTCAAAGTATGATATTGTTCTGATTTTACAGGCTGTCAATGTACATTATTCTGATGTTACACGGTGTCGATGTATGATATTATTCTGCTGTTACGGGGTGTCAATGTATGATATTGTTCTGATTTTACAGTGTATGAACATATGATATTATTCTGATGTTACAGTGGTGTCGATGTATATTATGCTGATGTTACAGGGTGTAAAAGTATGACAGTATTGTGATGTTACAGGGTGTCAATGTATGATATTATTCTGATGTTACAGGTGTCAATGTGTGATATCATTCTGATGTTACAGGTGTCAATGTGTGATATCATTCTGATGTTACACGGTGTCAATGTATATTATTTTGCTAGTACAGGGTGTCAAAGTATATTATTCTGATGTTACTGGGTGTCAATGTATAGTATTCTGCTGTTACATGGTGTCAAAGTATGATATTATTCTGATGTTACAGGTGACAATGTAAGATATTATTCTGCTGTTACAGGGTGTCGATGTATGATATTCTTCCAATGTTACAGGGTTTCGATACATGATATTATTCTGCTGTTACAGGGTGTCAATATATGATATTATTCCAGTGTTACAGGGTGTCGATGTATGATATTATTCCAATGTTACAGTGGTGTCGGTGCACACGTCCAACGGGTGGATCCTGGTCCAGCAAGCCGGTCATGATCTGCACGTTCTGCAGACACAAACAACAGTGCTTCAACCCCGCCAACAGGTGGCAGGCTCATGTCTCCTGCGTCATCTGTGGCGCCAATTGCTTCAGCCACATGACGGCGACCGCTAGTCTGTGCACATTCCATGGTGTTGGTACCCCAACCAGTGCTAAGTGTGTCATCTGTAACAGACACATGAGTCTCCAAGTTAAAATGTCCGGGGATATCCAAGGACGTCTGTGTGGTCAGTGTGGATTTGGCAACTATGGGAAGATGTGTTCCTATGTCGGTCAGTAGGGAACAACAGCTGGAACACTACTGGCATTTGGCAGGGTATGATACTCCCAAAATTTTCAGCCAGACCACAGGACTGGCTAGCTGAAATACTTGCCAGCCCTGACCAAAACCTGCCTGCCCACTATAATCATATGTTTCTCCGGATAATTTAATTAAAACTTTAAATCGAATTCATTGAACATGAAGTAATGCAAGAAAAGAAATAGCAAACACTTTTTAGGTCAGATTTGTATTTAATATCCTAGAATACATCATGTAAATAATGCTTATCATCGGAAAACATTTAAAAAAAATTTACATATGAATTATAACCCGACCGTCGGGCAAGGGGGATTTGAAAATCTGGCAGCCCGAGTTGACGGTCGGGCAGGCAGGTATTTCGAACACTGCTTTTGGAGGGTGACCTTGTTCTTGGAGGAAACCTGCTGATGTTAACTTGTCATTCCTTTTTTATTTTTTATTCAACAGTTTCAATGACTTGCAATGTGGTCCATGTATAATTTTGAGATAAACGTGCTAGAACTGGTGTCCCTGCATTCTTCACGACGCTAAGGCTTTAAAAAATAACAGAATTGGTTCTCAGGCAATGGTTTTTGAAAATATAGTGCGGGCGCTGTCCTCTTTTTCAGTTGTTCAAACTAGTATGTAACCAAATAAACAATCAACCTGGGAAAGGGCCTCCCTACATAAATGTTTTCCATGATGAGTAAAATGCTGGATTACAGTATTTGACTACCTTTGGACTTGAAATATTTGAGGTAAGTTTTTCTTTTTGTAAAATGGAAATAAAAAGGAAATGTGTGGCGAATGATGATGCAGGCGGTGCCTGAGAACTAAGCCTATGTTTTTTTTAGCCTAAATTGAATGTGGAACAATAAGCTGACATAAAGTGGGCACCCCTAAAGTGAGTGAGTGAGTTGGGTTTAGCGCCGCTTTTAACAGTATTCCAGTTATATCGCGGCGTGTCAGCTTAATGTGGGAGGAAAGCCCGACGTGATGCAGGTCTCAGACGTTTACCACTTCGGTAAAACCCACGAGCACGGGTATGGTGCTGACAAACCTAGAAACATAATCGGGGCGAACCGGGATTCGAACCCACAATCATAGGTTTCTGGCGTGCCCAAGGGACGCAACTCTGCACAGCGAATCGCGGCGCCTTAGACGACTGGGCCACCCGTGCCCCCCACCCCTAAAGATGTGTCAGCAAACCTTGTAGATGTAGCTCTCCACCCCACTCCACTATTAAGACATCCCCTGCTCATTGTGAGTCAGAAGATATGACATCACATTCAGCTACTGAAAAGTGCCAAATTTAAGCTCCCTGATGTCCCCCAAACATGAAATACACTCTCCTAGTCAGTTTCTGTCTTGTTTTCTACACAATATCTTTTACCACACACACTGCTTAATCTGCAGTTTATAACTTATAATTGCACATAGAAGTATTTTAAATTGCTTACTGACAATAACTGAGACAGAAGTACTAATCTATTAATATTATTTTCCTTGGTGATGCGGTCGCCATAATGGGTTTTCAATCAGAGGTGGTTATTGTGGTTTGATAGGTCAGATTGTCAAATCATAATCCATGATTTTGCAAATTTATTCACATTCCCAATTCATAGAATTTGTATTATATTGGGAGTCAAGTCCTTAACATCCATGGATAGTTAAAAAAACGTATTGCAAAGTGCTTGTATTTCAAGAAAAGGGCACATCGATTTGTATTTAAGTCGTTAGTGTCACAGAAACGATGTCTACAGTTTAGAGATGTCGTTCTAGACTTCTGTAGGATTTGTTAGTAGGTAATCAGTAAGTATTGCAGTCACTGAATCTGAAATGTTGTTTCTGTCAGACACTTCAACATCTGTCTCAGACTTACATTCAGCTGGAAGGAAGGAGATGTTGCCATGGTAACCATCTGCAGATGTTCTAATCATTTCTGTTGGAGACTTCCATTGATTAAACAAACTCATATCAATTGTTGATTACATTTCTGAATGGAGAAGGAAGGACCCAAATGATATTTTTATACCGAATGTGACTACTGTGATATTTATTGTTATACAGTCTTCATTTTTACCTCAGGTGAGTGAAAGTCAAGAGATCTTACTTTGTGGTGCTTTGTCCATCTTTTGGGTTATCCATCTGACGTTAACTTTTGATTCAACAAGGCCTATTGTGTTAAAATTTTGTATGAATTATCCCATCTATGGGGTCTCTAACACTGCAACCAGTGCAATTTCCTGCAATTCTGATTCAACTTCTGATCCAACTTCAAAATGGCTGCCACAGTGGCCATATTGAAATGACCATTTTAGGTCACAGAACTGAAATTTAAGTGAGATTATGTATCATATGCTGTTGTCCTGTTGTCAGTCCGTCATTGACTTTTACATTTACGACAGATCCTCTGAAAATAAAAGGCCTGAGGAGCTGAAAATTTATATGGATCTATGGTGTCTCTAAATTTGCTCACAGAATTCTGGCCTGACTTTTAACATGTCTGATAATATTTCAATATGACTGATATGATGAAAGATGTTTCTGGGTGAACAAATATGGATTTCCATTGGATAGATCACTGTAGTTGAGTGGGAATATATATTCTGTAAAACTGCCTTTTTTTCAGATGCTTGTTCACAAAAAGTCTCATTGTTATGTACAAAGACATTTTGTTTATTTTTAGGTAAATATATATTTTAATATCTTCATACCTTAAAATTATTCATATTTACACATTACATTTCTGTATTCATATTGCCTTGGTTGTCTTTTTGTTGTTTACTCTTACATGTACAACATTTACCATGTAGAGATTGAGCCTTAAAATTATGGTGCATAAAATCTTGCTGACAAACGTGAAGTCTAGCTAAGTCTGTAACTGTTGAGTTAAAGTTAAGTTGTCATCTAGACGGTAATGATCAGTATTTGAGTAAAAACTACAGAGCCAGGATCATGTTTCAGCTATAAATAACAGTTCTTCAAACAGGTAACAAGTTAGTATTGATAATCAGCCTCTTTTATCACAGTTGTAGCAACGGGTCTATGTAGATTCTAACACAGTTATCAAGCACACCATGGCTTGAAATTGGTTTTAGACTCTTCATCCAAATATTTAACATCACTTGCTTGATATTAGTGTCAGACTCCACATTGAAGCAGACCTGTGAAGATCCAGGGTAGAACAGGTCTTCAGCAACCCATGCTTGCCGTAAAAGGCGACTATGCTTGTCGTAAGAGACGACTAACGGGATCGGGTGGTCAGACTCGCTGACTTGTTTGATGCATGTCATCGTGTCCGAATTGCGTGGCCCGTGCTCATGATGTCATTCACTGGATTGTCTGGTCCAGACTCAATTATTTACAGACCGCCGTCATATACATGTAGCTGGAATATTGCTGAGTGCGGCGTTGGACAACAAACAATCAAAACACTGAAGCAAAGAAGTTGATCCTCCACATTATCTTCTTATGAGTTACATATCCATCTTCTAGATGTTACTCAAACATCCCACCTCCTGATCTAATTATGTTTTTATGTCAAGGAAATTTCAACCTGGTTGAATTGGCGTTTTGAGTTTGACCTTACACTCGGAAGATATTTTTTCCTTTTTTTGCTCAGTGTGCATTTTTCACTTCTCTTGTTTTAAACTTTATTCTAGTCTTTGTTATTTACACTGAATGTGCTCGACTCTATGTAGTCATATCATATGTTTAGTCATTGATGTATTTAGATTTTTTTGTTATATTTTCTATTTTGTCACATTTGATTCCCCACATGGGTAAAATGTGTGGCTCATTTCTGGTGTCCCCTACCATGATATTGTTTGAATATTGCTGAAAGAGGCGTAAAACCATACCCTTCTATATAATGCAGTCTAGCAATGACCACAGAAATTCTTGTCTCATCCAAAGACATGGTCACATCTAATAGCTACAGGACATGAAGCTATTCTTAATAAATAAAACATCCACCTATTTAAAAGTCACTAATTTGAAATAATTGAACATTTTCCAATTGAAAGTTTGGATTTATCCTGAATATTCAGTTCATGGAAATGACATCTAATGTGAAAATGTAACATGAATGTATAAGATATGATTACTGAACATTTCAGAAATAATGTATTTCAAAGTGTCAAAGTCAGGAAATAATCAGCCTTGATTACCTGCTAAAACAGATTCCATTGGCAAAATAGTGAAGGAAATCGTATGAATTTATCATTGAAAATCAGTGATGACGCCAGGTGTTCGCTAATAGGGTAAGCCTGTCCCACTCTACTGGCAGAACCCGCCACTCACAATTTTCATTAAGAACTGTTTGTTTGTTGCTTAACACTGCACTCAGCAATGCTCCTGCCATATGACGACAGTCTGTAAACAATCAAGTCTGTTAAAAAAAAAAAAAATTGTTGACATAATTATTGATATTTTGTGTCCCCTTATTATCATGGTGATTATTTTCTGTATGAAATCATTTTTGTTAATATTGACTGAATATCCACAGACCTTTTCAACTGCCAAAGATTGAAGCGCCTATCCTTTATTGGGCCAGAAAAATCATATTTGTTTTGTAGACTTTCCAGGAAATATAATCCAAGATGAAGAATTAAACCTTCAAAACCTCATTACCATTGTCTAAAGGCTATAGAAACAGACCTGTAAACTTGCTATTGATTACCAAATATTTGTTGATATCATTTTAGTAAGATTTCGAAATGCTTGTTGTTAGGATACCTGTTCCATTGTCTGAAAGAAAGTTTTTGAATATTCGTTAGACATTGGCAATATTCCTATTGGCCTTGCAAATAGTTAAGGTATCACAAGGACTAATAGAAATTTGTGATTTTTAAGGGTTTTGCTATAAGGACTAGTGGACTAAAACATTTAGTTTCTTCCACTGTTGAATTAAGGTTAGAACAAGACTAACATGTACAGAATAGCATATTTATAACTGAGGATAATTATATTGTCCATTTTGTTAAACTATTGATATCATTGTGGGCAAGTAACCATGGTAACAGTCACAATAAACATCATATGTTACCGCTAAGCCTCTACTCAACCCAACTTCAGGGACCAGTTTATTTGTACACAATGATATTGTATTTTTTAGTAAACATATTGTTATGACAAACACTTTTTATGGAAGTCAATAAATGTTTATACAAATTGTTTAGTGATTGTGTTGTTATTGTGAAACAGTCCTGTTGAAGGAGGAGTCGGTGGGCTCTGGGCGGTGAGCAATCACTACCAATGTATTATACATCCATATATGGAAATAATATATCTTGCACGATTGAATGTGAAATGCCATTTATTACATTTGAACAGGACATGAAAGTGCAATATACATTTTTGTTTATTTGTTTTTTAACTTTTGAAGAGCCCTTTGGAACAGGATTTTATGGAGGTAAATAATGTGACGTGTCATTCAAAGTTAGGCAACACATTTTTTATTTTTTGTTTCATGGGCCGCCCCTACTGAAAAGAAGTTGGAAAAGAAAGAAATTAATATAGACCCTCTTATACAATATAAAATGTTATTTATATAAATTCCATTTCTACATCACTATCGGTACCAGTGATTCAAGGAGCCAGCTGCAGTTTTGATTCCATGGCAGAATGACTTTCATATAAATAAATAAATGAATAATTGAATGATAATGAATGAATTTATTAAATAGATAAATAAATAAATAAATAAATAAATAAATAAATAAATAAATAATGACAACCATTTATTTTTATTTTTATCTCAACCGACCTTGTGTGGAAAAACAGGAATAAGTCTGTGAAACAAAATTAAGAAAGTGTAGCCTTGGGCATGGCAGTACAAATCCCTGACTTTAACACGCATGTATACACAAATCAGTTATTGAAGCAGACTGATATGAGGAAAAGGAGTGCTTGTAGCATGAAACATTGGGCATGTTGGTGTGAAACAAGTGCTCGTCACAGGCTGTAATAATGTCTGGGAGGGATACTAAAACAGCATAATGATTCCATAAATAATCTGAAGTTAATAGTTCACCTATACAAGACCGATACAAGACCATTCCATTATAGAGCAGGCTCTTTGATAGTAGAAGACATCCATTAGTATAATCACAGCTTGGGATCCCTGTGGGCATTTAGTAATACAGTCTAATCTTTAAAGGGACTTAAGACTCTGTTCATTATGTCAGAATCCATCACACCGTCAGGAGTCCACCTACAGGTATGGCTTGAAGATGGAGAATATGTGGTTCCCGTTCCACAAAGCAACCTTAGCGCTACGACCGTAAGTCAATGTTAAAGTATGGGAGTTACGATCACCTTAGCGCTAACATCGCTTTGTGGAACGGGGCCTATGATCGATGTTGCGTTTCCTTCTATCCCCGGAACGCTTCCATGGTCTTGAGGATAGACCGTCTGCCCCGAGAGAGGAAGATCGGTGGTTCTATCCCTGGCCGCGTCATACCAAAAGACGTTTAAAGATGCTACTTGTTGTTACCCTGTCTGGCGCTGTACTGACTGTTCTGTAAAGTTACTTACACTTTGTGTTCTGCCAACTCTGTGGTCTAATGGTAGACCGTTTGTCCCGAGAGAGGAAGGTCGGAGTTCTGTCCCCGTCGGCGTCATACCAAAACGTTGAAAGCTGACATTTGTTGATACCCTGCTTGGCGCTCGGCATTATGGGGCTAAAACAAGGGCTGGTCGGCTCGGAGTCAGTATACTGTGTCTGAGTGGGGTATTTATATTAAACTGCGGTATGGTATCTCAGTGGGCTAGCACTTTCAATCGCACGCACACACACACACACTCACCTCACCTCACCTCACCTCACCTCACCTCACCTCACCTCACCTCACCTCACCTCACCTCACCTCACCTCACCTCACCTCACCTCACCTCACCTCACCTCACCTCACCTCACCTCACCTCACCTCACCTCACCTCACCTCACCTCACCTCACCTCACCTCACCTCACCTCACCTCACCTCACCTCACCTCACCTCACCTCACCTCACCTCACCTCACCTCACCTCACCTCACCTCACCTCACCTCACCTCACCTCACCTCACCTCACCTCACCTCACCTCACCTCACCTCACCTCACCTCACCTCACCTCACCTCACCTCACCTCACCTCACCTCACCTCACCTCACCTCACCTCACCTCACCTCACCTCACCTCACCTCACCTCACCTCACCTCACCTCACCTCACCTCTGCCTACTTCGACCCCTGTGTGTGACTATGCTCTTTCTGGTGTTTCATAGAAACAGGAAGTTTGGGAAGTTTAATGTCACAACGGAAATGCATCATCCCACAGGGCTTAGAAACCGCAGTAACAGGGAGCAATCACATTAGGCAGACTGCAAACAATCTCCTGGCATTCGATGGGTGGTTAACGGACATTCTACCAGGAAGTTGAAACTTACTCGATTCTGATTGGTCAATCAGCGGTATCAAATCACTATAACCACTGCGCGTTCGATACAAAATTCACTTGAGCGCGGTTAAGGCATTATATAGGTAACCCAGTTCTACATTGAACACACAATGTGTTTATTCCCTGATTCAGTATCAACTCTTTTGAGCAGTATATGCGCATGACAGATTAACTATAGTATTGTTATAGTGCGCCGTTTGTTGTAGTGTTACTTAAAAGATATTTTGATATTTGATAAAATATCATATGTAAATATGCTTAACATATTTGCACTATTTTCTCTGTTCTTTTAATCAAAATGTTACACAGCTTTGCCAAGGTTATTTTATCAAATATCAAACTTTCTATTAAGAAATACTAGAGCAAATGGCGCACTATAACAGTAAAATGAAAGAATTATATGTCCTTGCGCAAGACAGATTTACTATAGTAATATGAAAAAAAAATTGGGTGTTCTTTAACGTCTTTTGAGGAGTATATACGCATGATAGATTAACTATAGTAATATGAAAAAATCTGGTGCTCCTTAACTTCTTTTGAGTAGAATATGCGCATGACGGATTAACTATAGTAATATGAACGAATCGGGTGTTCTTTAACTTCTTTTGAGGAAAATATGCGCATGATAGATTAACTATAGTAATATGAAATAATCAGGTGCTCTTTAACTTCTTTGGAGTAGAATATGCGCATGACGGATTAACTATAGTAATATGACAAAGGTCGGGTGTTCTTTAACGTCTTTTGAGTAGTATATGCGCATGACGGATTAACTATAGTAATATGATCGAATCGGGTGTTCTTTAACGTCTTTTGAGTAGTATATGCGCATGACGGATTAACTATAGTAATATGAACGAATCGGGAGTTCTTTAACTTCTTTTGAGTAGTATATCTATCTGTACAGGTACGTGTAAAGGAGATCAGTTCCACTAAGAATTTAATCCGGGAGGGAATAAATCAAACTTGTAAATGAGTTCCCTGGCAAAATTGGTTCTTGCGGCACAGTTATTAGGGAACCAATTTTCAGGAGGTATGCACAGCTGATGCCACCCTTATGTATGGCATATATATGACCGATCTGCGTCTCCCCACTTGCAATATATCACTTATCTGGTGAGTTCGCCAGTATCTTGCCGCACGAGTCACGATGTTAATTCTTTTTCAAACGTTCTATTTCAGAAACGTACATTCGGCCAAACGTAAGCCAGTATGAGCAAACACCGAACTGGTCCAGGTCTAAACTCTTTACCTTATGGCCACTGCGGACATCGCAAAGATGATATATGTCAATAAAAGGGCTGTATTTGTTTATTTGAATTGTGGGGTCGCTGAATCTATTTTGTGGGATGAATGCCAATAGTCTCATCAACTGTTTCTGGAAAAAATATGTCATGATGCATTCCCTGCATGTGGAGTGATTGAGTATGGTTTTACGCCGCTTTTAGCAATATGCCAACAATATCAAGACTGGGGGCACTAGAAATAGGCTTCACACATTATACCCATGTCGAGAATCGAACCCGGGTCTTCGGCGTGTCGAGCGAACGCTTTAACCACCAGGCTACCCGCCCGACCGCTCTTCAAGTTGACTTCATCGAGGCATAAGTGCTTCTTTTTCAATAGTTTAAGTGTGGGTTTGATGACGCACACGTTTGATAGCGACAGTGCTCGCTGTGTCGCACTTTTGTGTTTGTGTTGATGAATGTATATCAGTTATCTGCACGAAAAGGGTAGAACTGACTTAACCTTTATTCGAAACATCACGTCTCTCTTGCCTTGTCTCTTGTCGAATAAAAAGGGATATTTTCAATTTTTATACACATTTGGCGAATCAACCCCGACGTCTGCGTAAATAACTAACCTACATGTTTGTTTGTTTGTTGTTTAACGCCGCACTCAGCATTATCCCAGTGATATGACGGCGGTCTGTAAATATTCGTATCTGGACAGCACAATACAGTGATCGACATCGGGAGCATCGATCTACCAAATTGGATACGATAACATGCATAAACCAAGTCAGCGAGACTGACTACCCGATCTCTTCAGTCGCCTCTTATGACGTTGCTAAAAATCAACTTTAACCCGGATCTTCACAATATGTACATTTGACTACTATTGAATATGCATTTATGCAAGCCGATTTTGAGGTATATTTGCTTAAGAAAGAAGCTGAATGTAATGCTTCCCTGCTGATTTAGATAAAACCCTCATCTCAATCGTAATTTTAGATTACATTCAGTATTAGATTCCCCACATGGGAACAATGTGTGAAGCCCATTTTCTGGTGTGCATCGCCGTGATATTGCTGGAATATTGCTAAAAGCGGCGTAAAACTATACCCATTCACTCACTTAATATGAATATCGTGTATAAAGTAGACCAGTTGTGACCATGGTGATGGCCGTAATAAGTGTCGATACGTGTCTTGATATTGTTGGTAATATCATCCTATCTGTGTGAATTATTACCCCGTGTGAAGGTATTTCTTGTTGTTCAGTACAGTTTGACGTTCCCCTATCGAGCTGTTGATGTAGATTCTTGTTACCGGGCGGGTTGTCGCAACGCCGTTCCTTTCACTCCGATAAGTCGTCTTGACTTCTGACCCCCAGATAGCAGACGACAGGTACGAGTGACTCAGGTGTAGGGGGCGCCACGTCACGAGCAGACGACAAATCGATCGCTTCCCATCAGTCATAGCGGGGAAGTTGGTGACAGATGGGAAAAGTTCGATCAAAACTTTTCAGTAGTTTCACGTCATGAGTATGTTTTCGACGATCGTCACCATCCCGTGGATAGTAACCGCCATTTTCACACCGACTGAGAAAGGGAAGGAGTGAACCAAACTGAACAAATACTATATCTGGAGTGTACACAGGAAGGCCATCACCTATCGGTTCTACAGCCGCACTTGGGGCTATTCTCCATCGCTCGGGGATCTGTAAACACATTCAGGTAACCACATGAACGCGTGTCACATGTTTATATTATAAATCTATATACTGACAAGTCGAATATACACCGTGTTTCAACTTAAATTAATTCAGACTGATGTATGTAATAGACAGTTCGTTTTGAACTGTTAATAAACATAACATATTCAGTAAACATGTCATTTTTAAATGACTGAATAAGTTAAGCGACAAAATGTTATGAGAATATAGACTTAATACCTCTTAAAATCAATGGCATACGTGTGTGAAACGTCTTTTCATGTCTAGATTGACGTTAATCATGTACATGTACAGTATAGAGCAAAATATTAATAATTATGTTTTATCGTAAAAGTCAAACCAATCGGTCGTCACTGGATAACAGGACACAAAAATACATATTCAGATATTATGTATGAATAATGTTCGCAATAATCCTAACATAACAGAGAGTACAGTTTTTGTAAAACTAGGCAAACATAACATATACGGCGAAACAATTGGCTAAATATAGTTAGCTCCCACGGTGCATTCTTACCAATGTTCATATAAGTATATCTCGTCAAAATGGTAACATTTGTCAGGGGTATCATATTTCAAACATATTAATAAATTGTGAATATGTAAGACTAGGAAGTTATAATATTTGCAAACCTATATTTCCTAATATCCAATATGAGACCTTTACTTTAAATTCAATATGATTGCTTCATGAACAAAATCTAGTGTGTCATTAAATTGCCAAACAGTGTGTGATCTCTTTAAGGCAAATGTGTTTATGTCAAACAAATGCCTCACTCTATGTCAGTTCTTTCCTTCAAAGTGTTTCGTTTAATTTTATCATCTAACTATATATTCCCGGTTGATGCGAACAACTATTCAAAATTCATGAGGGTGTTAAGTAATAATCTGTGCAATTTCTAAGTGTTATTTAATTTTCCTCCGTGTCAAACGATATGCTGCATTGATGTACAAACATGACAACTTTGATAGATTGGATTCTTCCCCTAATAACCATGTAATATTACATCATAGCTCATCCCCTACCTGTAGGTCACATGACCGTCTGTGCTGTAACGATCTGTAACACATTGGGATACACGACATGTCGCCGACATTAACATGTCCTGTCGCATTAATATATGCCCCTTATAAGTATTAAGATGTATATAGACTCCCTGGTATAATCAATAGAATTGTGTAGATGGTAAAATTATTTCCATTTAATATATTCCGTATGTGTAGATTTGATATAATTATTGATTAAAATGAAATAAAGATATATGTCAAAGGACGAGGCATGATAAGGGGGCAAATGACAATGTCAAATTAAAGTTGCGAGACACCATTGCGATATTGGAATGAAAGTGATAAGACACGTTCAAGTGTCTGATAACTTCCCCTTATTCTACACTTACAAGTATTGAACTGATATGACAATATATGTATGGCGGAATGAGTGAAAAGTTACGATTTGTAAAACAGAAATCTAAATTTCATCAGGTCGTCTCTGACCCGTGACAGTTTTTATCCAGACTAAAAAGCCTTAATTTCCCGAAGAAGCAGTTTGGGTCAAAGACTTGCTAATGTTCAAGTATTAAAGGTGCGGTGAGATTGCTTAGACGTTAAAGCGTTGTCTCGTCAAGCTGAAGGCTCGGGGTCGATTCCCCACGTGGGTACAAATTCAAAGGGGCAAATTCTAGTGTTTCCCCAGCGTAATATTGCTAAAAGCGGCGTAAAAAACATACTTAATCACTCACTCATGTATTAGGAAACGCTTCCGGTTCCCCGTATATCAGCCTGTCGGCCATAGTTTATCCTTGCCTGTTCATTAAGTGGTGGTATCAGTCCAACGCAGACAGTCTAATTCTGGTTTATACCTACACATCGGATACCTTTCACACTGATTTGTAACGGGTTTCCCCTTTTGTTAAATTATGCATATGCCTTGTGACGAATAGGTCCGTTATCATTTCTCCGCTCTTATTTATTTATTAGATTTTGGAACACTACCTGAAGGTTTATTTTGTATGTTGTGTTGTGTACATGCTTGTATTCTTTTGAGGAATATGTCAGTCGTTGATTGAATGTGTCTTACATCATTTAGTGATAACGTAACAGATACATCCGAACCTTCTGTCTGTCATAGCTTGCCCGGATATCATTCAAACGGCATTGCTTCTCATAAACGATTTGGCCGTTTTAAGTACTTAAACCGTTCTTCATAACTGATATTAGGATATGCTCTTCTCTGGGCCTGGAGATAACGAAACCTCAAACGTACAGATTTTATGATGTTCGGGTTTTATAATGTCGAAGCTTCTATTGTGGGATAAGAATGTAACGAAATAAACTGCCTGGCAAAAGAAAATATGCACCCATGTTTAAAGGAGGCTTAAAATGAAACAAGCAAGAAATTGCTATTCGATGGTGATGAATATGATACGGATATCATAGTTGTGTTTTGGACCTTAAGTATGCAGTGTTTCGGCGACGTTTTGATATCCAATTTTCAAGTGCATGCTTTCAACTGCCCGTCAGATTGTCTTCTGGTAAGTAAACCATGTACAATAACTTGTTATTGAAACCTCAGATACGGCATATACCTGCTAAGTTCTGATTTAGTAATACACCATACCACGTAAACCAAACCAAGACTTACCACCCAAACACAACACGCAGAACATCTCCTCCCTCTGAGAAAATATGAGAGATTACGCCTTGTCGCAATGGTAATGATATGTGAACGAAACGGCATTGTATGGGGCAGTATATCTGTGTAATTGAGCATATGCATTTTACATACATACGGCTATTTGAGCACTTCTGTGTGTTATGTGCTGTAGACATACTGATATACTGTCCTGGGACATTGGATACACACACATGATTTGACACCGCTGTTGTGAAGTTACACCAATAGGACAACTGTAAGATGTAATATGTGTGATAAAGGATATAATTATTGTTCTATGTGATAAAGTATATGCTTTGTGTAACTGCGCGATAAAGCATATACTTAGTAACTGTGGTATAAGGCATACAGTTAGTAACTGTGGTATACGGTATATACATAGTGTAACTGTGTCATTAGGCACACAAATAGATTGCAAGCGATTCCTTGGCATTTGATTGGCTAACCAATTGATGTTTCCATAAATTGAAAAAAATAGGCCGCACCCACTTACAAACTACTGTTTCTGATTGCCTGATAATGGAATGGGCGGGGCTTATTGTGCTGAACGATGTCCCTGATTTCTTACTGTTGTCCACAGTTTTATGTGTTACTCATTAAATAAGCAGTCTGTGATTTTATCATATCAGTTTATAGTTTACGATTATACGCAAAAAATACGGATACTTTCAACTGCCCGTCAGATTGTCTTCTGGTAAGTAAACCATGTACAATAACTTGTTATTGAAACCTCAGATAGGGCATATACCTGCTAAGTTCTGATTTAGTGATACACCATACCATGTAAACCAAACCAAGACTTTTTAACGGTTTTCTTTACGATTATACGCCAAAAATATTGAAGTCAATTCTTTAATACTTAGTGTAACTGTGGTGTAAGGCATAAACTTAGTGTAACTGTGGTGTAAGGCATATACTAAGTGTAACTGTGGTATAATGCATATACTTAGTGTAACTGTGTCATTAAGTATATACTTTGTGTACCTGTGTCATTAAGCATAAACTTTGTGTACCGGTGTCATTAAGTATATACTTAGTGTAACTGTGGTATAAGGCATGTACTTAGTGTAACTGTGTCATTAAGCATATACTTTGTGTACCTGTGTCATTAAGCATATACTTTGTGTACCTGTGTCATTAAGTATTTACTTAATGTAACTTTGATATAAGGCATACGTTTAGTGTAACTGTGTCATTAAGCATATACTTTGTGTACCTGTGTCATTAAGTATTTACTTAATGTAACTTTGATATAAGGCATATGTTTAGTGTAACTGTGTCATTAAGTATATACTTAGTGTAACTGTGTCATTAAATATATACTTAGTGTAACTGTGTCATTAAGTATATACTTAGTGTAACTGTGTCATTAAGTATATACTCAGTGTAACTGTTGTATAAGGCATATACTTAGTGTAACTGTGTAAATATGTGATATGGCATTGAACAGCATTCAACTTGTTCAAACTGTTGCTGCATGATAACATGAGTGTGTGTGTGTGTGTGCGTGCGTGCGTGCGTGCGCGCGTGCGTGCGTGTACACATCCTTCGGTGGTTTCCATCTTCCTGTTGATTGTGAAGTGTCGATTTATCGTATGACTTCTTTGACACTGCGCCAGAACATGTAGTTTTGGTTTATAGATCGAAAGATGAAAAAGGTTTGGGGAAACCATACATTTCATAAATGTAAACATGACTCTGGGGGAGGGATATCGGCGTGGAGACGTTATTCCATGCAGGTTAGTGATTTCCGATGTACGTTTGTGTGTCCTGGTAGAAAGAAATCATTAAGCCAGGCGCCATCTGGCGGTAACACATGCTTCCGGTATACCACTAGTGACGGCAACACACGAGCTAGATGGATCAATGAGTCGTGTGACTTGTCAGCGCGAGCAGTGAACTAAACACACTGTCAGCTGGGCACATTTGTCCATGTTAAACATGCATAGATAATGCAGACTAAACACAGGACTGAAGTCTTGTTCGACCCAATCCCAACAAATGGAGCCACTTTTTATGGATAACAACTTCTATATTCTTTGTAACGACGTTTCAGGGCTACTTCTTGCCCATTCATCTGATTTAGAGTAAGCGTATTGAGTTGACATACACAATGTATATACCAGCTCATATGTGTACAAATGGAATTGTTATTCGGGGGGCGTGATATTGCTGGAATATTGCTAAAAGCGGCGTAAAACCATACTCACTCACTGTTATTCTGTGACAATATGTCATCGACCCCTCTAATGTCACATGCAGATATGTATTGACATTATTTGTAGTTATTATACACCAAGGATTTAAGTGAATGAGTATGGATTTACGCCACTTTTAGCAATACTCCAGCAATATCATGGCGGGTGACACCAGAAATGGGCTTAACACATTGTACCCATGTCGGGAATCGAACCCGGGTCTTCGGCGTGACGAGCGAACGTTTTAACCACTAGGCTCTTCGACCGCCCCTCAACAAGGATTTAATTATAAAGTGATATATATTTATTATACTACTCAAAGGTTGCTAAAGATAAAAAAAATCATGTATCTCGGTACACAATGATTGGGAAACCCCTGTAGGGCCTCAGTTTCGTGATGAGGGGACAGAATCATGCAGTCATCATCATGAACACGAGGAGCTTGTGTTTGGATATATCGTGACAGAATCGTTGCACATCATTATCATTATTGTCCGCATGGAGTGTCCAGCCCGGCCACCAGAGCTGTCACCGGTCACTCAACACTATCGAATACACGTGGAACGTACTATAAATAATCGAATCTGGACCAGTCAATCCAGTGATTTACATCATAGCATCGATCTACGCATTTGGGATACGACGACATGCATCAACCAAGTCAGCGAGCCGGGGGACACGTCTAAGGCGCCGCAATTCGCTGTGCAGAGTTGCGTCCCTTGGGCACGTCAGAAACCTATGATTGTGGGTTCGAATTCCGGTTCGCCCCGATTATGTTTCTAGGTTTGGCAGCACCATACCCGTGTTCGTGGGTTTCACCGAAGTGGTAAACGTCTAAGACCTGCATCACTTCGGGCTTTCCTCCCACATTAAGCTGACACGCCGTGATATAACTGGAATAATGTTAAAAGCGGCGTTAAGTACAACTGAGTCTCTCTTACGACAAGCATCGGTTGTTTGGGACCAATTCGTACTGGAATCAATCCATACAGGAACCAGGAAGTGCTTCTACCCTAGGCTGGCGTATGGCTGTGGCTGTAGTGTAAGCATTGGTTATATACGTGACAGAAGCAGCTGACACAGTGGTATAAGATGCTGCTAGTTGCTCCCAGAGTAGATACTTACATAGATATGGTGTAACCTCGAAGTTCGAGAACCATCAACTTCGACTTATCCTGGGATAGCCCTGGTGTCAAAGGCGCCGCAATTCGCCTTGAAAGTCATCTCGAGTTTTTCGTCTACATTATGTTGACACACCGTGATATAACTGATACATTGACGTGTCCAGCGCGGCGTAAACGCTAATCACTCAACCAGAAAGAGTATTGCCCTAACTTCGAATTAGATGCCCACTTCGACGAATAATACAGACATATAAAGATACGTATATAAGTATACACCCGTAAGTTAAGTTGATATAAAACGTCAATGCCAGAGAATAACCAGTCTCGATTATCTGCGAAACAGATTCCATTGTGAGTAAACGGCAAAAGAGCGGTGAAAATTATATGAATGGATCACTATATATTTCCTTATAAAATATCGATTTGTTTCACTTGATATCGTCCGACGAAGTTAATTCGTTTGGAAGCGTGACACATATTAAAATACAGAAATCGAAATCGATTATCTAATGATAACAAAGGCAAAGTATTTCACTACCCTTTATATTGTTTTTCCTCTGCTTCTTTGCAGCCTCTGAATTTGACACTGTACTCATCTATAGCTGGATAACCATACTGTATTAATGCATCAAAATGAGGTAGTGTCCAATGTAGATATTTCTAAAAGATACATTGAAGTTCACGATATATGAAAGTGAACAAGGGTCGGTGCTTAAACTTTCTTCCAGGTGTATATATAACAATAACCATGCATCCATGCCATGTACGTGCTTGATGGTTTCAGCAATGCCAAGACTCGCTGTCCTGTGCCTGGTGTGTATACTTGGCGCAAGGGCGTCCGATGATTCAGAAGAATGTATAGGGATACTTGTAACAGGACTCAGTGCTCGGCAAGTCGGCGAAGGTATCCGCACACAGCTGAATAGTGTGCGAGCGGACTGTGTAATTACATGCGGTTCTTCGTGCTGTGAAACAGGTACACACACCTGCCCATTACAACCCACTAACTTTGAATATCACATGATCCTCCTTACATCCTTTAATGCCGATGCGAACATGCTTGCCGTAAAAGGCGACTATGCTTGTCGTAAGAGGCGACTTACGGGATCGGGTGGTCAGGCTCGCTGACTTGGTTGATGCATATCATCGTATCCCGATTGCGTGGATCAATGCTCATGTCAATCACTGGATTGTCTGGTCCAGACTCTATTATTTACAGACCGCCGTCATATAGCTGGAATATTGCTGAGTGCGGCGTTAACCAGTACACAAACAAACAAATAAGGCCGATGCGACGTTATATTTTAAACCCCTCTCACCATTAAATTTTTAAGCCATTTCAATAAGACCAAACCCTCCAATCAGTTGGCAAAAGTGGGCTTGTTCTTGAGTAATGGTATTTACTGCCTGGCCTTACATAGGCTGATCCCCGTAGGGATGCCAGGTTAGAACTGATCCCCAGCAAGCTATGCTGGTCTTAAAGAGGCGACCAAATAGATCGGGTGGTCAAGCTCGGTGATTTGGTTGATTACGAGTCATCGTACCCGACGTGCACAATACTAATCACTGGAGTGTTTAGTTCAGACTCGATTATAAGCAGCCACCATCACATAGCTGGAATATCGCTGAATGCGGCGTTAAACAACAAACAAACAAACATTTGTTGAAAACTCCGTAACACTCAGTCAGGCGATTTACTAATGCAGCTGTGGGGATACGGGCTGGGATATCGATGCTTGGTGCATGAGTCGTCTTAAGTGGATCGGGTGGTCAGGCTGCGTGTGTTTGGCTAATTTTGCTTGTCATTCTAGCCAGAGGGCGTCGCTCGTTGATTATGTTTTCAATCACTTGTTTGCATGGTCCAGACTGAATTATTTGCAGACAGGCGTCATATACAGTAAAGTACATTTATAACGAACACGCTTATTACGAACTGATGGATATAACGAACTGGTTTTTTTGTCCCGACTATTTGCTATAGTTATGCTGTATATATGCTTATAACGAACTACGGTTATAACAAAGTAAAGTTAATGGTCCCTTTGAGTTCGTTATAACCGTAGTTTGCTGTAGCTTGAATCTTGTTGACTGGCGCTATACAACATTCACATGATTTACTTTACAGTTATGTCAGAGAAGTATTTATTGTCCAAATATGTCGTCTATGCAGATCTCATTGCATTCCTTCTCCTTCCAGAGGGCTGTAACGTCGCAGTGTACGACAACGCTACCACAGAAGGAGTTCCAAACTGTCGTCTGCTCACCTGCAACCCCTTGGAAGCCTGCGTTGGTTTCATTGAAGAGGCAGATGCTACTTCTGTGCTTCAGTTACAGCGAGTCACAGAAGAACTTGTTCGAAAAAAAAGAGCAGCCCCTGATGCAGGAAATCCTCAAGGATTCCCACAACTTAGTGGACAGGATCCTAACGCAATTACACCTAACTTATCCACATCTGGACCAACGAGCTCACCGACCGGAAGTAACACAACCCTAACAACAACACAAGGAAATAACGGTTCCAATGTTCCTGTGTCGAACAATAACACCGCCACCACGCCAGCGGGTGGTAAGACTATTGGTGCAACATCTAGTGCTCCTTCCCAGGCAGCCACAAACCTGGAGCAGTCGGTTGATCAACAAATTAAAAAACTTGCAGATAAAGACACACCGGAAGGAAGTGTTTCTACATCCACAACGTCACCTTCTCAAGGTGAAGGTCAGGGAGTTTTGTTAGGTGGTGACGGCACAATTAATCAGTCAAATCCCGTACCACAAGGCAACATCACGCAGAATGTAAGTAGTGACTCAACATTGAATACATTACAGGACAAGTCCAAAGGAGTTCAGATTGGTGATGCCGGTGTGATCGGTAACAGCGTTCCCTCTCCTTCGTCCCCTGGCGGCGAAAACGCCACGACTTTAAACACTACTTTATCTCCTTCGCTGTCAGGAATACATGACCTGGCGAGTGGTGTAGGAGTTTCTTCTTCTCCCCCGCCCCCTGGTGGCCAAATAGGAGGTGTCCCTGGTGACAATGTCACAGATAACTCTACTTTAACCCCTGCGCTTTCTGCATTACAGGATAAGGACAAAGGAGTGCCGATTGCGGACGATGCAAACCTTTCTGGTGAATCCTTCCCCACCCCTCCCCCGCTGGGTCAGTCGGGTAGCACTAGTCAGACTACCATCAAGACGCCACCACCCCCATCCCCAGCCTCCCCTCCTTTCCCCACTTCTCCCGAGACGCCCGCTGCCACATCGACTACCAGCAGCAACACACCCGTTAGTGGAACTACTTCCTACCCAACACCTCCACCCCTTGTAAACAATAACACGTTTCCATCTCCCCCACCACCTTCAACGACGACGACAACAACGACGTTATCTACAACAACTAGTAGTCCTACTACACCACCTCAGACGCAGTCTTCGACAACCCAGGGTACTACTACACCCGTTGCAGCAACGTCACAATCTACGTCATCTACAGCCCCAACACAATCTACAGTAACGCCAACAAAGCTTTTGACAACCGTGTCCACAACACAATATCCGTCATCGGAGACAACGTTGTCAACAGCAGCAACCACTGCTGCCACGCCAACGGCTACAACACAAGCAACAACACAAGCAACAACACTAGCAACGGAGAAGACAACAATACAATCCACAACACCAGCACTTGCATCGTCCTCTACAACGACACAAACTACGCCAGACAACAAAAGCACAACTACATTGTCCTCGACAACGACATCATCGACTACGGCCCCGAACCCTCAAGGTAATGGTAGTGATGCCGCAGTTGTAGAGGCGGAAGAGATGCTTGCGGGCGCAATACTAGAACAAGAAACTAATATCTGTAAGTTATAGAACAATTCGAAAGAGTTACAGAACATAGATACATATCTGATTTCATAGTTTAAGACAATGATTCTGAGTACATTCTGCATGGGGATTCCGGATAATAATAGGTCCTCAATATCTCATAACTGCCGTGAAAACAAAGGGGATCAGACTCAATTATCGACACAAGGCAACCTTTATAATGTTTTTATTGTGAGGAATGAGACGTAAAAGAACTCATTTATTTGAGCATATGTTCATACGATACGGAATGCCTATTGATAATATTCGTCAGTTCCTGTTCCTGTAAAAGGAGTAATATTAATAACACGATCTTAGACACGAATTAAACACTGTGTGTGATGTACGTTGCTACCTTTCTTTCCAACTATTAAAACAATGCCACATGAAAATGTTATCAAATCTTAAATGAAAACAAGGCATCTTGTGATAATATTCAGACAATATAGAGCTGATTATTTGTTTAAGGGGCGTCAAAGATGGTCTCTGTGGACGTTAAGTCTAAAAGATCAGACTACCCACTCCAGACAATAGCCTGTATCAAAGTATTGTCTTTGTATGTTTACCTTGTTATAATGTATTTTGCATTTGTAAGTGTTATACGTATGATTTAACCAAAATGGCGTCCTTTGAACTATCAGAAATCAAGACATAACTGTGGATATCGGAATATTCCGACCTGCTTACGGAGACAAAACGTCAGAAAATGTTCTCCAGGTTAAATTAATCCATGTCCATGTACCTTATCATCATTATAAGACTTACGATGTACTGGGATCGCAAAATAATCAGCGTTGCCATGTTACTCTTTCAGTATCGAAACCATCTCCTGACTCCAATAGCGGGAACGGAACATTAAGCCAATCAGCGTCGACCTCTCCAGCAGGCTCGGGTCACTTGATGGTGGTTGTTCTTGCATCGGCGTTGTCCATTGGTCTGTTCATCTTCCTCGTGGTCGTCATTATGGTTGGAAAACGTGTGTTCGAGAGCTGGCAGCGACGCCATTACTCCCGTGTGGACTACTTAGTAAACGGCATGTACAACTGACAGTGTTAAATATCACCACTAGAACTTGTGACACCAAAATTCATTCCATATTATGCAATCACTTCGTCTTTTCACGATACGTGTCAAAATTTAGCGTTTCCATGAACACTGGAATGTATTCAAATGATGTAATCTATGCGTACAAAAATCACCTTTCCATGGCGACTGATAGGAGTCGACGCGTGACGTCCCCATGTATAAGTTTGAATGATGGTATCTGGTGGTTATAGATGAACAGTTACAGGCTAGAGAGCTGTTGCTGTTACTGATGTTGCTGTATAATGTGCACGAACAACACGTGTCCTAGCAACACGTGTTCTCGCTTGACTGACCGCAGTCAACCGGCTTGTACTTAAAAGTTATCCGACACACTCCGTCCTCTCGACACAACACACAACAAATCCTGCATTTAGGACCACAGCAACGTCAATCAGTGCATGCCTGCACTCCTTTCGTATTGTCTTTGTTATATGTATATTCATTCTTGAATTCCAAACTTTATCTCAGCAACCAACACGAATCTCATAGACATTAACATTGCCTTCCAAGGGTTACGGCGCTTGCGATATAGAGTCGTATCTTCTTATAGGTTCAGTCCCATTAACTAAATTTGGTATAGAAATCAGTAAGTAATATTTAACATAACCTGTACATCATATGTGGATATATTGGTATTCACGACTACACAGAGCTACAAATCACCTAGACTACGATGACGTTTATTGTATGCATGAATAATCCATATTGGGATAACTTATCATTGCCATATGTGACACATGTGAGGGTTGGCCAATAGAAGACATCTGTGCGAGGTACTTGGACCACTGACGTGTGATATATCATTTAGATCCAGACACGTGACGTCTTAACACATAGCGTTTGTGTATTCGTGTGATAGCGAAGTTGCATGCATTGCTTCGGGTAACTTTAAAATGGTGCGACGTAAAACAATATTTACTCACTCACTGTTCAAATCGACATTGATTGAACATTCATCCCCCAGATTGTTGAAAATATGAACAGTGTAACATGCCTATTTGTCGAGAGTAGGGAAAAGCGTAAACGAGGTTGTAACAATGTCGTCAGTCTGGACAATTACCGGGTACTGTAATAAAAGTCTTGCAGAAACCGAATTCACAGATATTAGTTGTTATTGGTTTTCGTAATCTGTACTTGTCGTCATTAGATAAGCAAAATGTTATGTGTATTTGAAACTGAAGGTGTTGTAAAAGGCTTTCATGAACATACGTGTATCGGACTTGGCGTAAGGGTGATTGGTACGTTCTGAGCCTACACAGAAAGACTTAACCTAAATTAACATTCAAATTATTTAATTTTTAATACAATCTCCCTCCATGTGGATACACTTTTCCCATCGATGATGGATGAATTTTATCCAAGTTTCGTACAAGTCCTTCTCTTGGCTGTGCGAAACGTTCTCCACAGTTGCTATGACGTCATCGTTCGAGCCTGATCAGGAGAATAAGGTGGGTGCTAAAGGTCCATTTCCATAATCATAAGAAATCTTTACTAAAAGCGACTGCACGATTCCGACTATATCATAAGCAAGTGTTTGTGAATCCCTATTTAAAAGTGATGATTCTAGGTATTCTTTAAAAGGTGAGCGTATCCTGCCCCACTGGTGGCACCTGTCACACAAAAAAACGTATGCAAGGGCAAGTCAATTGTTCACCTAAAACAAGGAACGGGACGAGGGATTCCTCGGCATCCCGCAACACGGAGACCATTGCCTTTCAAGGTGATGGGACTGTATTTGCCGTCTTTGGTGGTGGTGATGTCAAACACTTCCACTGTTTTGATTGTTTGGAAGTGGTGAACCCAGGTTTCATCCATAGTCACAAATCGTTGCAATAATCTTTATGTTTCAGCTTCAAACAGAGCGGAGAATCACGAAACATGGTTTGCCTGGTGCATTTTTATCAGTTGTCAGAACTGATACTTTCTCCAATATATGACACTTTTTATAGATAGCAACTTTTTCATTCCTTGTCACGGCATTTCAGAGCTAATTGATCCTTGCTCCTTCATTAGGTGAATGACTTTGTTAGGAGCAAGAAATAGCTCTGAAACGTCGTGACAAAGAATAAAAGAAGTTGCTGTCCATAGAAAAGTTTCATGTATTCATATTCTCCCAACTTCTTCAAAGACTTGATACTTTCTGTTGTACGGTTACTGAGATAATGGAATGTACCCTCCCATGGGGAATGTCAACTTGACGCAATATGACGCTCAGACACTTGCCGGTTGACTTTCACCACATCGGGGATACACTTGATCATTTCTGGTGTTGCTGATGTGACCGTCCTTCCAGGATGGGGTATGTATCCCTGCCATGCTTAAACTCTGCTGTCCTCCACTTTACCATGTCGTAGGAAGGTGCACCACTCCCTAGTGTTGTACTCGTATCTTCAATGACTTTTTGTTATTATGACCTTTTCTGCAAGTACTTGATCACTGCACGTGCCTCAAATAAGCCCACTGTCCAAAGGCCACAGACCCCTGTCTATTTCACTGTCAAAGCGAAACAATTTGCTCAATTGACGCAAGTGTTTGTGGATATACTTCCGTGACATTATTTAATGACCACAACTAAAGATTACACTATTACACAATTCTATCTATGTGAGATTCAGAACTTATCAATAAACCCTCGCATATCATGTATGCTTTAGAGTATATTAGAAACAGGATTATCAATTAGGGTTTGGGGAAACATTTAACATTTGACATAACACCATTGTATTTCTATATAACTTTATTTAACAAGAATGTATGTAAAAATCAAATGATATATTATCTGAATATATAATGCATATATACATATCACATCAACGATATAGATATACTGTATAGATAATACCAAGGAGAAATAAAATATGATCGTCCAATATCTTCCTCCTACATTGCGATGCGTTCATCAAAAAGAGGTGTAGCTCACTGCCATACACTGTCTGTGTGGACAAATACTGTCACAAAGTATCTGCAACGTATGAAGATCGAGTGACGTGTTTGTTAGACTTACGACACAACAATACGCCAATGGCCGATTTCCACTTTATGTACTTAACAAGATGACTAAGAGAAGAACTGCATGTATTGCGATAACTGCATAGATAGTATAGTTCTGTGGACTCCGCTCAAAGAGGCTTTTCGGGTGATGATAAACTTCCAATGTTCTACTAGTATCTCAGTTATTCGTTGTGGGCGTTGTACTGGGTCTAATAAACAGATAGTTATTAAACAAGACATCTAGGGAATAAAACACGTTCACAAGCTTCTGCGTATATAGTTACTTGAACTCGATTATTTACAGGCCGCCGTCATATAGCTGGAATATTGCTGAGTGCAGCGTTAAACAACAAACAAACAAAAGTTACCGGAAGAGCAGCACAATAAACATCAAACTCACCAAGAGAGGTGTTCTACCTCACACATGGCGTTGTGATAGGGTGTGTAATGTAATGATGGAAGTGAAAGTAAGGATGGAATGACATATTACATTGGATACTGGCATATTTCGCGTCAAGTACGTACATTATCACCCGCTGTAACTCCCCAGGAGAGAGGGGATGGTTTAGAACGGCGATGCGGGTCTTGATTGTCTCGTTATCCTTCATTGGCAGATTGACACATTAGCAGATATACGACGCACACGCAAGTCAATGTTCTGGTACACAAGCGGATCAACCCAATTGGACATCAACGGTATGTTTTTGACATAATGCAGGAATTAAATTATCTAGCCCATGTCAGCATGCACACGCCCTTGCAGAGACATTTGAAAAAACACCGGTGCCTGAGAACCAATTCCACTGATTACAAAATACACATTGTGAATAAGCATCTATGGACAACAATGAAGCGTGGGGGACCATACAACTGTTATTGCTGTGATATCATGTAGATACAGGTTGTATAATGAATGTCTACTTTAACTCAACCTCACCTTGATGAAACCAGCGCCCCACAAATGTTTATAAGCAAAATGGTCTTTCTATACTGCTCAAAAGAAAGTAAAGAACATATGTCTACCGTTAATCTGGCCATAGTATGCAAAATGACAGATTTACTATAGTCATATGAAAAATCAGATGTTCTGAAATTCTGTTGAGTGATATTCATAATTTAAGAAAAGATCGGTCATACACAACCTTGATACCGAATGGCAGATGACAATTATGTCATGTATAGAAAATCTTTACCACATTTGTTGAGGCTAGTGTGCATTAGGAAGTGAGGTGAAATGGGGTGTAACGTCGCGGCCAAGATTATTGCACTCACATAGCGACGTGCATGCCTGTGTGTGTGGCTGCTTGTACTAGTCCGGACTAATGCTAGCCCACTGAGATTCCATGCTGCAGTTTTAACATGAATACCCCACTCAGACACAGTATACTGACTCCGAGCCAACCAGTCCTTGTTTGAGCCCCTTAATGTCGAGCGCCAGAGAGGGTAAGAAGTACCATCTTTTAATTTCTTTTGGTGTGACGCCGACGGGGATAGAACCCCGACCTTCCTCTCTCGGGGCAGACGGTCTACCACTAGACCACAGAGGCGGTCTGAAGTGGGCAGAACACAAAGTGTAAGTAACTTACTTTACAGTACAGTCGTACATACAGTCAACTCGGGATATGAGGCTAGGAAGACAGGATAAAAAAGTACCATCTTTTAACGCCTTTTGGTATGACGCTGCCGGAGATCGAGCCCCGGACCTTCCGCTCTCCGTGCAGAATCTCTGCCACGAGACAACGGAGGCATTGTATGCATTATGAAAACCCCTGGTATATTGCATATGGATTCAGTTATCTACAGGTGATCTCTGCTTGGAGTTCTTCCCATCGATTTAACTGCTTTGTCAACACCAGGAGATCACGTGATTCACAGTTTGCATCCGCGCAGCTGCATTAGAATAATCATGTCCTCAATGATTAGAAAACTAAATTTAAAATTCTGAACAATATTAAGTTTTCACATATAAACCATATTGTATCATCTAAAACGGTTTTTGAAAGAATTGGAAGACGGAAAATATGAGAATCTCGTTTTTGCCGTGAGGGTAATTGTAATATGCATTGTATAGCCAGTCATCAGACTTAATCATGATGGTAATGACCCACCAGTGTTTGGTCGACACCAAAGATCCGGGATAGAATAGGTCTTCAGCAACCCATGCTTGCCGTCAAAGGCGACTATGCTTGCCGTCAAAGGCGACTATGCTTCTCGTAAGTGGCGACTTACGGGATCGGGTGGACAGACTCGCTGACTTGGTTGATGCATGTCATCGTATCCCAATTGCGTGGATCGATGCTCATGATATCAATCACTGGATTGTCTGGTCCAAACTGGATTATTACAGACTGCCGTCATATAGCTGGAATATTGCTGAGTGCGGCGTTAAACAAACAAACAAACCAAGACACCACATGTATACAGGTACACTGGTAATGTTGACATTGTAGATAGAATTAGCCACGTGATCTTCCATCCCATATCAATATGTACTGGAGAATTAAATGTAAAACTGTCGAAACGTACACTTCTATCTGGTCGAAATGAATGGTCAGTGTAGACTCCAGTTCATCTTATCTACCATATGTAGCCAGTGAAGCTATATTAATTCAGCTGTCAAAATGCGGTTTTCTTGTGTACCCGGTTTTCGTGTGTATACATGCATGTAACTATATTATCCTCGACTATAAATGTAATGACTTAGAATGGCGAGCGGAATTTGACCCGTAACTCTTTAGGACAGTTGATATGCCTAGACAGATATAGTCATTAAATTGAAATCGCAATGGCGACATTAAAAAAGCTAAAAGCATAGAGTACAGTGCTATTATCTGGTTTGGCCACCAACGATAAGTGATGAGGTTTGCATGCACTGGTATGAGGATGAGGTGACGTAGCCATAGAAGAATGGCTTTCTGAACGATCTTACTGATTGTGTAGGTATCTCAGGTAGACGTATCAGACACGATACACATCAGTATAAGGAGGTGAGTCGCAACGGGTTATGTATGCTGCAGCGATGAAGAGTAGACTGTTATGCGGACTTGTATACTCAGAACTATCGTATAGTTGTAAACTCACGTGTATCGACTTTGGTATGTGAATGGCTATAGTTAATGACATACTTCTTCGGTAAACATGTTGTCAAATGTACAAGGTAGCTTAGTTTAAATCCTGGGCGTGTATAGGCTATAGACACAAAATACTGTCATAGTTATTTGATACAAAATATTGTAGTCTTCACCGCAGAAAAGTCAACCTTCTGCTGGTACTCAATTCGTTCCTGTTAGCGTCTCTATGGAAACCACAACCACTGTATCAGGTGACAAACGGCATCAGGTTTTTACACTTCCGACACCCACCGTTGTCTTCACAACGCAGTCATGATGAATGTGCCATCACCTTCATCAATGTCTTCCGCTGGGTTTTGGATTTCCTCAAATGGTCGGTCACTCTTTGTTGTATTGTCTTCTTCGTCTGTCTCCGCCCCCTCAGTCCCTTCCCCACCTACACCTGATTCCACCGCATCCTCCTCCTTAGGGTCGGGGATGACCTGAACACGGACTTCGCTGAATCTCACCTTCTTGGCGTAGTCTGGCTCGGGTTCATCTTGTGCCTCGTACGGTTCTTCATCTTCAGGATCCGATTTCCTAACCCGAGGTGGGGTCGGTGGAGGAGGGGGAAATCCGTCACCGCTATCCTCATCCTCATCCTCTATGGACTCATTGACATTCAGGTCAGGAGGATCTTCATCCTCTTTGACCGGCGGCAGTGGAGTTTCATCTTCCTGCGGTGGTTCAAGAATCTGATCCCCCTCACGAGATGGTACCTCCTCGTCCTTCTCACCATCCACGAGTTCGTGAACATCTTCATCGAGATCTTCATCTTCAAATACCAGCACTGCAGTTTTAGTTTCTGGCGCTTCCTTCTTAACAACTACTGCATAGTCAGGGTTGGATATCACCTCCTCACCATCCCCATAGTCGGGGTTAGGAAGGCCCTGAGTTTCCACATGTTCCTGTTCTGGGGTATCCTCTGAACCGAAGTCAACTATCACACCCTCCGTCATCCCGCCCTCCTCTGCTTCCTCCTCGACATGAGTGTACTGGGTCAGCGTATCCTGATTCTCGTCTCCAGCCTTGGTGTTGTTGTTATCATCGTCTTCAAAGCCTTCGTTAAGGACTGCGATAGCGTCGCCGTTGGCATGTGGCCCCTCCTCCAGCAGCTCCTGGGTGGACCCGGTCTGACTGTGGACAGATTGCCCATCGCCGATGGTTTCTTCCACTGCCTGAGCTTCGTAGATGGTATCATGTTTGGAAAGGTTTCTCATCAGACGCTTGTGGTGTCTGGAACAAACATGTCGGTAATCAAAGACATGGATACTGCCTCAACTCAAAGTCATTCCACTGAAACGCGGCTTTTAAGGGTATTTCAGCTATATCAACTTAGTTCTCGTTTTCGACGTTCGACATTTTTATAACCTACGAGCACTGGAATGCTGACACACCAAGAATCATACTGAGGGCGAATCTTGATTTCAAAACCACGATCATTGGATTCTGCACTAAGGGACACAACTCTTCACAACGAACGAATGCAATAAGCTCTTGGTTTTCCAATCCCAGCAATGACTGTTGATAGGCCAGTTCGTGTTATGCTTTATCCGATTAGACATTTGAAATAGTGGAAGTAGATGATAAGATCACATACAATGATGACATCCTATCGGCTCCATAATACGCATTACCCTCATCTCATTCTTAAAGCCATTGTTTGATCCAACTGGAACTACTTTTATGAGATCACTTGAAAAAATGCCTGTGGAATATATTTATATTTACGTAAAACATAAATTACTGCAAACGTCTTTGCTGGTCCATAAATTATCTCCTTTCAGTAGCCTTCCTGTCGCAATTGTTCGTACAAAACAAGCGCATACTCACCGATTACGTTTCCGATTTATATAAACGATAGCGATGATGGCGATGACGGAGACGACGGCAACGGCAATACCGACGGCGAGGAGGGCGATGAAGGGTGTCGTGAACACCTCTTCAGAATTGTTCTGATAGGGGGAGAACAACGCCAGAAGCTTTTCGTAGTTGCTGTTCACTTTCCTGGACAAAGAAGGACACGGTTCAAATGACACATCCTACATTCCGGAAACACATCTTATTTACATATCCAGTACAGAGTATATATAGTACAGAGAAACCTCTTTAGCTGGATCACCTTCACCACGATGTATTGTTTAAGGCTATATAAATAAATGGCAAGTGATTCCGTGGTAATTTGTTTAAATTTGCTTTTATGTCAACTAACGGACTATACCATGTCAACAAACGCACTACTGTTACCTGACTGGCTGATAACTGAATGGGCGGGGCTTGTGTTATGTAACGATATCACTCCTTGTTGACAGTTTTGTGTGTTAATGATTGTATAAACAGCCTGTGAAATTATTATTGTTGACGTGTGTAATTGTAAGACTTGCGTTCAATTTATGGAGGTATACATGTAAAAACAGGTGTGCATACTGTGTAAATCCGCTTTATTTAAATGCGCTTTACACTTTCATAGCTCCATAAACACAAAACAAATATTGAAGTCAATTCTTAGTATATCCATGATCCCGTCAGACTGTTTATCGCCACCATGATCTAATATCGACACTTCGCTTGTCTCGAACTTCGAGTTAACGAGGCTTCAATCAGGTCAGTGATGCCATAAATTCGATGGTACATATTCAGAAAATAAAATTATGAACGTACCTTCTCACAAACAGGGGAAATTATTTAAAAGGAACTAGACATTTCAACTGGAAATGGCAGCTCAAGCAAATTGAGACTTAATAATTAAAAACACTTTTATTTCATTGACGATTATAATAATTACACAGACACCATGTCTACTGGCACAATTACAATGTCTTTATTTGTATTTGAAATTGGCACAGATGGCAGAGCGTACCTCTTTAAGGGTATAGGTAGCCGTTAAGGATGCTGCTGTAGAGATGTACTTATTTAAAGCATTTGACAGATTGTTTACAGAAGAAGTTGTATAACTAGAATTTCTATTTCGGTGAACTAGGTTTGAACTTCTGTGCTCCCGCTTTCCACATAGGTGTATGGCAAGGTTCAGGTAACCATTTGTGTAAACCTGACATGAAGATTTAATCGTGTTTATCTGGCCCAGATATAATGTGTCTGTATGACAAATATACTCACGCTCTGAGGTCATCTCTATGAACTGTTGACTCTCTTGCACTCAGTCGGAAATACGAGCTGCAAAGACACATGGTGAGTGAGGGAGTGCAGGGTGTGGCCACAGTCAGCATTTACAGCATACCAACTGATAATGATACTGTTAGCGGGTAGCTATGGTAACGTATATCCAATCAGCACTACAATGATTGAGGACGGATGTTGTTTAACGCCGCAGCTAGTAAGAGTCCAGTTACATAATGGAAGACTGTAAATGATCAAGCAGTGGTTGATAACATGAGCAACAATTAGAGAATAGCAGACTCACCTTGCACCGTTGTCCACGTCCACGGCTTGGATATTACCAATGTCGACACTGATGTTCAGAATTGCAGACATCTCCCTTGAAAAGAAATAACACGTTTGCCATTATGTAAATTTATCTGAAATTATTAAAAATACCTGCTCTACCCTACTAACACACCTTAGTATTGCCAGTGGGTTTAGATTCATTTTCTTTCAAATGCTTGTATCCATATTTAATATTAGAGGGTCTTCAGGTGACATTCCCCATATATTTCTATTATTACAGCAAAATACTGAATACTGTAACGCCCAGTAACATATCTCTCACCTCTTTCTGGGATTGCTCGGAAATAATTAAGGCTCTGGGGATCTTTAGGTGTCTATGAAATTACATCAATATAATCTACCATCAGTACCTGACCAAGGTATCAAGATACTCCCAGCCTTATGTTGTCCTCATCCCTCCATTCATCCATCTTTCCGATCTGACTATCATTTGTTTCCCATGGTCCCACCCTGCAAACTCACCCCACAAGGCGGTCTTTATCTTTCTCCACTTCATCCTTCTCTGCAGGTGCGTGGAACAAGGTGTATGCATTCTGTGCCCCAGCAACAACAACCTGCAACACAAATAGTGATACCTGCAGAATTGTCCCTCAAGTTGAAAACATCATCTCCGTGTCACAGATTAATTTTGTTAGACTGTCTAATCACCTTGACAACTGTTGTCGTCTTCAGGGGGATCACTCCACCGTCCGTGGCGACAATCAACAACTCATCTGGCGATTCTGGAACTATTTTTAATGTTATCTTGCCTGTGTTCCCGTCGATAGCAAACCGCCTGGATGATCTGCCAATCAAAGAGAACTTACATTACATCCCAAGAAGCTGTCTATGTCTAAATACGAGCTATTAAAACTGCTAAAAGCAAATATATGTATTCGAGTATATGTTATGACAATGCATGTGGTCAGTTATGCTTAATGGTACGTACTCTGTGCCCTGTATGCTGTAGGTTATGTCTCCGTTGGTGCCATCATCTAGGTCATACGCCTGGAAGACAGGGGAGATAATCACATGCAGTTATATATATATATATACTTATCGTCGTTCTCACTTTTGTTTGATATTCAAGTATAGTTTTTTGTCCTACGTTTTTTTTTAAAAAGCCTATTTTTAGGTCAAGTAGTTTTTCTGAATATTCTTTGGTTTAGTTATGTAATTTTGTTGTTATTTTTTTCTGTTTCTGTATAAATCTGGTTAGCAGGTTCAGACGTGGTTTTCAATTACTTCTTCTACAGCTGATGAGGCTCCTACTCCTATTAGTAAAGAGGGTTTGGGTGATCCTGGCAGTCAGGCTCATCATCAGCTCAGGGCCCTTGCTCCATCTACACGCAGCCCAAACAGCGAATGGGACTTCTCCCAGGAAGCGCTGCCTAGTCAAACCCACCCAGAACCTTTCGGAGAATGTGAAGACTCCCCAACACTGCAGCCTTCTGCATTTCCCAGATGGTCAGAAGGGCTGTATTCCTGGTAAAAAAAACCTGGGTACTCTCCCAATGTAAGTCAACAGGAGGTACCAAATCTAAGGCACCGAGGACAATGTTGAGGAGGACAACTTGGTACTTGGGTTGCATGCGTGACATTTCGAAAGCGAGGTCTGCATATTTGCCATGTTTTTCCTGAATCTTGTCAATTACTGTCAAAAGGGATAGAAAACTCAATGATCTTGAGTCTTATCAAAAAGGACACGATCACGTCTGAGGTTGTAAACGGACCTACTCCAAAGAATTTTGTATTTATCATTTTCCATGACGCCCTCTACATGTTCTGAGTCGTACCATGGATGGACCTCTGTGTCAAAACCACAAGCATGGCGACAGGGGTAGTTATAATAAAAGGATCGAGCCACTCCATCATGTCGCTTAAGATACTGTGTTTGTGCCAAAGCTTGACAATGTGTTGGACAGTCTCATTAAATTCATTACATAATCTAAATTTCATATTTACATTTTGATGCAAAATCACACATTGACGGTTTCGACTGGGAATTGACTGGTCCTGAGCAGCAAACAGAAAGCCCTCTGTTTCCCTTTCAGGGCAGCCGAGTTCATCCAAGCAAATTACTCTGCAGGGTTGCTTATCTTCTCAACACACAGCATATCAACTCGATGCAGTGGGCGTTTAGATAGCCTCTCCTTGAAAACCTGAGTCTGGGCCGATTTGATATGGCACTTCAGCTTAGTTGACACTAATTTCTGTATCGTCCAGCAGTACAGAACCATCAACATTGACATCAACATAGAATTGGTCTCCAGCAACCCATGATAGCCGTAAAAGGTGACTTTGCTTTACGTAAGAGGCGACTAACGGGATCAGGTGATCAGGCTCGCTGACTTGGTTGATGCATGCCATCGTATCCCAATTACGTGGATGGATGCTCATGATGTCAATCACTGGCTCTTACGACAAGCATGGGTTACTGAAGACCAATTCTAACATAGATCTTCACGGGTATTAAGTAAGAGAAACTAAAGTTTACTGAGCAGATCAGTATCTTTGAATAAAAGATGCAACATATAATTTTAGGCAGGCAGACACAACAATCTTCAAAGGAACTTGATTGGAAAGTTGGTCAGCTATGGTTCTCTTGCCTCTTGCCCACCTCAGTTCACTCACCTCAACGACGCCCAAAACGTCCCCATCGTTAACGGGGACGCTGAAACTGTAGTCTGACATGTTAAATATTGGGGCGTTGTCGTTGACATCAAGAACAACGACGTCGAGGGTGATGTTGGCTTCAGTCTGAAAGAAGAGGACTCTAATATTAGCTATGGCCGAGGAATATTTATTGTCAGCTGGCGTGTTCAGGGAAGGATATCTCAAACATGTAGGAATCATGTTATGAAATATTCAATAATTATGAATTAACAAATAATATTTTTTTCATAAAACAACTACATCAGGGGCGTCACTGGCATTATTTTAACTGCCTTTGATGTGAAGTCAGAGAACATCGAGCAATAGTCCTGCAGCTCCAGCCTCTTCGTGTCTACATTTGACAGGGGGCACGGGTGGCCCAGTCGTCCAAGGCGCCGCGATTCGCTGTGCAGAGTTGCGTCCCTTGGGCACGCCAGAAACCTATGATTGTGGGTTCGAATCCCGGTTCGCCCAGATTATGTTTCTAGGTTTGTCAGCACCATACCCATGCTCGTGGGTTTCACCGAAGTGGTAAACGTCTGAGACCTGCATCACTTCGGGCTTTCCTCCCACATTAAGCTGACACGCCGCGATATAACTGGAATATTGTTAAAAGCGGCGTTAAACCCAACTCACTCACTCACTCACTACATTTGACAACTTTTGAGGTACAATCCAACATGCTCTCTCTGCCACGATTTCAAAGCGTGTCATTCAACTCTTGCTTAGAAGTTGTAACAACATCCAAAGCCTCAGTAAAGCTTTCAAAACGAATTTTGGTAGACATGTGAAGGACATTTCTAAATTTGACGCATCAGTGACAAAAATTATGAATGACGCATTTCCCTATTTTGTCTTGTATCATATGTTCCCGGTTTTTTTTTCAGGTGAACAATTGTTTTTGCACTTGCTTTTTCCACGGGTGCTACCGGTGGGGCAGGATACGCTCACCTGTTCGCTAACACCTGGTATCATCACTATTTGATTGTGATTCATAAACACATGTTCGTGAAAGTAGGAATCGTATAATGTACTCTGCCTTCAGCAAAGATTTCTTGTGGCTGTGGAAACGATTTTGTCACTTTTATTATTATGTTCTGCAAAGATGCACTTCATTCGAGCCTCAAGCAGACCCACCCGCATAAACCATACCTGTGCCCCTCCCCTGAAGTGCCTACCTTAATTCCATTCTTGACGTCGATGACGAGCGTGTAGCTGCTGGTGTTCTCGCGGTCGATGTCGGCGGCGGTCACTACTTGATGGACTGTGTCTCTGAGGGTGGCAACCATACAATGTATTACAGTATTCACTATGTCGCTTGAAACGGAATGTAATAATTTTGTCAATTCGTCAATCAAGCTTTGCATCAGACATCTTTTTCTAAGTGTATGCGTATGAGGAATAATTATTTCAAGTGTTCTGTTAATAGTTCCTGCGTGAATTTCCATTGTCATCTACTGTTTAATTTCCATCTTCCCGAGGCAAGGGAGTTCACTGACTATAAATGTCCAGTTTCCACCCTTGCCGAACTAGTCTGGAATTTCGTAAATCGGCGTCAACAGAACTTTAAAAAAAATAATAATAATAATTAAGGTGCGTAAGTGATTTCATGCACTTCGCGTGGTAAGATCCGCTTCTTACAATATAGTTCTTGATCTTCGATCTGATCATCTTGACTGGACTATGTGATAAGTTTGGAATCCGATTGGTCAAAAGGAGGGACTTAGAAGGGACATAACTCGCAACAGCCACTGGTGGCGCTACCATCTAGCCTCGAAATTCCAGTCTAGTTCGTCGAGGGTGGAAACTGTACTTTTGTCAGTTAAATCCCTTTCCTTGGGGAGATGACAGTTTCGGATATAACCAGAAATCTGTTTCAGCCCAGATAGGTGCACGGGTAAACTTCTGGATGCTGTTCGAGCTCGTTGCACCAATACAGCGACACTAATTTACCTGAGTGAGTGAGTATGATTTTTCGACGCTTTTAGCAATATTCCAGCAATATCACGGCGGGCGACACCAGAAATGGGCTTCACACATTGTACCCTTGTCGGGAATCGAACCCGGGTCTTCGGCGTGACGAGCGAACGCTTTAACCATTAGGCTACCCGACCGCCCCTTCTGACCTGATACTGTTTGTGGCCTGTAGGTTATAAGCTATCGATTTAAAATGTATTTTCGTAGTACAGTTCCAAAAAAGAGTTCCACGATTAACTAAGGATCCATCTCCAAGGTTCTATGGCTCCATGGCTCCAGTGCTCGCGTTTCGATAACCCTACACTAACCGTGGATCCATTCCCATGGTTCTCGCGATCTTAAATTACGCGCCCTTGATTACCCAGTTTGATTTGCTATGCTACTCAGGCTAACCCTGGTATGAGGTTTTACTTTTTGCTAGTAAGACCTGCTTTGAGTAGCAGATGGAATTTGGACAAGATATGAAATGACGGGAATCTAACCTGCAACCTCAGATGTTAAGTTTTGTAAATCACTGTTTACTCACTGAGGCACCGGATAAGGTGATGAGAAAAAATCAGTTTTAAATGTCATGACTTAGTTTTGTCTTGGCTGCACGTGTTTCTTTCTCTCGCATGCTTTGATCGCATTCCTTTATACCGCGACACACTGTATTGTTTAACTATAAGATATCTCGATGTTTACTTATTTCTTCTGTTATTTCTTGCATTTAGACGGTTAATAAGTGAGATGAAGCACTCCTTCTCGGTTACGGTCAAGGAAATAAGACCTTGGCAATCGGGTATCGGCTTCGCACCTCGGTCTTACATTGTCGATATCCGATTGCTGAGGTCTTGCTGCCTCGACCCTACCCCCAGAGTCGTACTTTATCTTTCACAAAGAGGATGCTGAGAATCATCGTAATGACGCCATTAATGTTTATTATCAACGAGGTTCGTCTGTAAATCAAGAAATGTCTGGTTTATGATCGAAATACATCTGTATAAATCATTTCAAACGAAGGCTTTGGATGAAAGATTAGTTTTAATAACAACAAGAGAAGAGGTATGTTAAAAAGAACCGTATTTATCTATTGAAATCTTGATTGGCTATTGATACCAGGTTGAATCTCTCAGAAGTCCTCCACGAAAGATTTCAACGTGGTGTATTAACCCGGGTTAGAAAGCTGGAACAATGTCAGCAGATTGCTGCGGTAATACCTACTATAATATACCAGCAATACTGCCGGCAAAGATGGGAATGCACTTCACTTACTGTTCGACGATCTTGAAGGTGTCTGTGTAAGTGCTAAGAAGTAGACTATATCCACTATACGCTGTCTGCAATGAGAAGAGAGCTTGGTACAACAACCAGCTTTAAATCATGGTCTCATTCCTTTTAGGGTATAAGTATAAATCGGCTACGATTTTAGTATTTTAAATTTAAAACAACCCAGCGCCATTCCCGTTGGCTGACCTACCGGTATGGCGTAGACTATAGTACCGAAGGCGACGTTTTCTGTAACGTTGACACTCTTTTTGGTGGACGTGACGTTTTGCTCGGGGAACGTCACTGTTACAAGCTCCTGGCTACAGCGTCTTGGATAGAAAGGCAATAATTTGAAGTTTAAATTAGTGTTACTCATACAAAATCAACAACACTCTTTTATGAGTGTGAGTGAGTGAGTTGGGTTTAACGCCACTTTTAACAGTATTCCAGTTATATCACGGCGTGTCAGCTTAATGTGGGAGGAAAGCCCGAAGTGATGCAGGTCTCAGGCGTTTACCACTTCGGTGAAACCCACGAGCACGGGTATGGTGCTGACAAACCTAGAAACATAATCTGGGCGAACCGGGATTCGAACCCACAATCATAGGTTTCTGGCGTGCCCAAGGGACGCAACTCTGCACAGCGAATCGCGGCGCATTAGACGACTGGGCCACCCGTGCCCCCCACTCTTTTATGAAAGACACACGCAAGATCTTCACAATTTAGATCATTTCACTAATATCACAAGGCGAAACGATAAAGGTTTTTTTATGTAAGCGTGTAAGAGAAAAAGTCAATATCAGAAACAATAAATATCAATTGTTCAAGAACGGTCCACAAAAATGTTAGCTCGTCAATGATGACTAATTTCTACGGGATAATTGAGACTGGTTATTCTCTGTCGTTGACGTTTAATATTTACCTAATGATAGGATATAAATTTAAAAAAACGTCAACACCAGAAAATGATATGTCTTGGTTATCTTCTTTAACAGATGCAATTGGGCGTAAGAGGCAAAAACAGTGATGAGTGTTATTGTTATACGAATGGATCACTGACTATCAGTGACGACACCAGGTGTTCGCGAAAAGTTACCTGGATTCTCCATTATCACATGCTTCTATCAGGAACACCGTCTGTCGCAGGTTGGCCACTGGCCTGTCTTGAGTGATATTGCCTTCTTCATTTACGGAGAAGTCGCTAGCCTGTGCGATGGAGTACGAGACACGGCCGTTCTCATCGAAATCTTCGTCCGAAGCGTTAACCTTGAGGGCAAAAAGTCACATACATTACTTCAAAGTGTTTTTTGTCGTTTAGTAAAACGGATCCAGTGTACACGCAGTTCATAATTTTCCTTTTCGTCAAAATAGATGCGTTTTTGAGTTTGGTGAGCTCAGGTATGTTAACATCACTGACAGAAGTTAAGATTATATAAATAAATGAAGACTCGTTTATTTCGGAAATTAAGTATTTATTACAACTTACTGTGACACATTTACATAATTGTTTATAGATATCAGATGAAAGTGGGGGCACGGGTGGCCCAGTCGTCCAAGGCGCCGCGATTCGCTGTGCAGAGTTGGGCACGCCAGCAAACCTATGATTGTGGGTTCGAATCCCGGTTCGCCCCGATTATGTTTCTAGGTTTGTCAGCACCATACCCGTGCTCGTGGGTTTCACCAAAGTGGTAAACGTCTGAGACCTGCATCACTTCGGGCTTTCCTCCCACATTAAGCTGACTCGCCGTGATATAACTGGAATACTGTTAAAAGTGGCGTTAAACCCAACTCACTCACTCACTCACTCACTCAGATGAAAGTTACTTCAACCATGCATATCTTACAGTTCCAACGTGGTCACCGGCCTGGTTGCTCGACGAGAAACTGTAGGTTGTCTCGCTGAACACCGGACTGTGGTCATTGGCGTCCAGCAGAGTGATGCTGACGGTAGCTGTGCAATTCACCTGACAAGGTGTTAACCAAGGTGCTGAAATATTCTGCTCATGGGCGGTTACCTGTCGTATGCACACAATTGAAATTACTTTCCTACAAATAGTTTTTTGACTCATTTTGATGTAATGTTCTTCAGTAAGCACGTCAAGTTGTACCACTGAGATAATCTATGAAAAATGAAACAGCCGGAAACTGTACAATCATAAACACATCATTTGTTCAATTGGATCGTGGTCGTAGTTCTAACAGCACATTATTGAAAAGTGAACATTTCACTGAGGATATTTTCATTGCTGATGCAGCGATCGAAAGTATGGATCAACCAGGAAAATAACAGGTTATAACTCATGTTGAATTGAATTGAACTGAAGATTTTATAACAAAATCGTATTACATATCACTTTATCATCCAAAACTGGCTCCCACAGGGGATATCGCTTGGGTGAGATCAAGCGATATCTACACTGTAGATATTGCATCACAAATCTTTGCAGACCTTTGTGACGTCATTGCTACATGACGTCCCAATCAAATGACATCACTGATGGCTCTGCTACTGAAGCTTTTTTTTTTAATTTTAAAAAGTACTTTTTACACTTAGCACACTGCTTATTAATGTCTACAAGCTGAAAAAGTTGGAAGAATGATGTTGAATGATAAATAAAATCTAATAAATCTAAAATATCAAATATATAAACTCTCGGAGACTCGGAGTTTTCCATTGTTATCTCCATGCATCCGAGGATTGTAGAAAGACTAAGGTTTAAAGATGCCGGGTTTGTCTTTTCAGACGGAAGCACAACATACTAAAAGTTGTCTTAGTAAATTCTGTCATCTTCTTCTGTATGTTCTGTGTGTTACAGATGTCACGAAATGTATTAACACACGAGAGAAATCCTTCTGATGCAACAGATAAGTATTGACAATCTAGAATGAAAGTATACTGACGTTGACGGTGAAGGTGTCCTGGGTCTCCCTGTCTAGGGCGGTGGAGTTCAGGACCTGTATATAGCCGGTCTGGGGGTCAATCTTGAATATATGGCTCTCAGGTTCCAGTGTGTAGTTGAACAAGTTATATGGATGCTAAAAGGGAAGGCAAAGCAAGCGTAAATGAAACTGACCACTGTCCACACTGTCTTATTACTAAGGACATCAAGACTACAACATCACTGTCCACCTACCATTACCAAATCTCAAACCATGCGTACATTACAGCCCACAGTTCCCTTATTGCCCCTCGAACCACGCCTTCGTCACTACCCTACACCCTCCTAAACCACGCCTACACTGTCAACAGCTTTCTAACCGCCCCTCAAACAACGCCTTCATCACTGTCCATGACTCCCTAACCGCCCCTGAAACCACGCCTACATCACTGTCCCTGACTTCTTACCGCCCTCAAACCACGCCTACATCACAGTAAATAGCTCCTGAACCGCCCCTCAAACCACGACTACATGACCGTCAATCACCCCCGAACCGCCCCTTAAACCACGCCCACATCACTGTCCATGACTCCCTTACCACCCCTCAAAACACGCCTACATCACTGTCAATAACTCCCGAATCGCCCCTGAAACCACGGCTACATGACTGTCAATAACTTCCAGAATGAACCTCACTTCACGCCTACATTACTTTCCACTCATCTATAATTGGCCCTCAACACCTACACCAATGTCCATAACTCCCAAACTAGCCGACCATTAAACCACGCCTATATCACTATCAATAACTCCCTAACAGCCACTCAAAACACGTCTTCTTCAATGTCTATAAGTCCCAAACCATCCACCAAACAACGCCTACATCACTGTCAATTACTCACAAACCGTCCCTCAAACCACGCCTACTTCACTGTCTATAAGCCCCGAACCGCCCCCAACAACACGCCTACATCACTGTCCACAACTCTCTAATTGCCCCTAAAACCACGCCTACATCTCTGTCCACAACTCCCTAATAGGACCTCAAAGCACGCATATATCACTGTCCACAACTCCCTAATTACCCTCACAGCACGCCTATATCACTGTCCACAACTCCCTAATAGGACCACAAACCACGCCTATATCACTGTCCACAACTCTCTAATTGCCCCTCAAAGCACGCCTATATTACTGTCCACAACTCCCTAATAGGACCTCAAACCACGCCTATATCACTGTCCACAACTCCCTAATTGGACCTCAAACCACGCCTATATCACTGTCCACAACTCTCCAATTCCCCTCAAACAACGCCATTATCACTCTCCACAACTCCCTAACTGGCCCTCAAACCACGTCTATATCATTGTCCACAACTCCCTAATTGCCCCTCAAACCACGTCTATATCATTGTCCACAACTCCCTAATTGCCCCTCAAACCACGTCTATATAATTGTCCACAACTCTCTAATTGCCCCTCAAACAGCAAACACAGCTCCTTGGGCCTACCTCATCAATGTCCACGGCAGTGACGCTGATGATGTTGCTACCTTCAACTGAATGTTCCAGGATAGATGCTGTGTAGGTTGTCGGGTTAAATGAAGGGCGATTGTCATTAACATCTTTAACCTCAATCGTCAGGGTTGATGTTGCAGAACGTCGAGGATTGTCAAGTTGGTATGTCTGAAACATAGCAAATACATTCACCAACTGATTTCGCTGCATAGTCCAAAACATTCACATTTCGAATGAGCGAATGGAGTTGCACGCTGAAAGTATTGTTCAAGTCATAAAACTGAGTAACGTGTTCATTGGTGAACTCATGTATTTTGATCAAATTAAATTTTAACAAAATGTCACTTTAGCCACCAATAGTGAAGAAATGTCCAGATCCAGAGATATGCATTCCGTCCACACGACGGTAAAAACATGACCATCACGTTACAAAACTTACTAAAATACATGACAAAGTATAATATTATATTGTAGTTATATTGCTATAAAAGCTGATAACAACTATTTTCTTCAACATGGCAATATCTGACAGTGTTATTTCCAATTGTTGTTTATTTACTTACCTCCAGTATGACTGTGTATATTGGATTGTCTTCTCTGTCCAGCGTTTGGTTCAGCCACAGTTGTCCTGTGTTATTATTGATGGTCAGAGCATCCAAGGGAGGAACAGAACCTACAACATACAGAGATAGTACAGAGAAAACATTTCCCTTTTGTTTCGGTTGAAGCCATGGTAGATCGAATTTTGGCAGTGTAAGTAGTGTACGTTAAAACGTATTGAAAAATCAGTCTGAAGAAACTGAACAAACCAGTATTTCACTGACTACATGTTTAGTATGTTCCGAATTGTTAAACTGACCTGGGGTTATGTGAAATTCACGATATCACTTCCTATATTAAATGTCGTGAGCTTGTCGCTCCAACACGCCTAGCAATAAGTTCAGATATCAACATGTACAGTAAACTACGTTTATAACGAACACGCTTATAAGGAACTGACCGATATAACGAACTTATTTTTTAGTCCCGGCCATTTGTTGTATATATGCTTATAACGAACTATGGTTATTACCAACTAAAATTAGTGGTCCCTATGAGTTGACTGGACATCAAAACCGAGTGATGAAATAATGATAAAAAGAAGTAAATATCTAGATTTGAATTATTTTTCTCACTGAGAACTTCGATGGCTTACCTATGTTTTAAACATGCCTTCGCGACTCAACAAGAATACTAATAAAACATAATCCTCTGTAACAGTGTGTCAGTATACACTTCAAAATTAGAGCTGGCCAAAACATTACAAAGGTTATCAAAACCTTACTGGGCCGAAACACTGGACACTTAAAGTCCAAAACACAACTATGATACCCGTATAACATCATCTAACAAACATTTCGTGTTTGCGTCATATTTAGCCATCTTCAAAACATGGGGGTGTATTTTCTTTATCCCTAGAAATGGTACTGACAGCTTTGTCTACGGGTCGGCAATGGATACGCTTGATTGGCCACACGCTGTCTATCGTTCTACACTAGCTAAAGATTAAAACAACAGCTGCGAAATACATGTATCACTTTACGATAGGCGTCATTGCATAATATGTAACTTGAACGGCCTATGAAGAGTTTTTATGAACAGAAATCACGACCTTTGAAAAAATACAACAAGGATAAGTTCAGTGTATACCTGCTCCATCTTCATATTTCTTATATATAATTAGCAAAAACCGAAGGGGATATTTTGTTTTGAGGTGAAAATACACCAAAGTCTGGCATTGAAAGGAAATGACTTATGTGAAAAAACATTTCCGAAGAAATCAAGCTCCTAAACATAACATTGTGACAATCATGAAGCACGTGACTTTGGGCAGCACGTGCAAGGGGTGGTATGCCAGATTTACTATTGTCACTCAGACTCGGTTGTGAGCATACGCATATTGTTTTCTTTGAACCGAACGCTCAAACACAAGTTATCAAACACATTGAATCACGAAGGAAGCCACAGCATTGTTCAGGCTACATTTGCAAAGGGCTGAACGTTTACGTGTCATATGCATGCTGCATGTGGGCACACGTAAGAATATTGTTGCCCAAACTCTGCATTAACTCAATCTGTCATCGGCCCAAAGGCAACCACTCCAGCCCGGGACACGTGTTATCCCACAACTTACTGCACGTCATTTGAATCAGAGGCTTCAGTTGTATAGGGAACGTCAGCACTGGGATAATCGACGTACGGCTATTGTCATGTTGCCTGACGAATCGACGTTTACTCTCGACTTTCATGACCGTAGGAATCGAGTTTGGAGACGTCCTAATCAGCGTATTATGAATGTCAACGTCGCACAGTGTGATCATGTTGGGGGCGGGTCCACATGGGGTGGTATCACAATGACTGATCGAGCTGCGCTCCATATTGACCATCGCAAATTCACAGGTCAGTACTATCGGGACAACATCACCGCACCACTCGTGTTGCCATTTGTACAACGTGTTTGGCATCTTTCAAACTGATAATGCACATGCTCATCGTGCCAGTATTGTGACCCAATTCCTCCAACAGCAAAACATCCATGTCCTGCCACGGCCAGCACTCAGTCCTGACCTTTTCCCCCAATCTGGCACGTCCATGGCAGACGTGTACATCAACGTAAAAACAACACACCACTCTCAATGAACTAATTGCTGCTCTCACAGATGAGTAGAACAACATGAGTCAAGTTGACATTGGTCGACTCATCAGAAGCATGCCTTGAAGAATTCGTGCATGTCTAGCCAACAGAGGTGGTTTTATCCAATATTAGTAACGTCGTCCGCAAAATGAAAATTTCGAATTCGACCCCCGACCTCTTTAACGACCTAGTGCGACACCATCTCACAACACCAACCATAAGATCCCATTAGATCTGATCGCCTTCTCCAAAGCAGATATGATAAATTCATTTCCATTTTCCGATACCATATAGATCAGAAGATATGTCTTGATTATTCCCACTATCCCCTACTTTTTTGCATAGTATTTCCAACATGTGTCATCCACTGTGTATGGACAGGATGGGGTAAGGGAAGGGCCCTCAATGGTCCATTAAGACTGCATGATTTAAGGATGAGCAATACTTTTCTAAATTATTTTTACCAGAGCTTTTCAGGAAGTATTTTCTTATCTTTAAAGATAGATATAGCTTTGACCTGCTTAGAAGATGCAGATAAACGCCAAACAACACGTCATTAATTTTCCATATTGTGCTATAAGCGTGCTCGAAGTTTGATGTTCTCTGGACGCTTGAAAAATCGACATTTTCGTAATTTCAGTGGTAAAGACAAGGAAGGGTCTAATCATACCTCGTCCTATGCTTGGTTTACTTACTTGTGATATTATATGCAAGAGGTGTGTTGACACCAAGGTCCTGGTCAAACGCTCTGATAGCTGGCGAGGCATCCATCCATTGATTATGGGTTTTCTGTCATAAGGAAAATATATAAACGTATATAAAGTTGTAAATATTGTTCTTATCGGGATGGTAAATCCAAATAATACATTGTCAGGGGTCAAGGTCCGATTAGCGTAACATGTCACCTTGGTGTATTGCTTGTATAGTTATAGACCTCAAAACGACCATTCTCTGAGGAGTTGTTTCAATGTTTAATCTGACGCACTATAAAATGTTGTTTTTATTTACTGGTTGGCTTCAAGGCAGAACCTTTTGTTTTATATGATTATATTTTTAGGAAAGGAAATACACATGAGTTGACAAAGTTTTAGATTTGATAGAGATATGTAAATAACCTGCCTCTTCCTCTACTTCGAGGGTGTACGCGTTGAATGTGAAGACTGGATCCTCGTCGTCGACATCGCTGATATTGAGCGTGAATCTTGCAATTCCGATTTTCTGAGAACATAAAACGTATGTTGTTTTTCAACAAATGACAATTAATTCATTTATATGTCGAGGTTTATTTTATTTTATATGAAAAAATTTAAAATAATATTTTAAAATAATTTTACTTACCCCGTCTGAAGTGACACTTATATTCACTGTATGGCTGTTTATTCCGCTTTCATAATCAAAAGTAGTGATTGTAAACATTGTTCCTTTTTGCCCGTTTACAAAACGCACATACGGGTTTGACTGGAAGAAAAATAATGAAAACATACCTTTTACCAGATGATACATCGAACACAATCATGTTAAATATTATAATACATATCGGGAAAACAAGTTTCCAATCGTCGTGAATGACGTCACAAAAAAGCGTGCGGAATGCTCCTTAATGTAATATAGATGGTGAGTGAGTGAGTGTGTTTTTACGCCACTTTGAGCAATGTTCCCGTCCTATCACGGCGGGCAGATGGTCAAAGGTACTACTTGTGCATGCTTTACGAACTAGAAAACCGGCCGCAGAGACAGAAAGTTTAACTTTATTTCAGCAAAGACACTGATTGATGGAGTAAGAGCTGCATGTGTTAAAAAGACAGAGTAGACACAATTTATGGACAGTAAATTCCTTAATGTTCTATTATCGCGACGTTTCGGTATAGATCGGTACATCGTTGTCAAGCAAGCCCGAATGACAACGGTACACGGATTTATACTGAAACGTCTCTATAATAAGACATTAAAGAAGTTGTTATTCATAAATTATGTCTTCTGTGTCATCCTCCAATTCCTGAGAAATGCCTATCAAACAATTCGTTTTTAAAAGACCACAAGATATGACAGAACTTATTATTTGACACACACACTACCTTCATTGATGTTTATATGCTTTATTATCGGAACACGTTGACATGATCAGCGAGCCTGACCACCCGATCCATAGTATCCATAGTGCCTCTTACGACAAGCGACCCGTGAAGAACCGGGCAACCCATGCTTGCCGTAAAAAGCGACTATGTTTGTAAGAGGCGACTAACGGGATCGGGTGGTCGGACTCGCTGACTTGGTTCATGCATGTCATCGTATCCAAAGTGTGTAGATTGATGCTCATGAGATCAATCACTTGATTGCCTTGTGTCCAGACTCGATTATTTACAGACCGCCGTTATATAGCTGGAATATTGCTGAGTGCAAACAAACAAACAAACAAAAATGATGCAGGTAGCATAGTTTCCCATAGCACCGAGTAGCTTTCGTGTGTGTTAAATTATATGTGAATTCATTTTAGGATTGACTGTGTATTTTTTTCGGTTCATTGAGGTATGAATCGAAAAACCGATGCGCAAACTGTATTCCTACAAAAGTTTGCACATCGGTTTTTCGATTCATACCTCAATGAACCGAAACAAATATACAGTCAATGCTTATAATTAAATTCGACAACGTAAAACATGTTTTATCTACATAGTTTAACCCAAAACAGTTGCATATATCAAAACAGACAAAAATGACGACATTGATAAACATTCCAGGTGTAGGAATACATACAGTGGCGTGACATGAATCAGGTGATCGTTTAATTTATGCACATAATTTGACACACTTACACAGTCAGTAGCCAATCAACGGAGAGTGGGATTAAAACAATGTTCATTGGACCTGTCAATTAAGGCAAGATGCGAAAAGAACTGCAGCAGTCAGACTGTAACGAACCCGAAGAATAATGTCCGAGAGAAGGCGGCTGTTTCAAATAACATGGTCATTCACTGCGTGATTCAAACATTACTTCCCTGATTACGGTAAAACACAGTTGGAGAAATTGAACCGAAGCGAGCGGGAAAAAAACAGGCGATCGAGCCTGCACGTTTGCTGTTTCATTCATTCTCGGCCTTCGGTTTCAAAGGGTAGTTTCGCTTAATGTCCTGTGCATGACGATACACGTGAGCAGAAGGGAATTCCCTCGACTGTAATATTGGGATTCCGGGCCCCGACATTCCGCAGTAATAAAAGTAGTGCGCCGCGGCGGGCGTGGCTTAATTTTTTACATTCTTTGGGAAATGAATGCAATAACACGTGACCAATTCAGCTAATCAGAATGCAGGAATTTCCATGAAGACAACGAAAATTTAATTATTAAGATATGAAAGTTATAAAATAAAGTTATAAAGGAAAGTGCTAAATTGTAAGTTAAGTACAAGAAAGTTTTGAAGCGAGTGATTATTGTTTAACGCCGCATCAGCAATCGAGAAGCTATGCACGACGATGAAAATATTGAAACGGACATAACACAATACTTTTTTGCAAAGAACAGGTACGATTTCTAACCAATAGGATAGTATAGACATGGAACACATAACGAAAAAGAAAGAAATATCGATCAATATTATCTACTTACAGCCATTGAATAGAACAGACTATTCGCCCCACAGTCTTTGTCTATTGCACTGGTTTCGTTGCTGCTACTGAAATCAATAACTGCGGTCCCATTGGTAGCCGACTGTTAAAAAATAACGTAGTAAGAAAAAATATCATTTCCCTGATGTAAGTAACCAAAAGCTCAGTTAAGCATATAATCATAAAATAACTACAAAATGTAATTTTGAAAATGGTATGTATGTATTATTTAATTAATACATGTTCCGCATGATAAATGATGGTATCTTAGATACGACTTTTAAATATCTGCATTCATTTCTAGTCAATTAACGTGAAATGTATTATTCAATATAAACTGAGGGGCAAAAGAAAGTATACCGAGTTTCTTGTTTATGTTATTGAAAATTGAAAGAACTGTTGTTAAATTTGATTATGTCTATTTTAACATCACTCATTCCTGCAACAGTTTGTAAAAGTAATCTGTGGCTGTGTAATTTTGTGTAAATATTAATTGGTTCAGTGACGACTGGGTAAGAAATGAACTCCTACCATGTTTGAAATGTTTAAAATATACTTGTGCCGAAAAAGGCAAATTTATTGATTTTTTCGTGATAAGATGTCTAAGACAGACATTCTTAGTTGTGTATTATACAAATTCTTTTTAAAAAATTTAAAATCAAATCAAATCATATTTTAAAAATATAACCATTTTGTTTGTTTTCTTTGAGTGCTTTGAGTTCACTGTTTGATATAATATCGCTTACCAAAGATATTTTCAACTCACTCACTCACTCACTCAACTGAAAATCAAACATACGATAAAATCAACCGAGAGGTATAATTTGTTTTGCTCCTCAGTTTATAATATGTATTATGGACAACAAAACATTACAGATAAACCATTATCAATTAATAAATCGAATATGTAACACATTCCCGCTTGTATCAAAATAAGAGTTTAAAAGCACAAGGTTGTGGTGTAGGCTGGGCTTACCTCAGGTATGGTTCGACTAAATTCTGGGTATGGGAATTTTGGATCATGACTGTCAATTGGCTTCAACACAAAGGTGTAAATGTCGGACTGAAATAGTCAAAATACCAAACATATTATGTACGTCATTTCCAAAACTCATGGCCGACATCGGTACATGTAACATCAATTTCTCGATCAATGTATAAGTCGGTAACGATATCTACGATTTAAACGTCAATATTTCATGCACAATTATTAAATAGGTCAAGGGTTGGAATGAATGAATGAATGAATGCTGTAAATCTCGCACCAAAGGCTCGGGGTTAACGCCATTTATTCTCACGCGACAGATAAATCGTAGTTCTATGTGGGAGTTTATGTACGGGGTTTTATAATCATTGTCACCGATTAATCCTCTTGGTAGACCAAACTTGTTTCGTACCGAGCACTTAACAAATTTGTTAGGAATGTCCAGAAAGGAACCTAAAGTAATTTTGGTATGTGGACCTGTAACCACTTGTTTTGACGAGTAGGCCCAGACCAAAACATGCCCAGCCCATAATGTGACTAGAAGAAACTGTTCCTGGTCTGAAACCAGGGTTTCAATTGAAATATACTCAACAACAAAAGTTCCTGTGACACCAATATTTTAGTGTATTTTTCAAACAAGTAAAGTTTGGTTTTCAATATTGTAGTACATGTATGGAATCAGGTCACATTAACGCAACTGCTACAGAAAAGCATGCATTTCATGCAAAAGTTGACTTTTATGCAAGCCCCATGCATTTCACTACCTAAGAATGGGTATAAAAACATGTGCGTTAACGGGATTCCATATGCATTGTTTACCATGGTACTGACAACAACCACTCAGAAAAACAACAAAATTACGCAATTATTCAACATTACGAAATGCCACGCCAGTCCGAAAATGAGCGTCTGCGAGCCATTGGTATGCTTGAAGCAGGATCGAGTCAACGTTATGTTGCAAGACAATTTAACGTCCACAGAAACACCATTTGGTGTTTATGGCAACGTTGGCAACAGACGAATGCAGTCAGAGACCATCCTCGGAGTGGCAGGCCACGCGTAGCCAATAATCGACAAGACAACTGGATTCGAACAACACACCTACGAAATCGATTTCAGCCAGCAACAGTGACTGCAAGAAGCATCCCTGGCCTTCGACGAATATCTAAACGAACCGTACGTCGCCGCCTCAGATGTGCAGGGATTGTCGCCAGACGACCCGCCAGACGTCCCATTTTGACAGGAAACCACCGTCAAGCACGGTGCAGACAGCGTCTACGCTGGACGGCCATGCAGTGGGGATAAGTTCTATTCACTGACGAGTCTTGTTTTCACATCAGCCACAGCGATGGACGGATTCGAGTGTTCCGACGTCGAGGTGAACGTTACGTCAGTCACTGTGTCATGGAAGAAGATCGGTTCGGGGTCGGCAGCGTTATGGTATGGGGTGGGATTACAGCAAGACAGAGTACCCGTTTGATAGTGGTAGAGGGAAATCTCAATGGACAGCGCTACCGCGACGAGATCATCAGCCCTGTTGTTCTACCGTTTTTGCGTCGTCATGGCCCAGGCATTACCTTTCAACATGACAACGCCCGGCCTCATATTGCTCGACTTGTTCGGGATTCTCTTCAACAAAACAACGTTAGTGTCATCCCCTGGTCGGCTCGCTCCCGTGATCTCTTACCAATCAACCACATGTGGGATGAGATGGATCGGCGCCTTCGACGTCAACCACGTGTTCCACAGACACTCCAGGAACTTCGAAACATATATGTGCTCCGGCAGATATGGACAGATATGGACAGGACTTTGGACGACGCCAGGTCCATTCAATGAGACGAAGATGTGTTGCTTGCATCGCATCCAGAGGTGGACACACACGCTATTGGTTTGTAAATTGACATTTTGGCATGTTCATGTTTGTTTTTTTAGATCACGCATTTTCTGAAGTCAGTTGGCAAATTTAACCATATGAACACTTACAGGAGTCTTTTATGTGTTGCAAACCGAAATTGTTTCAGATTTGGTAAAAAACATCAGTTTGCTTTAAATCTTATTCAATGTCAAAGGAACTTTTGTTGTTCATTATATATGATATAAACCCATTTCGCATCGTATGTGTCAGAATTTCCCACCATTTGATCAGATGATAAATATCAATGTCTGGCCAGGGAGACTTGGCGCCACTACAGCTATATGATGCGTCATTTTCATGACATCGTTAATATTTACCGCAGGTTCGATGCCTTGGCATGTTATCCCCAAATCGAACTGTTGGTTAACGCAGAGATCCTGAAAGATATGATACGTATATAGAGTTGTATACCTACAGATTGTATATGAAAAGCACATCACCACAACCCATGCTTGCCATAAAAAGCGACTTTGCTTGTCGTAAGAGGCGACTAACGGGATCGGGTGGTCAGGCTCGCTGACTTGGTTGATGCATGTCATCGTATCCCAATTGCGTGGATCTATACTCATGCTGTCAATCATTGGCTTGTCTGGTCCAGACTCGATTTTTTACAGACCGCCGCCATATAGCTGGAATGTTGCTGAGTGCGGCGTTAAACAACAAACAAACCGACAAAGATATAGAATGCGACCGGTACATTTCACCGAATATTTCATTCATGTCTATATTTCCATCCATGGTGGTACAAAAATGTGGATAGCAGATGTGCTGTAAATTATAAAAATGATCAATGCGAGCATGAAAAGAAAGCTTTTTACAGATTTTGAGGTACAATCGAATATGCTCTTTCTACGAACATTCGATCGAGAGAGCGTCATACGACTCTTGCTCAGAAGTTGTTTCATCAAGATTACAATATTCAAGGACTCAGCAAATCATTCAAAACGTTTTATGGCACACTTGTGGATGTCATTTTCAAATTTGAGGCATCAGTGACAACATTGGTGTCCGATACAATTCTCTATTTTGGCCATATGTTCCCGTGTTATTGTTCTTGTCAGGTGAACAATTGATTTGCCTTTGCACGTGTTTCTGACATATGCTTTGGTGGTTCAAGATACGCTCACCTTTTCTCGAACACCTGGTATCATCACTATTTGATAGTGATGCTTATATCGACATGCTCATGAAATAGTTGGAATCGGACAATGGACTCTGCTTTTGGCATGATTATGGAAATGTCTTTTTACCTGATCTTCGCTCATGTCTAACTCCTTCTCGGCATAAAGTGTGTAATCCGAAATGTTGAAGTACCCCCTGCCTCCCGACACCAGCCAGATAGGTTCAGTGGCAGTGAAGTTAAACACAGTATCACCTGTAGCAGACAATTACCACCCTGTAATATCTCTTTCACATAACTAGGACTAATATAAGAAGACAATGTACTGGGAAACCTTTGTCAGTCGATATCGTTTGATACGATGTATTTTGTGTTCCTGTCAAAATCCTTATCCTTGTCTTACATCCACACTCGGCTGGCCTCGAACAACGGAGAACTCATCCTTCTACAAATGTATGGGCCAGTACATTCACTGTAAAAGACAAACCTTTCCAACCACATGATTCTTAGCTGGTTATATATGCAATTCCATTGCGGCTTCTATAATGCGTTATTCTTTCAGAAAAGCAAAATCATTATATAATTTAGGAAGTTGTATGTGTTACAGAGTGAGCAATATGCAACATAATTATATGGTCACCACACACTGGCACACACCTTTATTTGCGAGTACATCCTGACGCCTGAAAATGCTCACCTGCATGCGCTCCTTCCTGATGTTCGGAGGGCAAATTATCTAAACCACAGGAAGCAGCTGCGTGAGGAAAAAATGAAAAGTGTGCATTAATATATTAATAAACTGACACATAAAGCATTGTTTGATATATTTGACTCTTGACAGCGTGAATTGCAAATTTGCAGATTTTAAGACTGGTACATGATTTCAGTTTGCTCTGGATTGTTTAATACATTACACTTGAGACTTTTATACATTCGTTTGCCCCCTTTTGCGCTGAGTCGGGAGGTATTTCAGTTACTTAAACTTCCTGACCACCCAATACGGTGTCCCTCGTAGTAGGCTTAGTGAGGAGAAAACATATTGGGATTTCAAAGAGATCTATGATGTAGGTTTGAGGGCGATAATTGTTAATTTTAAACCGAACCCGTAGTCTGTCTGACACTACGAGAACGCTATGGTGTTAGCTAGGACAATGAGTGAAGGAGTGAGAGTCCAAAAGGTATTTTGAGTAGGTTCATTGCCATCAAGGAAAATCGCCTTTTAACTTTCGCTGTATGTGCGTAATATTGGTTTTTACATCACTATATTTTATTCACATTTAAAACGGGCATTGGAAGTTTGTGTGAATGTACACCCATCAACTAACTGAATCGTAACGCCACACCATACGTAATGGCATCACGGCATCCATTGTGGAGCAGTGGATGTGAAACGTCGAATTTCAACCTCAGTGTTGTCAAGTAATTTGACATGTACCTAAATAATTGAAACATATGCAACCAAAATAGCAGTGGGATATATAGCGAGGTCAACTGGGATATATAGCGAGGTCAACTGGGATATATAGCGAGGGCAACTGGGATATATAGCAGGGTCAATTGAGATACATAGCAGGGTCAACTGGGTTATAAAGCAGGGTCAACTGTGATATATAGTCAGGCAAACTGTGATGTATAGCAATCCAACTGGGATATACAGCAGGGTCAACTGGGATATACAGGAGGGCCAACTGTGATATATAGCAGGGTCAACTGGGATATATAGCAGGGTCAACAGGGATATATCGCAGGGTCAACTGGGATACATAGCAGGGTCAACTAGGATACATAGCAGGGTCAACTAGGATACAAAGCAGGGTCAACTAGGATACAAAGCAGGGTCAACTGGGATACATAGCAGGGTCAACTGGGATACATAGCAGGGTCAACTAGGATACATAGCAGGGTCAACTAGGATACATAGCAGGGTCAACTAGGATATATAGCAGGGTCAACTAGGATACATAGCAGGGTCAACTAGGATACATAGCAGGGTCAACTAGGATACATAGCAGGGTCAACTAGGATACATAGCAGGGTCAACTGGGATATATAGCAGGATCAACTGGGATATATAGCAGGGTCAACTGGGATATATAGCAGGATCAACTGGGATATATAGCAGGATCAACTGGGATATGTAGCAGGGTCAACTGGGATATATAGCAGTGTCAACAGGGATATATAGCAGGGTCAACTGGGATATATAGCAGGGTCAACAGGGATATATTGCAGGGTCAACTGGGATATATAGCAGGGTCAACTTGGATATATAGCAGGGTCAACTAGGATACATAGCAGGGTCAACTTGGATATATAGCAGGATCAACTGGGATATATGGCAAGGTCAACTGGGATATATAGCTGGGTCATCTGGGACATATAGCTGGGCCACCAGGGATATATAGCAGGGTCAACAGAGATTCTTACCTGTCAGGGACAAGCGCATGAAGAGGAGGAACCATGGTAACTCCATCTCAGAATGTACCTTTACTCGCTTCCGTGGGTGGTGCTCATTTCAGTTAACTGCAACCAGAATATTGTCAGTAACATTGCAGATATTCATGTGTTGTCACGATCAACATAATAGCATGATACAAATTGATAAAGGAGCAGTGTCTATGCACCAAAATATAAACACAAAAGATGCACCGCATGAGGAGTTTTGTTAAATTCTAGCTTTTTTAATCATTCTTTTTTATTACCAGTGTTACCGAATTAGAGATAAACCTGATAGCCACACAACAGCCAGCTGTATCGCGGAATTAAGTAGTTCCTCAAAACAAGAAGTGATATGAGCGTATGTATGTTCACAGTGTTCTACAGTGATATCTTTCTAGTTAATAAAATATATTCAAATAATACCATCGTTAGTAGAGAAAGGTCTGTTATGTTCTACCTAAGAAAGTCAGTCACAATGACATCACGTCGTCATAGATTTACATCAGATACAAGACGTCAAAATGGAAGACACGATAAACGTAACGGGACAGATTTTCGAAGTTTTATATGAATCTGTGGCGATTACAACTGTAAGTCATAATTGTTCGTTAAAAGGTGATTGTAAAGATGTGTCAAATTGTGATAAAGTAAATTCGTAGATTGCTGTAGACTGGCACTGTCAGTTTAGACACGGATCGAGTCGTCAATACTACAGTTTAGATCTGCATTATCGTTTTGATAATTGGGATGGATCGTAGCGAGGATAGTCGTGAACGATCATGAAGTCAAACGCTCCTACTTTTTTCAATGTATGTTAAAACTCTGTGTTCAAGATTAAATGGGAAATGATGAGAAACAACGAGTCTGTATGTATCCGTGCTTGGGAATTACCAGGGATTTGGTAAACTTCTTCCACTCACTGGACTATACGTAGTATACATGTGCTATTTTACCAGTTCAGTAAGTAGAAGGTTTCCAATTCACAGACTAGATTGAACACTTTAACCATAATGCAGAGAGTCTGAAAATGTACTCAACTTTGTGTACACAGTAGCATGTATAAATCCCGTGTAGGGCTCCGAACTAAATGATTCCCATACGAAGATACTTCTCTATTTACACTTGTTCTTTATTCTTTATGGTATCAGAAATACCGACTTCGTGAAAGACGAGAGGCGTGTGTGTGCGTCAATGTACTTAGTCATACATGCATATTACAAAGGACTGTGGTCGCTTAAGTGAAAAGAAATGATACCATGTGTTCGCGAAAAGGTGAGCACATCCTGCCCAACCGGTGCCACCCATCACAAACACATGCAAAGCCAAGTCAATTGTTCACCCGGAAAAAGATGGGAACATATGGTACAAGTCAAAATAGGGAGTTGGATCGGACATAATTCTTGTCACCGATGCGTCACATTTGGAAAAAACATCCACATGTCTACCATAAAATAGGTCTTGAATATTGTTACCTTGATCAAACAACTTCTGAGCAAGAGTCGTATGACGCTCTTTGTAATCTTGGTAGAAAGAGCATGCTCGATTGCATCTCAAAAGTTGTGAAATGTAAACACCAAAGACCGCTGGAATATTCCTCGACATGAAGGGAAAGTTGACCATTGGAAAGTTGAAGTCATCCCTTCATAGAGTCTTGCGGAGAGTGTTTTGTCATGAAGGGAAAGTTGACCATTGGAAAGTTGAAGTCATCCCTTCATAGAGTCTTGCGGAGAGTGTTTTGTCACTCTGAATCTTTATGCAAAGATCTAAAAATGAAACATGAGGTTGTCTCACTGGCCTCCTGTATTTCTAGTTCAGGTGGGTAAATCAGTAGAGGGCATTGGCTAAACACAACGACAATATGATAGCTGCGTAACCAATTACTGCTAGTTTTGGTTTGATGTGTGGGAAAGGAAGTGTATACGCCGTGTCTTTGTTTATGAACTGACTTACCCACCTGAACTGAAAATAAAAGTGCCCAGTGAAACCGCTTCATCTGTTTCATATTTATATCTGTGCATGAAGATTCAGAGTGACAAAACACAAAAATAGAGGGATGACTTCAACTTTACAATAGGCAACTGTTGGATTGGCATTTAATTCTAGAAGTTGGCTAGCAATAAACCAGAAGTTGTTATCGCTAACGTTGTACGTTTTCTTACTTTCCAAAAGTCCAATCTCTCTTTATGTCGACCAATAGTATTCCAGCAGCTCCAGCCTTTGGTGTCTACATTTCACTACCTTTGAGGGACGATCGAGCATGCTCTTTCTACGAAGACTTAAAGGACTGTCATACGATTCTTGCTCAAAAGTGGTTTGATCAGGGTTACACTATTCAAAGCCTCAGTAAAGCTTTCAAAACGTTTCATGGTAGACATTGGGAGAACCTTACCGGGTTTGACGCATCAGTGACCAAAATGATGTCCAACACATTCCTTATTTTGACTTGTACCATGTGTTCATGTGTTGTTCAAGTGAATAATTGACTTGCTTTTGCATGTGTTTGTCATGGAGCTACCGACGATGCAGGATACGCCCACCTTTTCGCGAACACCTGGTAAATCACTATTTTTATTGAGATTCATAAAGACATGCTGATGATATAGTCATTGTACAATAGACTCTGCTTTTAGCAGAGATTTCTTATGATTGTGGAAATGGTTTTAACGAAAGGGAAACATTAATAAATAAGCGTCGCTCTTTCTATTACATGCTTATCATTTCATTCTTTATCTGTTTACTTTTATTGTGTTGTTGATGCATGCGTGCATCAACCAACAGGATGTTGTATGTCGAACTGAAAACGTGACGCTGTGACTATACAAGGGAGTATTGAATAACGCTGCTTCGAACAATATTTCATTCATGTCCCTGTGTCTCAGCTTAATGAGGGACGTCGTGGACGTTCCCAACTTTGGTGAAACCCACGAGCACGGGATTGGTGCTGACAAACCAAAGATCATACAAAGGCCAAACAAGGGATTCCAACCGAAGACCAGGGGTCCCTTGCAGGCCCACTGGGTGCATCGCGTGGCACCCTAGTCACCTGGGCAACATGATATGTGCCCCAGAAAATAATATAAATATTCCATTCATTATGTTTACCGATTACATGAATATGGTTATTGGGTAAATGCATAAGATTTAAGTCTATATACTTACTACGATTTAAAATAATATGGTGTCTTATAATCGCCATCTATATTCGTTGTCTACATTTCCCGATAGTCATCATCTTAATGCTGTATTGTATGCAAAGTTATAGCCTTATTTGAACTTCGTTTCTTTACATTTTCTAGTGTATGTCCTTCAGATTCAACACAGCACCCACAGTGATAACGTGGAAGTATGGCAAGCCGTTTTCCCATTTATTACGGATTTACAGATATATTCAATTGTTTTAAAACTATTTTGAATTGAATTGAAGATATCTTGAATTGAATTGAAGATATCTTGAATGGAATTGAAGATATCTTAAATGCAGATAATTGTAGAAATCTGCAATAAAGTTTAAGATATCACGAAATGAATTAAGGATATGGTGAAGCGTATTACTGATATCTTGAAAAGAATTGCTGATATCTTAATTCGATTATTGATATCAAAATATGATTTAAAGATATCAAAATGTCATGTTTTGTGATGATGTCAATAATTCAATTCCTGATATCTTGAAACTAAATACAGATATCAATAATTAATTATTGATATCTTCAATTGTTGCCATTATTAAAGATGTTACATTAATAATGTTACTTAAATTAGATAACTGATATCAATAATTGATATAAAGATATCATCAAAATTATTAATGATATCTTTAATTGGATTTTTGATATCAGTAACGGTCAGAATTAATGATACCTTGAATTGAATTAAAGATATCTCTTATTGAATTAAAGATATCTGTAATGCATTTGTGGATATGTATAAATAATTTCCAGATGTCTTGAACTGAATTTAAGATATCTTGAATATATTTCTAATATATTTATGTATTGTAGGATGGTAATTGTTTGATGATATCTTAACTACATTTAGAGATATCACAAACAAATTTGTTGATACCCTCACCGTAACATTTTAAGGTATCAGTAATTGTATTATGGATATCAGAAATGAATTTAAGATATCTTCAATTATTTTTTGACATCTTACAAACATTATTGATATCTTTAAATAAAATACTGATATCTCTAAAACAATTGAAGATATCTGTAATTCCGTAATAAATGTGAAAACGGCTTGCCATATGGAAGCACGTTACTGAGGATCATCTTAAGGCAAACAACAAAGACAATATGTAACGTCAGGGTCAGAAAATAAATCCCGATTATCCGCCGATTCAACTGGACGTAAAATGAAAAATGCGATAAAAATTACATGAATGAATTAACTGAAATCACGATCATTTACAGTTACTTCGCTTTCAAGCAAAGCTATACAATTTTGATTTCTTTTTGATGTTAAATATATAGCAAGCTTAGAACTACTATTTGACACAATAGATAACACTTTGCTTAAGCCACTTAACCTTGTTTCCTAATTTGATCAGGAGACAAGGCAAGAAATTACCTCGTTTTGACTTTGCCAATCCGAACTGAAATTTCGATTCATGTGCATTGAGAAACATTTCAGCAAGAAGAGGGCCACATTTTGTTCCCATTCGGATGCCTTCTTCTTGCCTAAATGTCATCCCAAATTTTACGTATATGTTATCAATGAGGAAGTCCAGCATTTCACATATTGTTTTCTCATTAAAACTTTTGGATAAATTGTCCTGAACCTCTGAATATAGATATGTAAGGGATAAAGGAATGAATTTCCCCCTGTGGTTTGTCATGTGGGATAGCGGTGTACAAAGATGAAAATTCAAATATTGTGACAGAATTCCTTCCTTTACGGTATTGAGGATTGTTGTAAATCTTTGAGACGGGGACATGGTGGTACATTTGCTGAACCTAGCAATATATCAATAAATGTTGTTTTGTACGGAGTTTTATGGAGCTTTGGAATCTAGTACAACGGAGGAATGAACATGGTTTTAAAGTCAAGTCTGAAGTTGAGAATACTGATGCATGGTCTTG